TTCTATTGGTAATTAGACACACATAGAGGTAGATATACATCTCTATACTAGCCTGGGAGTAATAACGAGTTCTCCTACATTAGTAGTTATCTAGTATCATATTGCAGCCCACAAAGTGAACTCGGCCAAATATAGTCGCCCCAAGAGTAATGACAAGAGAATACATGTAGCCAAAGAGAGCCAGTGGAAATTACTCGTACTCTAAAGTCCAGACGTACGTTTTTGGCCAGGACTGCTATTGCAATATACGTTTTTTAGGATTTTACGTGTAGCTGTGGCTGTAACTGTGGCGTCACATAAGTACATACATTCAAGCCACATCGCTTTCTTAGGGCTGACTCCAAACTCACAGTTCCTGCATGGAATCTGGGAAACCCAAAAAGCGTCTATTCTCCGAAATACGGTACTGTGTCCGGTATTTTCTGGATCAATGGCGAACCTGGGTCAAGAGCATGCTGTTTCATCTGTCGTTACCATTTTCTTCGTTCAAAACGGCTAGACACTTTCCTTATTTGGCATTTATTCCTTAATCTATGATCTTTTTCTTTATTATGATTCTTGCTTAGGATTACTGTATCGGGCTCAGAAACAGTCGTATACTATGACAACAGCACTTAAACTTTGGAGTTGTATGATAATGGCCCATTTCCCAGTCTGACAGTACTACATTATAGTCAAAAACGTTATACATAATACCATTAGAAGCAGACGCTTTCTGATAATTATCTTGCGATGTGAGGTTCTTCTGCAGATCTGACTCACCTATCTGTGTGCGAGTCATCACTAAAGCCTTTAAAGCTATCCCTTCCTGCTCTCGCCTCCCAACCTTCTCTATCCCCAATATCCCACTATCGCATCCAAATTATCTTCACAACATAACAGAAAGAGATATGTCTGTCTAATTCCCCTTCGAATTTATCTGGCCAGCACCTCCTGGTAGTTTGTCTCAATTTCAACGTCTTTATCCTCCCTAAATTTTCGTATCTACTATTTCAAGATGACTCCTCGGTTATCAACTATATCTCGCATTCATAATATAAGAATTACTCAGAGAAACCTGGTAATAATAATACAACTTATACTGTTTTTAGTAGCATTTATAGGAGCTGTACACGAGAAACAACTCGATACGGTAGCTCTCGTTAGCTGAAAGATCACAAACCAAAGCGAAACGAAATCGAACGACCCACAGGGTAGCTTCAATCGAAGAAGCGAGGAGTGTGCTGTGCTTTGCCGCCGGATTTTTTGGCCTTTCCATCCTTGTAAAAGCTACGTCAGCAGGGAATTCAGCTTTGCTCTCTTAGTCTCATCAGTTACCTACACCGTGTTATCTATTGTATCACCGATTATCTTTCACCATGTCGAGTATCTTCACCTTTAATCCCTCCCCGCCAAAGCCTGCTTCGCCTTGGGCCAATAATACACCTATTCATCCCTCTCCATCAACAACACCGAACCCATTGCCTACAGGAACAGAATCCATCACAGATGACACACCCGGTCATCTCAAGACAAATAGTAATTCCGGCCGGTTCCGTGGAAGCTTTATCGATGCCAACCACAAGAGGTGGGGTGAAGGTATTGCAACCGATGATGGGGGGGTGGTAAGGGGGCTGGTATCGGAACCTCAAATGGGACCGACCGAGTACAAGCTGAGTCTTATCAGAGGAGGGAAGAGTGAAGCACGGATGGATCAATTGACAACTCAATTGCTGTGGAGATTACAGCAGAGTAGCCCGTAAGCCAATCCCGCTATAGATTCTAGCGTCATTCGTTTCATGAGCTGATCTTAGATCTAAAATAGATATCATGGAAATTCTCTTACGTCTAAATCCTCGGGAGCTATCTCTTCTTTGTTACAGGAGTCACAGGGAGCGCTCTATGAGATCGGGGTAGCAGATGATGGGACTTTTGTCGGTCTCAGTGAGGAAGAATTACATGCGTCTCTTGATACTTTGCGTGGTATGGCGGCGAGACTTGGGTGTAGTGTAACCGTTGTCCGTAAAGTCTGCGTAGGCACGGTTGATGAGCGTGAGATCAAACGGGCTGAAGCGAAGCTTGCTGAGTATATCAAAGCTAGGCAACGAAATCAGAAAATTACGAAGATGAGCCCCGGAGATAATTACAATGGTGGTTCAACGGAGACAATCGATGGCGCTGATACGGAGAAATTTGGAATTCCTAGACTTGGAGACAGCCTGTGGGTTGCTGAAGCCTTTGTAAAACCGGGTGACGGATCCCCGACTATTCCGGCGAACGTGAACCCGGAAGAGGTTATAAAATTGCCTGAAACAAAAAGCAACACAGAGCAACTCCGAATAACACTGACCGGAGCAACGACTTGTGGTAAAACCACCCTTTTGGGAACTTTGAGCACAGGAGAGCTTGATAATGGGCGAGGCAAGAGTCGCTTGTCGTTACTGCGTCATAGGCACGAGCTTGTCTCTGGTATCACTTCCTCTGTCGCGTGGGAGATCGTGGGTTATCGGCCCGAACCGCCAGATACAGACAATGATAACCCAGCGAACGAAAGCGGAGCATCCAGAATAGTCAATTACGCTTCTGGTAACATATCTTCCTGGACAGATATCCATGCATCGGCAGTAGATGGTAGAATTGCGTTCTTGTCCGATTCCGCCGGTAATACAAGATTTATCAAAGCCACTTTCCGATCATTAATTGGATGGGCTCCGCATTACGCCGCTTATCTGATCGCTGCAAATAGTGAAGATGATAGTGGTGGGGTTTCTGGCCATGGTGTCCACGCCCATCTAACACTTTGTACTAAATTGGGGCTAAGGATGTTGGTCATTATTACAAAAATGGATCTAGCCTCGAAGACTGGGCTGAAGAAAGTATTCTCCTCTGTATTGACCTACTTGAAAGAGCATGGGAAAAAACCAGCACTTATCACATCAATGAAAACGCTTAAAGATGTTGTTCGTGATGTCGAAATGGATCCCGAGCATGTGGTGCCGATATTATTCACATCCTCGGTTAAGGGCGATGGAATCGACTTGTTGCATGCACTGATTGCAAGCTTGCCATTGCCAGAATCTCTCAGGGCACCGGTTATTGAGAGGGTTATTGAACCTCTGCCAGGCACGAGTCTCGTTGGCGTCACAACAGGGACAGAAAATCTTTCTGTCTTGGAAAACGGCGAAGGTATGACAGTGGAAGTGGACGTCACCAATGACAAGGAGGAGTTGCCTTCTACGCTGTTTCATGTTGAAGAGATTTATGGAATACAGCCAGCATATGGGAACGCAGATGCGGATGGCGGTGCAGTTGTGGGAGGGCACGTGAGATATGGCAAAATATCAATAGGAGATGAGCTTGTCATTGGGCCTTTCCCTCCTGTCAATGCTCCGCCTTCGAGAAGCGGAACGCCAACGCCGACAACAACCCCTATTCAGAACTTGAATCTGTCAACATCTGCAGGGCGTCTATCGAGGCAATTTTCAAAAAGTCCTGATAGCGGGGACGAAAGACGTGTTAGAATGACTTCTAGACAAACCCCGACTCCAAATAGCGGTGAGGATGACATAGAGGACATTAGTGGTGGAGAGTTTGAATGGAAGACTGTCAAGGTTATTTCAGTTCGAAGGTTAAGGCTACCTGTGAATACCCTTTATACAGGCGAGGCCGGAACATTGGGAGTTGTGCCCATTTCAGAGGAGTCTTCGATATCGGATCCTGTCCTACCAATTGATCTCCGAAATATAAATAGCAAACTAAGGATTACCATCGATGACGATAGTGATTGCAGCGACGGTATACACCATCTTTCGGGGACCCCGAAGAGTATGAAAGCTGTTACGTTTGCAAATCCTCCGCTGACAAACATTCACCATATCCCGATGAAGTTAAGGAGGGGTGTGGTCATCCTCAACCGCCCATCAACTAAGTTGTGGCCAAAAGCACACACTGGATTTACAACAAAGCTCGAAGATCCCGATGCATGCAATTCACTAGTAATCGGTAGTAGCGTCATGGTCTATATTGCATCCATCCGTGTTGCAGCTAGAGTGGTTTCCATTGAACCACCCCCTCCGCCTGCAACTGCCATCAAGAGAAAAGACAAAAGTGACGATGCACTTGGTGTTTTTAGCTTGGATGATGAATTTGACTCCCATTCTGAGGATGAACATACGGATGATGACGATATCAAGGAAAGATTATACACCTTTGAGTTCAATCACAGAGCGGAGTGGATTGAGGAAGGTGCCATCGTATTGATTATGCCTGGTGGTGGCGAAAAAGGGTTGGAAGCGTTTGTGGGAAAAGTTTTGAATAGATTGGTGTGAGGGGAAGTGATTAATTTATACTTTTATTTATTTTCCACAGTTTTTTTTGTTTTAGTATTTGTTTTTGTTTTCATAGCTCTCCCTGCCTAGAAACTCTGGGAAGAGTTTTTTTTTCTTTCTCTTTTTTTTTTTAAATCATATTCAATTTGATTCCGGGTAAAAATGATCGTATATAGTAGAAACTATGGCGTAAACCCCGGGAAGTGTTGCATATTTGTATTTTATATTTCCATGTTTAATGTTAGGTTAAAATTGCTAAAGGCTCGATAGTATTTCCAATTGCAATCTTGCCATCAAAGTATCTTGTATGAAGGCAGGACATCTATATCGATAAGCACCCCTGATTGTATTGATATCGATATTTATAGGTCTTTGGGTTTCGCACCTTAATTCTGTTTACGACTTTTCTGTTCAGATCTTCGTGTAGATTGCCAAGATCGGGACATACCGAGTGACTTTTTGTGATCTCATGAAGGTGTCAAATCTTATTCGGAAGGTTGCATTGCTGACGTACCGTTAATTCTCGAGCAATCCACTATATCCGTAGAGGCAGATGGTAAATCCGGACCAAAGAGAGAAAGGCTCGGCGCATATGCAGATAGGTGTAGGACAAGGTATGCGTTGGAGAGTGATGAGCCCGCGGCCATGATACATAGGTAGATCTGTCCGTAGTTATTGTAGTTAGGAACAATCATGGCGAGACTTACTCAACTTTCAGCAAGTGAACAGAATGCCGTTAAACATCATCATGTCCGAGTCCGCCCAGGACCAAAACCTAAGTCAATCAAGGACCGGGTCCTCCAGTCAAATGGAATCCAACCAATCCGGAAACAAGAGCGTTCATGGAGCCAGAAGCAGAAGATACGGGCTTTGGTGTTCCTCTATCATCATCGCATACCTCTAGCTACTAGTGGTAAATTGCGTCCACCAACACAGGCAGAGGCATCACTTCTGTTCGGTGTTCCTCAACGTACGTTGAGTGACTGGGTGAGAAAGCAAGACCAGATAGAATTGGTAGCTAAGGGTAGTTCAGCACGCACTGTACACTTACAACATACGATCTGTAAATGGCCTGAGCTAGAACGACAATTGTACTGTTTGTTTTTGGAGTGCAGAGAAAAAGGTCAAGCTGTTCGTCGTGGTTGGTTTAGATTGCATTCAGATGAGATTTTTCGAGAGCTGTTCCCTTCCGTTGGTACTCAGCTATCACTTTTCCGCTTTTCCAATGGCTGGTTTGCTCGCTTTTTGGGACGGTACCGTATCAGTCTTCGGTGTATCACCAAAACTGCTCAGAAAATTCCCGAGGATTACCGTAACTTGATTATCAGCTGGCTACAATTTAATCGCCGCAATTCTCAATTTGATCCTTATGAGTTTTACTCACACCGCGTACCTGTTGGTGGAGGTTTTATTCGACGCCAAAACCGATACGATCTCGCGAACATCTGCAATCTTGATGAAACACCAATCCCTTTCGAGTACTTATCCGGTAGAACTTCTAATCTAATCGGAGACAAAACTATATGGGTTAAAGAAACAAGAAGCGGCTGGGATAAGAGACAGGCAAGTCTCGTACTGTGTATCTTTGCGGATGGGGTCAATAGGATACCGCCTATGATTATATTCCATGGACAAGGCAAAAGATTGGGCAAGGAACAAGCCAAATACCACCCCGGTGTTCTTGTTGAGTTCAACGATACTGCATACATGACGGAGGTTCTGTTCATCAAATATATTGAAATGTATTTGATTCCAGCATTGAATGGCAAACCTTCACTATTTGCTATGGATCTCTGCACATCCCATAAGACTCCTGCCGTCCTCGAAATCCTGCGATCAAAACAAATTACACCAAGCCTGATTCCCGCTGGATGCACTAGCTTAGTGCAGCCTCTCGATGTCTCAATTAATAAACCTCTTAAAGAATATATACGTACATTGACAGAGGAAGCAATCAGGGACTGTGAGAGTGTGGAGAGGGTTGAAAAATGGACTGTTAGTGATAGGCGAATACTTACTACATGGAGTGTTGGGGACGCTTGGTATCTTTTTGCAGTTGAAAAGGATGAATTGATTAGAAGGGTCTTCCGTAAAGTGGGTCTTTCTCTCGCTGCAGATGGCAGCCAGGACGAAGAGTTGGATATTAAGGGGTTCAAAAGTATAGAAATTGGCGACTGGAAACTATCTGGATCACTACCCGCAACTCTAACAACTTTCGAAAACTTATACCAACCCGTTCCTCTTGATTTTGCAGATGTAGATATAGAACATGATGAGAACAAGTCTGTAGAATTTATAGCCTATGGAGAATAATTATATATGTACATGCATGCACCTATCTGCATATGCGCCGAGCCTTTCTCTCTTTGGTCCGGATTTACCATCTGCCTCTACGGATATAGTGGATTGCTCGAGAATTAACGGTACAAAGCTAGCTTGCAAAAGAGCTGAAAGCCTCCATTCGAGGAAGTGATTAGCTTATCATGGTAGGATCCGAGCCAAAACCGATACCTTTTGGGGTGAGGTCATTTGTTATGTGTGTGCATACATATGCACCTGAAAATCAAATACTCTCACATTCCTGCATGAACTGCGCTGCACTGAGGAGATTTTACGCGCCTGCAGATGTATGTAGCCACACCAGCAATCAAGCTTGGATTAACCGTACAACACAGCCCTAGATCGATATGGTATCTATGCATCTAGGCAGCTAATCGGACTATAATGCCAAGACTATGTATAATAATGGGAGGCCTGAATTTGAAGAGTATTAAATGGAGCCCATTATCTTCCGTATTCAAAGTTACGAGTAGAATCACTTGCAGAATATATCCATACGGTTGGTAACTCCCCAGGCTTGGAAGACTGCCACAGGAAGTATTCTTGGGTTTCCGATTTGTCCTTCCAGGAAGTTCAAGATTGTTTTACCTCAGAGCCAAGGTATGAATGTTCAAGTTTTTTGACTCAAATGGCGCTCACTATAATAGTATACGTTTGAACCTAGATCACCTGACCAGATACAATCGTCAAAATGGGTGGCAGCACATCAATTGTCAGGGTATGTGACATGTATCCCCAATTCTCAACTTGCTCATCTACTAGACTAGACGCACTAATATATATCGTGTGATAGGATTATGAAGAGGAGAAAAAAATACAAGAGAGGTATGAGAAAACCATCAACGACCAAAACGCGCGCCTTGAAAGAGAAAAGGCCGATTGGGAGCGTCACACAAAAGAGATGAAAGACAACTATGATCGGATTATCCGCGAACGGGACGAGCGCCGCGACCAGGAAAAGGAGCATGAAGCAAAAATGAAAGAGATCGAGGAGAGAACTAAAAGGGAGCGGATGGCGAGAGAGAAGTTAGAGGAGGAGATGAAAGTGATAAGAGATGAGAGAATTGCGAGGTACAAGCAAGAAGTAGATGAGAATGAAAGGAGGAAAAAAGAGGTGGAGGCGCTACTCAAAGAGCAAGAAAAAGAAAGGGTTAAAATGGAGAAGGAAAAAAAGGATAATATGGAGGCGATAGAAAAAGAGATAAAAGCCACAAAGGAGCTGCGAGAAGGGCTCCAGAGACAGATGAAAAAAGCTCTAGAGGAGGAGGAAGAAAGGAAGAAGAGGGAGGCAGAAAGGGAAGCCCGGCAAGAAGAGTTGAATAAACAACGAGACGAGGAAATAAGGGTTGCAAGGGAGGAAGCGGAGAAGGAAGCGGAAGCCCGTAAAAAGGCCGAGGATGATCTCAAAAAGGGAATTCGGCCAGAAATGATTCCTACAGAGAAGGATGTTCAAAAAGTAAAGGCCAAACTTCAATACACCGATGACCACTTTCACTTCGCTGTTTGTGGCCAGGCCGGAAGCGGAAAATCGTCTTTGATCAACGCGCTCCGTGGTATGAAAAATACCGATCCAATGTCGGCGAAAACGGGGGCTGTCGAGACCACTCAATTGATAGGCAGATACCCTGACATGGACAAACGACCCCCTCGAGCATGGATTGTCTGGTATGATATTCCAGGTGCCGGTACCACGAATATTTCCGACTGGCAGTACTTCAACGATCAAGGTCTTTTTATCTTTGATCTCATAATACTTGCAGTTGGAGACCGCCTTTCCACAATAGATATTTGGATCATAAAGAACTGCCGGCGGTTCAACGTTCCCTGTTTTATCGTTCGCTCAAAGTCTGATCAGCACATCAGAAACGTCGCCAAGAATGAGTTAGATTATGACAGTGAAGAAGAAGATCAGGATCATAAAGCCATCAAAGAGCAGGCCCGAAGGACATTTATCGAACAAACCCGACAAAGTTTTGCATCGATACTCGCAAAAGAAAATTTGCCCTCACAAAGGACGTACATCATCTCTGCTTCGACCATGTTTAGTTACATCAACGGAAAGCAAAAAAGTATGATAGATGAAGGGGATCTTATCGTAGATTTGTTGCAGGCAGCTTATTCAAGGGTTGAGATAAAGTGACCGAATGAAATCGTTCTTTCTCCGTTTCCTTTTTTTCGTTGTGGTTGTGTTAGTTCGTTTGCTATATGGGTATGTATGGACCTAGTATACATTTGGATCCATTGGTTGTAGATTCCATTGTTTGTCTTATTATATCATACTTCTTATCGTACCCTTACGTTTTTCGTATTATTTTATTAGATATGATATTTTCAAGGATCTGATTTGTGATTTCTTTGGAGGATTATGTTTTTTTCCCGTAACTACATGTACATCTAGTTATTATGTAGTTCATTAAATACTATCATTACTAGTACTATTCTAACAGCAGTCCAACTAAATAATCCTCGTTTGTTCGCGGTGTAACCAATCAAGTGAGGAATTAATTCATGAGGAGAATTATTATATGTAATCAACCAGTCGCATCATTTCGCTCACCGAGAATTGATAAGTCTTCTTGGTTCGAGTTGAAGCTTTTAGGGCTGTGTTGCCTGGTTTCGCTTATTAAATATTCACTATACCTGACGAAACCCTGTGATTCTACACCGGGTTTTGTAAAGAAGTCGGCATGATGATACTAGATATAGCATTTAACTGATTACTCATCCTCACCCCTGTCGGTACTGCAGTGTGTTCTTCACGAAGCTAAGCCAAGCTGTACCCTTTCTCTAATTTTTTCCGGAGGGCTAGAGGAATCAATACTAATTTTTCAGTGGTTTTAAACGTTTCCTCTCCGCGTCGTTTTTCTTACCATCCATCATACGCCGGCTATACCCAGAATCCTGGCTTGGATATGAAGTGTATGTGCATGTGTGTACCCTGCATGTAGATATTGTACTAGTACCTACATGTAGTCTAGCCTTGCTGTATGCTGAGGAATTATTAGAGCTGGAGTTAAGCTTAATTTCAGCTCTAGCAACAATTTCTTACTATGCACATACATGTACTCGTGCTTTGGGATGAATTAGCGACCTTAACCCATATCATATATACACCGGCCGGCTGCTGCTATTGAGAATCCGGTAAGGCTAAAACTAGAAGTAAAGCAATAGATCCCTTCCCGGTAGTAACATACATGTATGTATTGTAATGAGTAATATATTTTTACCGAGATCCGCAATCAGTCATGGATGGATGCTGGAATGTAGCTGATGATTCCCAAAGCTTTCCCAGGGATGGGGGTGGTCTGTGGGCCGGTGAAGCTTAATTCTTGTTGAGAATGTACGTATACCAGGCCATCAACACATGATATGGTGTCACACAGACAGGACGAACGTCGCACAGAAGAAAATTGCTTCACCGCAGTATATGTCTTTTTCTGTTTCGAGGCGGTGAAGAAATTTCTGTGTTGATGTGCGTTGATATGAGGGCCCAAATTTGGAATAATGTAACTAATTGTAGAAGGATGCACACCTTAATGGACCCATGGTTAGATGGAGGATCTAGATATAAATTCAACATATCTTCCCGATATTGGAAACAGCATCAAGAAAATCATCACTACATTCTTGCTCAAGCCAGCCTTTCCTTTCTTTCCTTCTTTACTTTCTTTTATCACACTCTTTTAGTATCAAGTTGACCTTGATACACCACTCTCTTTTAAAAAAAAACTACTCACCTTAGTCGATCCTTATTTCATCAAGATCCGGTATCTTCTTTTTTTCACAACACGAACATCATCCAGAAGCTTATCAAACGCTCCAAAATAATAACCACCCAAAATGTTGCTCCCACAAATGTCCTCAATTCTCGTCATGGCCCTCCTTGCGGGGTCCTCAGTAGCCATGCCGCAACCAGTAGTGGCCGGCGCTGTAGCCAATCCAGTGAATGGAGGTCTCGTCAAAGCCGGTGGGGCTGGTCCTATCAAAACACAAGTCATGCCAAACACGGGGGCCAATGTTGGAAATCTGAACGGTGACAAGAAGAAGAAGAGCAAAGCGACGACTCCGATAAACGCCCCAGTCGTCAATGGCAACGATAGCACTGGAGGTAAAAACAAGAAGAAGACTGGGTCGAACAACCAGACTGGAGTCAACGGCAACACCGGAGCCAAAGACAAGAAGAAGAAGACTGGGCTGAACAACCAGACTGGAGTCAACGGCAACACCGGAGCCAAAGACAAGAAGAAGAAGACTGGGCTGAACAACCAGACTGGAGTCAACGGCAACACCGGAGCCAAAGACAGGAAGAAGAAGACTGGGCTGAACAACCAGACTGGAGTCAACGGCAATACCGGAGCCAAAGACAAGAAGAAGAAGAAGAAGACTGGGCTCAACAACCAGACTGGAGTCAAAGGCAATACCGGAGCCAAAGACAAGTATAAGGACAAGAAACTGGCCGGGGCCGAGGCGAGGAAAGCAATTGATGCCAGGAAAAAGAAGGGGGTCGCCGGCGCCACTTCAGACAAGAAGACCAATTTCTACGGTAACAACAACAATCGGCCAGTCAACAACTACAACCAGCAGCCCAGCTACTATAATAATTTGCCATCGCAGAACTACGGTTCTCAGAACAGCTACAACTCTTACACCCCACCGGCCTACACTCCCCCGAGTTATAACACCCCGAGCTATACCCCGAGCTACAATGCCCAACCTGCCTATGCCGCCCCGGCCCCTGCTGCCCAGTACTATAACAGCTACCCAAGGAACTACTACAGACGTTAAACGGTTGTTTTTGTTCTCGGTGCTATTCGCCTTCATCATTTCAGCGTCGATACCAGCTATGAAGAGTTTGACCTTGATTTGATGGAGCCAATATAAGAGGTGGGAGGAGATGTAGTGAGAAGTGATTATGGAGACTGGTGGATACGAGTGTATGATTTTCTTTTGTTGGAATGGGTTGGTGGCGGGCTACATGTATTGGAGTTGGGTTCGTTTCCTTTTTGTTTATTCTGCAATGCTACGTATCACAGGAGTTCCTGCGTTTGAGAAAAACTTTTGTTATTTGATACTATATGGATGTAGCTGGTGCGTCATGTTTAGAGGTTGATACAGGTGAAGGGTACGCTTGTGGATGGAAAAACCTTTTTTTGGCTAGAAATATACAATATTACTGTCCGTTGATTGTCCATATGTTCCATTGCAAAAAGGTTGGGAACCGTGTCATGCATCGTGAATCAGTTTTCTCGTTTGTTTTCACAGTCAAACACAATAGATTCTATATATAGGGTATTGTGAATATCAAAAGATGGAATAAGAGTTTAAGATGGATAATGCCAAAGATCTGTATAGGAGAGATCGAGAGGTAGCGCATATACAAAGTACCTTACTTGAAACCACCCTACGTATATCAAGACAGATATCAAGCTGTAGATTCGAGTTTAGAGGAGAGAAAGCAATTATGCCGTAGGAATAAAGTAGCAAGATCGTAATTAACCTTGCCAGGTATGGTACTGGATCCATCCGCTTTTTTGGTATATATTGTGATAGACGGCTTATTGAGTTAGTTCCCAAAAACACCTAGGCACGCTATGTCTAATCCGATAAACGGGTGTAAAAAGGCGTTGCATATATTTCGTCGAGGCCGATAATGAGGGTCAATTGCTACATGTAATATAATATGACTAATGTTACCTGTCATAATTACGAAAGAGCCGGAATTTTGTTCCCCACGGTTTTAATTTCCTCTACATGTATTTGTATTTCTTACCCCACTTCGCATCTAATTATCACAGAATCGTGCTGAAATATGCCTTCCGAGCCTAGGATCAAATATGCAGTTTTCACTATGAATCATCAAATGCAATCACAATGGTGTCAATAGTAGATGATGTCAACGGATATATAGTCCGGTATATCAAGGGTTGTATGGGTATATAAAGACACCTATTTGCACTATAGTCGAGTATACAAGCAATACAAGCAACATATCTTTCTCCATCATACAAGCAGTCAAGAAAGCAGCCAACATCCGCCTATATCTATATTTCTAACAGTTTATGAGCCTGGCCAGTGCCACAATTCAATAAGCATATTTTATTCTTTCCCATATTATTTTCTTTATTATCTATAAAAGACTGATATAATGAATCAATAGTTCATAAACTTCATCATAGCCTCGGATTATCCCAAGCGTATAAAGATGGAGGAACAATCATGATCCAACATGAAAAATAAACCAAAAATTAATCGACCTCAAAGCTCCGAAGATCTTTGGCAGAGGCTCAACTTCCCGCTGTGCAATGGGAGTTTTGCGTTCTGGAACTCTGGTAAACTTGAGCAACCAGAGTTCGTCAGTTTAGTGACCTTCTACTTATCACCAAACGAATCAAAAATTAGCGACCACAAAGCTCCGAAGATCTTTGACAGAGGCTAACTTCCCGCTCGTGCAATGGGAAGTTAATATCCATCTGGAACTTGGTGTGCTTGAGCACCAGAGTTCGTCCGCTTACTTGTTCTAACACAAAGTATGCCATGAAGATTCAGAGGGAGGAAGGGTAGGAGGCATTATATAGTACATGGTCAAGTGGACAGCTATCGTGAGGGATTTAGCCACGACATCTATATCTAGCTATCTAGTAAACTTGGCCCGATTGTCGCGTATGTTGCATTATCAAGTTGTTCTCTTTAGACGTTAAACGTTGTCCGGAGAGGGGATTATCCATGTACTTAAGTACATATACGTGTTTTTGTCTATTAGCATGTACGAATACGTCTTATTTACTTCCGATTGACGTTTCAGAAGACAGTTGGGTTTATTAAAAGCCAAATTTTGTATTGTATTGTACACCTATAGCTACATGTAATTTTGAGACTTACATCTGTCTCCAGATAGGGAAAAAATATTTTATTGGTGAAAGTACTATATGTAGGCTTTCACCTAGCTGCACACGGCGTACCAAGATAAAATGATACTCAAATATTCAGCTGGCTCTAGTATCCAACGAGATTCATGCGGACCGTGATTACATGTGTACAACGAGTGACCTATCATGATCTCAACCATCCCGGTTGACCATCCAACCATCCATTGATCCGAGGGTCTCGGGTGCAGCAACTCGTCTCTGAAATGGTTTGGCACATTTGTTATCCGAGACGTTAAGGTTCACTTCATGACATAAGAAGAGCAATATCAACGACGTATGTACCGGTAAAACATATATATGTACATGTAAGTTAATTGGGTTACGTGGTTGCGGTTTCGGGCATTGCAAGTCTTACCTACTACACACGGATATATGCACAAAGGCCAGATCTTAAATACATACTTGTACCGTAGCAGCTCAGGGAACTCAAGCAAATGTAGCTACATGTACTACTGAGTTGGTGTTCCTTCAGTTTGATCGTCTACACTCATATTAGGGGTTGCTCAGTGCCCAGTGCCAACGGCTTGACCCGAGATGCCTAGCTCCCAAGATCTTCATATAAGATAAGATACGTATACTGGGGGCAGCATCAGACAGCCCCCTCTACACTATTGATCTCCCGGTAAAAACGGAAGGTTTGTCAATAGATTCTAAAACTCTCCAGGATGCAGGTATTCACATTGTACGTAACCACGACTGATCATGAGGCGGGAAGTATGGTGTTTAGTTGGGTTAAACAACTCAATGTTATGTAGATGCCCTTGAGGTTGAAGAAAGCTCGGCCATCAAAGGAACATGAGTTATCCTTATCACCCAGACATCACTACACCTACGTTTAGTTAATAAACAGGTTTCGGAGGTGCAATCATCTGGAACGAGGCAGGTACAGGCTGTTGTCAATTTATGCATATCTGTAGTACTGTCTGCCAAGAAAGGCTATGCTACATGTAATAAAGAACACAACCCATGGGTGCCTGCAGCTCCGGAACACTGTCGTTGGGCCAAGAATTCTGCGGTATACCGAAACGTTCACGGGACAAGCGGCATTGGAGGCCAAGAGGTATACGCGCGTCCTCGAGATTGTTTGTCCTCGGCGGGTGAATTTGAATATGTCGAGGATCGAAGCTGGAATGTGAATGTGGGGGTGTAAGCGTTCTGAGTAGTTAATGTGGTACTACTCAGAGTATCTGGAGGCTGAAGAAAAAGAGTTAGGCCGCTACTTCTATTCGTCACTGAAACGAACATCTTCGTAATAACGCCACTCCCGAAGGTCAGGCAGGAATGCGCAGGAGACATCAACATCTTTATTGGTGTCATATCCATCCAATACGTTCCCGGGCTTGCACTGAACGCTCTAGAAGGAAGTGCTCGGCACGATCCTTCCGATGCTTGCCCACAGACCCTTGTCCCTAACCGTCCAATTGACCCGCAGAAGCCACTCTACTCTATTTCGATTACCTACCTTGTGTGCGGATTCTGGTTAACGAAATGTCCCGGTCCGCCCCTTTTTGATTGGGTTCGGAGGCTGTGCAGTCAGTGCAGCGCAGTGACTTCTGTGTTTCATTCGAGGGTCTTGGCAGAACTTCACCAACCATCATTTCTGGATCTCTTGATACAGCTTGAAGCTCTGTGGCAACCATACTCACTGAGTTTGAATCAACTGATCTTATGCTGTACTCGTTCTGTAAACCGTGGGCCGTTATAGAGTAAATACATGTAACAATAGAACTCCCGAGTTGAGCTTTAAAGCAAAACTGATAAATTAAGAGCCTGCTATGGGGCTAGCTCGGTCTCAGAGTCAAGGATTAACCACGACGCCATGTACCAGTGGGGAATATTATTGAATACTAGTGGCTTTTGGTACCTCGAGGCTCTTGAGCCAAGCGATTTAGCTCTTCCCCAAGTTTTGGGCCGGGGCAGGGCAAGACAGCAAAAAGTTACCCCCCGAAAATATCTTGATAAACGGCAAGGTGGGTCATTTGGTAATGAGTTTAAGTTCAGGGACAAGTCAGAAGAAGGTACGTCAAGTGCTATCCTAACAGTCCCCCTCTTCCGTGTCGTGTTCTACATTACTGTGGCCCTTTGTTCTCTACTCTCTTTCAAGCTGTCTGTGACGCTCCTATCTTCCCACTTTTGTTACACCCTCCGTCCACAATGAAGACTCGACATGCCAGTGCGACTAATCTGCTATCTCTACTTGCAGCCTTTCTCCCCGCTGTAGTTGGGCAGGATGAGAGCAATCCAGGAACGCACAGCACTGTTTTTGACCCGAAATACAATGTACCTAATAGCCTCACAATAAACCCACGAACACACCCAGGTCTCTTCAGTGTAAGTCCGATCTGACCCCGCGTGCATATCCGGAGATCCCCAATGTTTCAAGCGCCTGACAAAAGTAAAAAAATCGTGTAGTTCACCGGTCGATGGCTCCTCTCTCCCGCACGCCCTACCCGGCCGCAGAATCCGGTTTACCAGTCAACACTTTGGCCCGGAAACTCCGTGACCGTTCTAGCCCATGGCACTGAAATCTCCGTGAAAATTGTGCCGAAACCGCAGGGCTGGATTGAGGACTACCATTTCTATGTGTCGGTCGATGGCGGAGAAGACGCCCGGTACAGCATCCCGGCTTTCAACTCAACCGAGATGAACAAAGCCGGAATGGCGACTTCTTTCAGTGTTCCGATCAAGGAATTGGTTGAAGGCGTGCAAGGCGCGCAAGGCGATCTGGGCGACATGCTTGAGCCACACTTGATCCGTCTTACAAGCGTCCCGGAAACACCACTATCTTTTGAGGGCCTGGAGGTACAGAAGACATTGATAAACGAAGGGAAAGGGTGGATGGAAGAGCAGGATGACAGGCTTTCGATCGAGTTTGTTGGTGAAGGAAGTGATGCGGAAAGAGAAACCGGGTTCTTTGACGTACAAAATGTTTATGGTGATGAGCCGAAACCTTCGCTCGACATCTGGCGACACAGTGTGCAGTATAGAGTAGGGGAAACATTGGGCGTGAGACACAGCCATATCTCCGCAGGTTCGTATTTTGTTTATTCTCTCCCAGAAAACAATAAATTAACAAAAATATCGATCATAGGAACCTGCCTCCTCACATCCTGTCCAGACCAGGCCGGGCTGTTTGATCAGTACTTCCAAACCTCTCCCTTCCTCAATTGGGTGGAATCTGATTCAGATCTCGATCCGCACCACAATTCCCAGCTCAAAACACCTTACCGCTTCCCCGAACTCTCTACCAAGCCACAAGTACCTATCCCGCCCGTCAATATCGTTGTCGTCGACCTTGGTGTTCTAGATATCCTGATCCACCGCCAAAACCCAGACGATTACTCCCGCGCACTTGTCCTCTTTCTCGCACGTCTCCGATCCCAAGCGCACCCAACAGCGCAAATCCTTGTAGTTGCGAGAAACAGCAAATATGTTGTATCTTCCTCCCCCCCATATGCCCTCGAATCTACTCCAGAAATCACACAACTTCGTGAGAAGTTGTATACGGCTACTGAAAAAGCGGTTAAAGTGCTGCGCAAAGAAGCAGCTGATGAGAACATCCATTTGGTCTCGCTGCCGTCCATTGCCACATCAGAAGCGAGTGCATATCTTCATGCCATCTGCCCATTTATAGTGCGATCTCCCTCAGTCCTCTCCAAGCTCTCCCTGAACAGATTTGGCGGAGTGGCCACACCGTCGAAAGCGCAGAAAGTATGTCTAGAGCTCGGTGGCCAAGAATATGGTAGCGGATTCAGTTATCTGGGATGGAACTTGACTCTGATATCGATTGTGCTCTTCGGTCTGTGGATGTCAAAGAGCATCCTCGTTGGAGCTTCGGCCGCGATATTTGGGAGAAAGACGTTGGGGATGGAGGAAGTTGAGGTTGAGAGGGGGCTGCTCAATACTGGCAGCGCAAAAAAGAATGAGAATTATGATAAGTCGGGTTAGTTCCTGGGTTTGGGTATATGGCGTTTTTGATACGACTGGAACGCTTGTTACGGCGTAATAGTATAGCAGCTAGGGTCGGGTATAGAATATGTAGTTGTAATAGCAGCCGATGTTGGGTAGGCATGTCCGCATCTTGGGCTGAGCGTTCATTCTGGGATTTTTTCTTTTGTTAGTAGAATTAGCACTCTCTCTTCATTTTCATATGTTGTCTTTCCTCGTAGTTTTATCGAGGTTTGCTCTTAATTAATATATCTGCCAATTGCAAAGAAGGAATTCGAAAGACTGGCTATCGTGGGTGTCTGCACATCTTTCGTTCACTATGTAACTGCAGGTAGAAATGAAGGAAAGAAGAGCTTCTGTTAGATATATAAACATTCTCCCTAGAAGCACTACGTACCCACCGGGGGTGGTGGGCGGCGGGGGCTACTCCGTCGCATCGCACATCACGACGGAGCTGACGCCGCAACGTACGCCGACGGGGATGTTTGGTGACGAAGCTGGTCGACATAGAAGCTTTTATAGCTTCGTTTTGGAGGGTATATGTAATAATTGCTTTTTCATAAATACATGTACATAAATAGATCTACAGTATCGAACCAGTGGCAGCGAACGCGTGTGCAGTGTTTAATTAGGGTTTGGGACGTCCTCCTGTTGTAATGCGTATCTGGTACCGATCTTTCATGTCTTCCAATAAATCAGGCAGTTTTACCAGACTAGAACCTTGCCAAATTCAAGAGTGCTCTTTACACATCTAGGTTTTCTCATAGCCTCTGGGAGCTCGGAGTCATAGGTACAGTATCTGTGTGTATGCAGGTACACCTAACCCTGTATCTGAAATTTTCCACAACACCATCATGATCGTGAGTTGGTACTTTTGCGTAGGGGTACATACAGTTTCGAGAGCAAACGTATCTACTGAACTTTTCAGAAGCTTTGTTCTAGCTCGAGAGTCGTAACCACCCGAATTAAAGCCATCCTTGGCGCCAAGATATTTTATAACTGGGGTTGGAGTATTATTCTTTCCAGAGCTCGAGGTTAAGGATCTAAATATACATAGAGCAGGATTGGCTCCCACGAACTAGTTTATTCGAATTGAATAGATATAATTATTTGTTGGTTATGTGCGTGTTCTGGCGCATCCGTGAACCAGATTTGTCGTCAATGGGCCAGACCACTAAATTTATAAAGAATGTTACTCTGTCTCCATGACAATTTATACATGTATTCAATCTTCACACATACTTCTTATGTATCCCTTCGAGAACTGTGTCCGGTACTGTCGTGCAGGATACGTGACTATCAGTCATTTATCCTATAACTATGGACTTATGACAAGGGATAGGTGGCGTGATAACTTGTCCTCAATTATGTTGTATAAGGAGCTAGAAACTCTAGTAGTCCTATTAATATCAACATTGTCTCTCTCCTAATCCAATAGTTTGGTCTCCCTACACCCATTAGAACACGCACTGCCTTGCAGTACGCATCGCACAATAGGTGGCAGGTGTGGTCACCCCGTATTTCATCCTCATCCTTCTCTAGATTGGAACTGAAACTACACGGATCCGAACCGGTCAATCAATCTCATCCCCCTCGGGAACAATCCTACGGTTTAGTCTTGGAATATTCTAGGAATCAGGATAGTACGTTTTACACCGAGTCACCCTGCCTATGATGCATGTTAACGGAAAGGAAAGGATAGAGCTGATACGAATGGGTGACTCAGATATTCGGGGGCCTGGCAGAGATAGTAGATACCCGGAGCTTGGTAAAATGATTACGGTGGTAGATTGAATTCAACTGATGGCATAGTCGAAAATTCTATAAATTCGGGTAGTATTTATGGCCATTCATCCACTTGGGACCCTTCTTTGACATGCATGTTGATTAACTGGGGACGAGCCTATTTCTCGTGAGTCCATAATATCGAACATAGAGTAATAAGGAGGGTTTTATCGAGAAGAATATTCGACTCCTTAGGAAAGCGGATAGTTTACGCACCAGTAAGAGATTTCCTGCCTTTCTTAATGCCAAGTTAGGGTCAATGATAGCTTGGCCTTTTTTCTCCATTCATCTATCTCATCAGTCGGGTGAGAGGCTCGAAATCAACTTGCTGATTCCATTCCACACGGCTAATTGAGAGAATCCGCTACAGACATACTCTCCATACTGATATAAATGGCAAAAACTTCTCGTGAGGCCAATTCCCTTTTCATACTTCTACCTGCCAAGTTATCGCTCACGTGACTGAAGACTTGGCATGTTCCAACCCTCACCCACCCGCCCCCGCGCCACTCTAACCCACCCCACCAAGGTGTGACATGAACACTTATCTACCACCCCCCCGACTTCAATTCCCGCTTCATGCTCACCCGCCAATGCCGAAGCCAATTCCTCATCGTTCACCCGCAGCAGCGCCTACTCCTTCGCAGCTTTTCCACCGGTAACGATGAGGACCACACGAGGAGGCTGCTCAGACGACGCATGAGCATTGGGCTCCCTGCCGACACAACAGGTATTGGTGGTGGCAGCGGTCATGGAGGTCTGGGGAGGTGGGATGAGGCGCCGCCGACCTTCTCGTGGAGTCGGATTCAAGATGGTGGTGGGTTTGGCCTCATCTTTCCTTCTTTTTTTCTCTTTTTCTCGTGGTGGAGGCGTTTGGTTGACCATATATGCATTGCAGTGTTACCCTCGACACGGCCGAAAGGTGTACATTACCAGCTCACCGACATTGGAACCACTACCTCCGCATTTCTTTCCGCAATCTTCAAGCCAATTCAGGCTTTCTTCCCAACGCGCATCAACGAGTACCCGCCGCCTCCTCCTCCGAAACCGCTCTCTATTGCTACACCAACATCAACACGCGCCCTGCGTGACCTCGAGGAAGGCATTCTATCTACTGAGAAGTCACTGAAATGGATTAGCAGTAAGCATAGGGCTCTAAAGTCGCACTCGCCATATCTACAGCTCAGCAGCCGGGCCGTGGTGTCGCTATTCCAGAGACTCTTAGAGGCAGGGATGTACAAGCGGTTTCTGGAGGTCCTGGAGAGCGAGGATGTGCTAGCTGAGGAAGGTGTGGATCTGGTATGGATGAGCCTGGAGAAGTACGATGCGGTGACGAGGCGGAGGATACTCGAGGGGCTGTGCGAGACATGCAAAACCCAGCATCGACAGCGGTTTAGAGGGATGTTGATGGGGCTGGATTATAAGGTGGAGAAGGATCTGCACATGGATGTGCTGAATGAGACGGCGCAGATGTTGTCGCAAATCCTTGTTGTGAAGGCGCCGACGGAGAAGGGGTATGCCGCTGAAGTGGCCAAGGCAACGGTTGTAGCAGAGCTGTCTGGGGTGTGTGATAAGATCGCTGCTGGGACTGTCAAGATAGGCGTCGAGACGAGTCAAGCGGTGTTCCGCCGGTTCTTGGAATTGGGCGGGATCAATGACGCGGTCAAGTATGCGCTGAAACCGGCGGTCAATGTCCCCGGAGCACATAATATCGCAAGGTTGTGTGATGCACTCTGTGATAAGTTCAGGTATCAGGATGCGTACAGGCTGATCATTGACGCTTTGAAGGTCCAGTCATTCGGATTCATCTCAGATTTAGATGTGCGGGCTGGTGTCCGCACTGTTGATAGACTGAGTGGGAGAACTGAGGATGAGCTTGTAGACTTATGGGAAGCCCTCAATGCATCTTACGCAATATCAATAAGAGATATTACCAAGGACACTTTTGCCGCGTTTATTGGACGAGCCTCCCGGCTCAAATTCGGGCGACGGTCACAATGGTGGGAGGGAAACGGGGCTACTCCGCTGCTCAAAATGTGTATGGAGATTATCATTCTGCGTCTGCGCGGAGAGGTGAACACCACACATCTTGCAACCCTCATGGAGGCCTGGATATGGAACTGGCAAGGGGACGAGGACAAGAGGGTCGATACTACGTCACTAGACGAAAGCATCCCATTTCTGCCAAACTTCTTGGATATCCTTTCTCATGAGCAGCTTGACCAGGTTCTCATCATGGTAATAAACAGGATAACTATAAACTGCCAGCGAAGAGGTAACGAGATATTCCCAGTGCGAGTATTGTGGCCGTTTGTTTCCTCCGTGGCCAAAAGTCAACTTTGGAGGAATGAGGAGAGCGTAGCACTGTGGGCTCTCGAGGGCGCTGTATTAAGGAAAGGCCTAGCATCCAAATACCTCGCCTTCCGCAGCGACCCCGAAATCGCTCGCTTTGTCGTGCGCCAGTACCTCCCCTTCCGCATGGCCGTCGAGGGCGCAGACGGCACCGAGAAGGAGAACGCCAAAGCCGTCTTCATGCAGCTGCGGGGAATGGACAATCCCGGCGGCATCACGATCACCAACTCCGAAGGCAACCCAGAGGCCATTGGCCCCTTCGCACATGCCATCCTCGCCTTCAAAGACACCGGCATCCCATGCCGCACCCTCCTCCTCGATATGGTGTACACCCTCTATCGCCTCATGCGGCCCCAAGAAATCGTCGAGCTCCTCCGCGCCCTCAACGCCCACGGCATCCGCCCCAGCTCATCCCAATACTCCCTCCTGATCCGCACCCTGACCCCCACCCACCCCTCCAGCGCCCTCTCCCTCCTCAAGCTCTACGCAAAATCCCAATACAGCGTCTTCGCCGCCTTCATCGCCTCCACAGCGTCAACACACCCCCACCTCGCCATCGCCGCATACCGCTTCCTCACCCGCCCCAACGTCTTCCCCTTCACGCCCGACCAGCCCTGTCTCGCGCCGCGCCGCCTCCCAAAACGCCGCCTCCTCCTCGCCATGGCGTGGAAATTTGCAAATTCCCCCGCTCTGACGGCGAGGCAATGTCAGCGCTGGGTCCACATCTGCTACGGGACCATGCTCAAGCTTGGCTATGCCCCCGGGCCAACGATGGGTCTAGCAATTGCTGTTGCAGCAGTCCAGAGAACGATCAGGGAGGGTATCCCCGTCAGCATCAATAGCGCGCGGCAGCGGTGGGTGATCCAGGCTGTCAAGAGACAGGCGGGGACGAGGAAGGCGGAGGAGGTGGCGAGAATCTTGAAGAGATGTGAGGATGTGCGCAGGGAGCGGAACCGGCATAGGAATCGGGAGGTGTCGGCGGGGCATCGGGATGTGGAGCTGTGGTTGGAAAAGATTAGAGGGCCGGATGCGCAGTGGTAATTGGTGTTTTTTTGTTTGTGTGGCCTTTTGTGTGTATAATGGACCCTGTGTGTATGTATTTTTTTTTTTCCTCTCGATTTTTCCCCTTCTTGTAAACTTTTCTTATTCTTGGTTGAGCGGGGGAAAAGTAGTGGGGTTCTAGTTGTTGCTGTTTTTTTTTTTTGGCTGGCTGGCTTTCTTGTATAAAACTTCTTGGGTTATTGCTTGCCTGTGGGTCTGATGATGTAGACGGGGCTTGTTGTTGCATTTTGAGCGTACAGGATATCATTTCATTATTGAAGGTGTGGTGCGGTGTGGTTGTAAACTTGTATACATATAGAGCCAAAAAAAATATGGATATGGGATATGGGGGTTGGTTGGTGTCTGTTCATCATACGAAATCACTCGGTCGGTATTATTTTCATTTTCTCCCCTCTGGTATACTCAGCGTTGGTACTTTGTACGTAAGAAAAAGAGCAATAGACAGTACTATTGTGATGGAATCAGAATTCTTAAATCAGGCACTGTTCCTATTACTTTTTCACCCCCGCCCACTGAAAACCAGGCTTCTAGCAATGATCAAACCACCCACAAAGCCAGATCCAACACAACCGCCAAAAACCAAAAGCCAAAGACAAAAAAAAAAAAAAAAAAACACCAAACAATAAAATTAACTACACACTAAAAAAACACACCTTACTGCCTCACTTACACCTCTTCTCCACAATGCCTGCACCATGCTCATCATACTCCTTCCTACTGATCCACAACTGATGGAACGCGCCCAAGCTCGCCAAAATACTCCCTCCCAGCCACCCGGCATACCGCCTCTCCACGCTATTCCCCGCCGCCATAACCCTGACCCTTGGGCCCGGGAAGGCGGCCGCAATCTCCGCATTGACGCGGTCCGTGAAGCCATACACGAGGGAGCCGGCGCCGGTGATGACGACGTTGTTGAGGATCAGCTGCTTGAGCTCGATATCGACGTCCTTCATCGACGCGTGGATGAGCGCGTTGAGGCCGAGGGTGCTGCTGGGGTCGGGGTGGCCGGCGTAGTTCGTGAACATGGAGGGCGGGTGGAAGATTCCCTCGGCCACGCGGTGGCGCTCAGAGTTGAAGACGAGGTTGTAGCCGTCGGGGAACTCGAACGGGCGGCCGGTGGTGGAGAGGAGGGATGTGGCGGCGTCGTGGGCGCCGGTCGAGGGCGGGAGGGGGCCGGGCCCCGTCCACACCTGCGCCGTGTACTCCTTGAACTCGGTGAGGACGCGCTCCTCCTGGAAGCGCTTGTAGGACTCTGTTGGCTCCTGGCCGGGCTCGAAGGCCTTGTAGACGGCGTCGGCGGGCTTCCACGCCTCGACGGGGTTCTTGGAGAGGACCTGGTAGTGCGCGGAGAGCGGGATGGCCGCGGAGGCGAAGTAGGCGCGGATCTGGTCGGAGAGGAAGTTGCCGCCGAGCGGGGAGCGCGTGCAGCCCTTGCGCAGGACGAGGCCGTCGTGGATGGGCGTGATGGAGATGTTGGAGGCGCCCACGTCGATGACGAGGCCCGTTGCTTTGCCGGAGGCGAAGCCGGCGCAGACGCCGGACTTTGCGAGGTAGAAGGCGGGCACGTCGAAGTCCTCGAAGGCGATCTCGATGGTCTTTTCGCGGTTCTTGGGCGGGTTCCAGGAGGGCTCGGTCATGAGGAGGGGGTGCTCGGCGAGCGTCGTGGTGAGGCGGGAGGTGATGGCTGCGCGCCAGAGAAGCGGCGCCGTGTCCCAGTCCGCGACTGCAGGGAGGGGATTGTCAGTTGGGGGGGGGGGGGGGGGCTCAATGTCACGGTTGGGGTAGGGGCCGCACCTATGCCGTCGCTCATGGGATTCCGGATCTCCATGCCGGGCCGTATCGCGTGGACGTCGTTGTCGCCGATGAACAGCTTGCGGGGCTCGTCGCCGGCGGCATCGATGACTCCGTAGTCGCTGGGAATGACGCTCTTGGGTGTGTCTTCGCCGGCAAAGCCGGCGCGGGTCCACGCTGTGCCCGGGTCTAGTACAATGGCGGAGATCTCATCTGTGGAGTCCGTTTGTTAGTTCTGAGCTGAATCTCTAGCTGCGAGATGTGTTTTGCGGGAATGTACCTCCTCCATACTCGACCGTTGAGGGCGCCTGGTTCGAGGAGAGCGTCTGGTGAAGGTGGGACATGGTTTCGTGAGTGTTGTGGGGGAGATTGAGGGGTGAGGCGCCGTGGATCGTTTCTTCGAGCTCAAGAGGGCCGTGGGGGGGGGAACGCGTTGTGTTGTGGGGCCTGGATCACAATCAGGGTAACGCGGCATCTGATTAGATAAGATAAGCCCGATAAGCAGTGGAATACTTCGATACGTCTGGAAGGCAGTGCGTGTTCCAGATGAATGGCTGTAGCAAGACCAGGCTAGAGTACTGGATGGGAGGAGAGACGAGAATGACGCTAACAGGACTACTGGAATTTTTGGTTTTATACAACATGACCGAGCACAGGTTGTCACCTCACAGCTGTAGTAGACGTACACAGCGGACAGTCACGACAATGCTGGAAGACACTGCAATTGTGCTTTCCACTGTCCTGGCCCACGGAAATAGCACCAAGGTCACTCCTAGTTATCTTTTCCTGGGGGGCCGCGCGGGACCGAGATGAAATATCAACCGAATCATAGGTGCGTGAGCTTTCAAAGTATAGATAATTGCATTGGCGAGAACCCTTATACATACATAGTTCCCGAATATATAGTTAATTCGTAATCGCAAAGCCATATACGCCAGCTTTTGTGCACTCGTATCTACAGTCGTTTACCATCTCTCTTGAATACTGCCACTGGACGATTCTGATTCACAGGGGCCCCAAGTATGGCAAGAAACAGGCAAGCATTGTCCTTGTCGTTGACAGTCAAGCGACTGCAAACGACTGTAGAGGTTTACTTCACAAAAGTGGGCGGTCGTGCCCTTGAAATATACGCCACCTTCACGCACATCCATCCCCTAACCCTCACGCACTATCCATACATTCCATTGCCACCCGCGCCAGCACCCAGCAAAGCACCGATGCCTAACAGCTCAACAACCTCCTACCACCTTCCTCCTCCTCACCCTATCTAAACATACCACCTCCTACCCTGATTCAAGAAACCTACAAACAAAACACATCCCTCACCCATTTCCTCACCCTCCTCCTCCTCCGCCCTTTCACAGGCCCCCCAGCTATCCCCGCGTCGTCACCTACCCACCACACCTGCTTCTCAGGTGTCTGTGTTCCGCTATCTGTGCGCCCGTTTGACGTCGGCGCTTCTGTATACATGATCGGCGCTGGATATGCACATATCTGCGCAGGTGTGAGGGTTGCCGGTGGCAGGGAGATGTACAGGCGGTGAGTCTCCATTTTTCGGTCTAATGGGGGGCTTGGTGGGTAGTCGAAGAAAGGGGAGATTGGGCGCTTTATGAAATTGTAATGCAGTATATGGCTGCTTTCTACGATGTGCTGATTGAGATCGATTGGTATCGAAGCATTCAATATATGCGTACGTCATGGAGTATCACTCGGCATAGAATTATATGCTATTTATTGGATATGAGGGGGGCAGGGTTTAGGCACCCAAATGCAGGGGGGCTTTTGTATTTGTTCTCCCGGCCATTATTTTTGAGGTCAGGTGCTTAGATATGGTGCACAGATTCCTCGATGCGAGTGTCCAGCTGCTCGCACTAATATAGTGGGAGTATATGACTTTGCTAGACCGGATGGATATCTCCTGACGCAGCTGACCAGATCCATCAGCAGATATTAGCGATTCGCTAAATTTCTCGCACGTTCCACAGCTCACTACTCATTGGCCATAACTCACTGGCCACTGGTTTGTGTCGTGTGCTCAACGCCCAGCACAGAGATGGCAAGCATCTGAATCCGGAGCCAAAATTACCTTAGAGCCATCCTTGGCGCGAGTGATACCACATGATTCAGCCTAGGCCTGCTGGTGTTGTAACTGGATTACGACTGTCACACTCGCAAACCTACATGTACGTACGTACGCACACACAAAAAGCACGTGTAGGCTGCCTCTTCTTTCTCTCGATCTCCCCTTCCAACAATCATCAACAGCTTCACCATTGGCCATCTATACAGATTTACCACTTATAGGATCGGCATCATAATGATTTCTCGTTCTCGTCTCAGTTTCTGTTACACTTTTTTCGGAGCACAGGATGGGAATACAAAAGCTCAGGGTTGAATTATCCATTACTGATTCTCGCCACATAACTATTTCAGGCCTAATTTCAGCTTTTCTTTGTACGGCCTGGAAGTAACATACAAGCTCCTAGAGTTGCAGAGGCTTGAAGCTGAGATTTCTGAAACCCGGGATTCCTTTTATGGCACATCACTAGATATACTAGCCAGCACCAGTATATATATATATATATATATATCCTTACGCATGTGGTTCGGCACGAGCAAGAGAGTTTAGAGGGTTAGGACTCACTCTCACTAACTAGCACTGTGGATACCGTTCTGTGGCAACAAAAAAAAAAAATAATGGCAAAACGTCCAAGCCGAAATAGGGTGGGGCTTAAACGGCTGATTGCCAACAAAAAAACCAAGCCATTGTGATAATGGCTCCAGCCCCTAGGCTCGAATGCTAGTGATGGGGGTGAAATGCAAGAGGGAAGAAGAAGACTTGAGCATAGCCTTATCTAGTCTTGGACATCTGCAAGCTACGTGTTTGTTTGTTGGCTTTGTCAATATACGAGAGAAGTCTTACATCTTGACAAAGCCTCGAGCCTGTCAAGTCCGAAGTATTTATCAAACGATACTCTTAATATATATATATATAATATAGGCTACACCTCCTACCAGTCACCCTGATATCTCTCGCAGTCCGCAATCATTCGACTACATGTAAATAAGATCATGACTGGCTGAAAGTTTTTGAGAGGTCTCGTAAAGCATATTACCTTGGGGTACTTCTTACCTTGCCTTAACCTGTATTTCAAGACAAAGGCTCGGCATAGTATTTGTTCCGAAGAACTGCATGCCTTAATAACTGCACGTCCTACCAACACGAGGCTTTTCTAGACCAAAAAAAAAAAAAGACATGCTCGTCTGTTCGTTATCTATAGGAGTCCACTGGTTGGTTGGGTTGGGTTGGGCAACCTGATTTGAGTGCCTATGGTGCCGAGTGATATCTAGTGACTCTACACCGAAATTGATTCATGCACACGATAGGGAATGCGGGTTCAGAGAGCAGGTATTTGGATAGGTATAATTGACAAAGCCCCTCGATCCTATTCCGTCACCAGGAAGCACTTCCATTGGCCAGGCTGAGACAAAGAACCGCCTCCGAGACTGGAAGGGGGTGGGAACTGGCACCAAAAAGTGTCGCGATATATGGCTCTGACAACAAACACTGCCAGAACTATAGCTACAGTTTTAAATATCAACTTTGGATTACCCACATAGATCTTCAGGGGGAAAAAAAAATTAGCACTTTAGAAAGCAGATATAACTAAAACAAATCTCAACCTCGCATGTATAACAATAAGTAACAGTAATACGAATATAATACTAATACTAATACCGCCGCCGCCACTGCACCTATATAAGTTAAGCATATATATAACACAATCATGACCACCCCACGGTCACCCCACCACCCACTAGACTACCACACCATACTACACCAGGACACAACCTACATTTATGATTCCAGAGAACAGAGTGAAAGACAGTGAAAGACAGAGAGAAGAGAAGAAGAAATAGTTAGGACAGACAGACGTCCGTTATAAAAAAGGTATTCACAAACGCCAACCAACCGCAACAAACAGACCCGTCCTTTCCCATACAAAAACCAGGAGCCATGTGATAATATAATAATAAAAAAAGACACAAAACACCAACACAGAGAAAAGACAGCATAGAGAGGAGTGAAAAGAAAAAGAGTAAAAGAATATAAAAAATACACCCTAAGACGGCATCGGTCTAATCCTCGAAGCCCCGCCTCCACCAAAGAAGCTTCCACCCCCGCCCCCACCTCCACCCCTACTACTATTCCCACCGTTTCCCCCGCTCCTCCCACCCCTACTCCCGCCCGCCTGGAACGCCCCTCCCCCGGAGCTCTTCTTGGCCCCACCCGACTGCTTCCTCTGCCCACCACTCCTCTTCCTCCCGCCCCTTCCTCCAAACGCCTTCTTCCTCGGCCTCGCCCCCGCACTACTCGCACTCCCACTCCCACCACCGCCGCCACCGCCAGCACGCGCAGCATTCGCAACCTGCTCCATCATCGCCTGCTGGGCCTGCGACATCTTCGGCGGATTGAAGTACTCGCTCTCAGCCGCAAAGTATCCAGACTTATCGCCCGTCTCTGCGCCGATCTCGTTGTCGTCGTCTTCGTCGTACTCGCTGCCGTCGTCGTCATCGGTGGTGCTAGGAATCTGCGTGGGTGCGGGCACTTGCGACAGGTCGGCGCCTTGCATGTTTGTTTCGCGCTCTTCCCGCAGCGGCGCGGTGAGCTTGAGGAAGGAGGCGCCGAAGTTGTCGGCTTTCTCGGTGGGGATGTTGGGGATTGCGCGGAGCTCGTCGAGTGCTGTGGGAGGGGGCTGTTAGTTACCGGTTTCTTGGGGGGGGGGGGGGGGGGTTAGTTACTTCGTGGGAGGCGCAGGCCAATGGTTCGTAAAATCTTGTCCGTAAAGACGCTTTCGATCCTCTGGATGCGCTTCCGCTCCATGATCTTCTGCCGCAGCTTCTTTGCGTCGGCCACAAAGCGCTCCATGATGTCCAGCGCATACGAATCATACCCCTCGAGCTCCGGGTCCCCTGTGATCGGCTTGCCCATCTTCTTCTTCTGCCCACTACCGGCAGTATTACGTTTCTTGCTCCCCCCCTGGCGCACAGGCATGAATCCGAGGCTGTCGGGCTGCTCATCGTCCTCTTCTTCGTCGTCGTCAACTACAAAGCCGTCAAGCTCATATTCGTTTTCCCCCCCGAAGTCCTCCTCTTCGTCTTCGGCTTCGGCTTCATAGTGGCGGGTGCGTTGTACTTTAGTGACTTTCTCCTTGAACTGGTACCGGCTGCGGATGCTCTCGACCTCGAGGGCCGCGGTCGTCAAGTGGCTTGCTGCTGTCCGCTTTGCCGCGGCGGCAGTCTTCTTGGGGAAGGCCATCGAGATTGCACGGCGGCTTTGCAGGATCGGGTTTGCTTTTGCGTTATTCAACTATAGAGATCCATCAGTATGGCAAGCTCCTTTTAGCACAAAAAAGTTGAGATGAAATAAATACTCACGTAGACATGGCTGACATAGAACCCCGCCTTATTCTGCACATGCTCCTCCGTGACGGCTCCAATCTGGACCAGATAATGAAACAGCCTCTCACAATCACTGCGATCCCACTTCTTCCCCGCGCCATATCCCGCCAGCCCATCACTACCACTATCCTTATGCGCCTTACTCGCGCTGCCACGGAACACATCAATACAGTACAGCAGCGTCTTCTCATTCAGCTGCGACACTACATTCAGCGCCGCAACCGCCATGTTCGTGATATCCACATCCTCATACTCAATGCCCGAGCAACAATTATCGCAGCTCTGGTCGCACTGCTCCTCCGGGAAGTTCTCGCCAAAGTAGCGCAGCACCTGGACACGGCGGCACTCGGCCTTATTCTCGCAGTACTGCACCACCATCTGCAGCATCTCAATCTGGCGCCTCTTCTGGTCGGCATTGCCGTCGCCGTCCTTGATCATGCGGTAGAGCGTGCCCGTGTCGCCGTAGTTGTAGAAGAGGAAGCAGCCGCTGGGCAGGCCGTCTCTGCCGGCACGGCCCGTCTCCTGGTAGTACCCCTCGAGACTCTTGGGGATGGTGTAGTGGATCACGAAGCGCACGTCTGGCTTGTCGATGCCCATGCCGAAGGCGATAGTCGCGACTATAACATTGAACTGTCTTGCCTGCCAGCCCTTCTGCAGCCGCACCTTCTCCTCCGCTGCCAGGCCCGCGTGGAAGTGCTGCGCCTTGATGCCGCGCATGCGCAGCTTCTCCGCGGTCTGCTCGCAGTTGGCGCGGGAGAGACAGTACACGATACCCGTCTTGTTCGCGTACTTTGGCTGCCTGCAGATGTCCACGATCTTGTCCAGTATGTCTTTCCCCTTCTGCAGGACCTGGTAGTGGAGATTCGGCCGATTGAAGCTCTGCTGAAACGACTCGCAGCGCGGCATCCGCAGGTTCGCCGTGACATCCATCTGCACCTTCTTCGTTGCCGTCGCCGTCAACGCGATCCAGGGCACATCCGGAAACTTCTCCCTTAGCTGCCCCAGCGACTTGTAGTCGGGCCTAAAGTCGTGCCCCCACTGCGAGACACAATGCGCCTCATCAATGACCACCCGCGCCAGCTTCCCGCGGCGATGGAGGTGCACCAGCGTATTCACCATCTTGTCGCTCTTCGCGATCATTTCCGGCGTGATATACAGCAGCTGTATCATCTCCTCGACATCCTGGTGGTAGAGCGAATCATACAGCACGCTCCTCTGCATCTCGCTGATCTCGCCATTGATGTAGAAGGCCATGACATTCAGCTTCTGCAGATGGTCGACCTGGTCCTGCATCAGCGACAGCAGCGGCGAGACCACGACCGTCACGCCGCGCGTCCTGCCCGTGCTGATGACGGCGGGCAGCTGGTAGATGAGCGACTTGCCGCCGCCCGTGGGCATGAGCACGAACACGTCCTTGCCCGACAGCGTGGCGTTGATGGCCTCCAGCTGGTTGTTGCGGAAGCCCTTGAGGTTGAATCTGCGGCGGAGCTGATCCGCGACGTCGCGCGACCAGGGGTGCCGCATGGCGGCGCTGTTCATGTCGATTGTGGCGGCGCGCTGGACATGGAGCCTTGCGTGGGGGCCTGCGGGCGCGATCTGGGACTTCTGCGGTGTCTGGCTGGACGGGTGCTGCTGCTGCTGCGTGGAGCGGCCGAGGGCGTTGTTGATAGTTCGTGGCTCGGGCGGGGAGTTGCCGGATGTCCTTGCGAGCGGTTCTCGTGGCTTTGCGGTTCTCGATGTGCTCTTCTGGATCTGGACAAGCTGGATGTCATCGTCGTCGTCGCTGATGACAATCTCGCTGAGCCTGTGTGAGGGCGTCTTTTTGGCCGGCTTCATATAACTGCTGACAGTATTTCCGAAGCTCTGCTGTTGCTGCTGGTGGTGATGGTGTTCCTGTCTACTACTCGTCGATGTATTGAAACCCGCCGCCATATTCCCCTTGAAACTCGACACCGTCCTCGACTGGTAACCAAACGTGCCCAACTGCTGCTGCTGCTGCTCCTCCTCCACCATCTCCTCCACATCAAAGTCCTCCCCATAATCGCTCCCATCGCTCTGCAGCGCCGGGTCCGGCGGCACATCGCAGTCCTCATACGCACTATAATCCCGCCTCTTCGCTGGCGACCTCTTACTCCTCTTCGGGGACTCAAACGCCGACGGGCTCGGCGGCGGCGGCGGCGAGCCCATGCCAATTATGAATGCATCCTGTCTCGCTGCTCTTTGTAGCTTCCGCGGCGAGGCCCACGCCTCTATCAATGACATATCCCGCTCGTCGCTGTCCTCCTCCAATATTTTCTGTCTTCTGATGGGGCTGCTGGGCGCATACTGCGTCTGCCTGATGATCTGCGACGCCACCCGCTTCCGAGTTGGCGTCTCGGGCACTACCGGCTGCGTTGCCTCTACGCACAGATTTGTCTCTGCCTCTCCAGCTTCAAACGCCTTGATGCGCGCCTCAATGGCTTTAACCTTCTTCCTGAGCGCTGCAGACTCCTGGACGAGCTCCATTGGCGGCATGGCGCCCTCAGCATTGTAGTCCGATACCTCCTCCATCTTGGCATAGCTCTGCCTTGTGACGCTCGGGAGCAGCTTCTTGAGCCCCTCTAGATCGTAGTCGGAGAGCCCGTCGTCGCTCTCGGTGCGGGCCTTCTTCTTGGTCCGGTCAGAGCGGGGCGTGGGCGGGATTGCGGTCCGTTTTGATACGCCAGCAAGCTTGGTTGGGCTGTCGCGCTGCAGCGGTGATGCCTCATCGCGCGGATGGGGTCGGCGGCGTTCCTGTGTTTGTGGTGGAATGGTTATTGACGATGCAGGGCCTCGACTGGAGGAGGATGTAGGAGCTCGACTGGAGGATGTAGGAGGCCGACTAGATGAGTCGGCCTGTGCGATGGCTTCTGTGAGGTCTAGGTCTGAGGCGCCATAGTCTTCATCGTCATCGGCTTCGGGCTCGAACGGCGGCGAGGGCTGTTCGTCGGAGCCTCCCTCGGCCTCGAGAAGCGCAATCTCGTCGAGTCTGGTGTCCATGTTCCGTCCCATGCCGTGGTCATCTTCCTCGTCGGCTGTCTCATCAGGCTCCTCGACCGACAATGCTCCGTCCGAGTCGTCTTGATCCGAGCTGGGTACTACCCGTCTCATTCTTCTCTTGGACGGAGACTTGGTGCCCTCAGCACGAGTCTTTTTCAGTCGCTCGCTCTCAGATATTACCGGTTTCGGCGGCCATGTCTCGCCCTGGGTCAGGTCCCTCGTGATCTTGACGGTCCTTCTTTTCTTGCGGACAACCTCCTCTTCCTGCTCCTCCGTGATCTCGATAGTCCCATTGCGTGCATCGTAAGAGTTTGACTTACGCAGCTTCCCCACCCTCGTCGTGACCTTCTGCTCCTCCACGCCCACTCCCCTCCTTCTACTCGACGTGGTGGCGGCCGGCTTCAACACCGGCTCCATCACCTGCGACAAATCCGGATAGTCCAGATCGTCACCATGATTCTCACCACTCGAATACGGCGGCGGCGGCTCCAATGGCCCCTCCTGCGCCTCAATCACATTCGCCTGCCTCGCACCATGGCTCCTCTCCGGCGTCGAGCGCCTCTCCGTGCGTGGCGACTTTGACGGGAACCGCTCCGCCCCGTGCTGGGGGTTGTCGTCCTCAAACTCCAGGGAGCTGCGTTTGTTCCTGTTCCGCCGGACGGGGGACGCCTGTCTGGTGGGACTGTTGCTGCCGTCCATGGTCTCGTCATATCTAAAGAGCGGCGTCGACGTCAGTGCGGGTGGTGGTGCCCTCTGCGTCCCTGGCAGTGGCATGGGGGCGGGTATTTTCTGCGGTGAGCTGGTGGGCTTGACGGTGGTGGGGGTGCGGCCAATGTAGACGGGCTCGTTGTCGTCGGATGTGAGGTCGATGGTGTCAATTTCCATTAGTACGTGTTTTGGCTGTGGTGGGCGTGCTGTCGACGGTGGGCGGGAGGACGATGATGGTGCGTTATCTACAGCACAGCCTCTCAGTAACGGTCCCTCCATATCCAGCACAGCAATGGGGGGAATAGTGGGGGTAATTACTAGTACTCAACCCCGGGGTCCTGGCCGCTGTCGCTGCCGCCGTCCTGGGCACCTGCGTCGCCGTCGGCGTCCCAACCTTCTTCCCCGCCGTGAGCCTCTCCCTCCTCACCTGCTCCAGCTGCAGTCTCGCCATCTCCTCCTGCTCTTCCAGTCCCTCCTGTCCGTCCCAATCTTCCTCCTCCTCCTCCTCCTCCTCCTCCTCCTTCCTTCTCTGCAGGCCCTTCTTCTCGGGGATTAGCACCGGCGGTAGTAGCGCTACGGGGGCGGCGGTGCGCGGCGGCGGAATCTGCGGGCGTTCTCGTCGGAGCCAGGTCAGGTGCGGTCCGAGGTTGTGTTTTGTGTTCATAGAGGCGGCGGGTGGTGCATTAGGTGGTGGGGGTTTGTTGTTTGTGCGAGGACGAGGGAGGGGCGATCGATGGACGCGGTGGGTGCAGTTGAAAGTTCGCGTTTGGGTGGGTCCGGGGTGAGGTGCACGTGACGGGTGGGCTTGGCGGTGGGTTGGTGTAAAGTGTTTTTTGGACTGGAGGCCTGTTTGAAACCTCTAATTCTCTTCTTCATTCCACTCCTTTGTTCGACTTCAGAACGGTCCTGCGCTAGTTACGCCTTCATTGTTCATGGCAAAAAAAAAATAGGTGTTTAATTATTGCAAATCACTTAGTTAAGCTGTGAACAACCCAATCGATAAGATCTCAGTGTCTCACACGCGTTTAATTCTGGAAGCTTGTATGTAATCTACTGCGCCGAGGAGTTCTCATCAAAGCCTACAGCATTCACTTTCCCATTCCCAAATTCTATCTATCGAGCAACACCCCTATGAACAGCCGGTAAAACATCTCTTTCTCTCCCTTTCTGCCTAGCCATGTATAGGAAACTCTCATGGATGTAGGGTGCATGAACCTCGCTCCTCAGATCCCACGTATACGCCTCCAACCGCTGACCAGGCTGGTACTCGGGATCGATCTCGTGCAATCCCGCCTGCGTCAGCAGCTGCGGCATCAGGGGGGATCAAGCCACTCCCATTGCCGCATTGCCGTCTCCGCCGCCCTCCAGATCGAGCACGGCCGTCGAGTGGAAGTCGGTCTCGACCGTACTGAAATGCGCGGGGTTGAAATACTCCCAGAACGAGATACGTGTGCCCTCCAAGACGGCCGCAAAGCATCTGTCGTCGTGGCGCATGGCCGCCGCGCATCTCGACAATTGTTCCATCGAGGGTATCAACGGAGCGCCTGCTTCCGTGTCCTCGACAAACACGTGCTCCACAAATCGAGGCTTGTTGGCCAGGCGCTCTTCGGCTTCGGTGAGTCTGAGCACAACGTAAGGAGCCTTCATGGTGTTCGGGGGCCCGACGCCAAACCCCGCTGTGCTTGAAAAGTAGTGTGCTAGAAGCGAGTTGGTTATTAACGGCCCGCGCCTCTCTGAATGGGCGTGGATTCTATTGAGGGCTACACCAAGCACGCGCATATCTCTGTAGAAGGCGGCCATTGTAATGGTGGTAGTATCTGATAATCTACAAGCTGTCAGCGTCAATGCAATAATGATGGTTAGATTATCATCTCCAGAGTTGGTTTGGGGTAAAGTTATTATACCCTTGATATAGCTGCGCTGGAGTATCGAACGCGGCGGTGAAGTACTGTGGGAGGAATGTAACTGTCCCGTACCCATCCCCTACGGGCAGCAAGCTCAAGCTGCCTTTATATACTCCTGTCATTTTAGAGTTATCCGCTGCGGGGTATGCTTATCTTCTCCTCTCTACTCTACTCTACGGCTTCACCTTACGTACCACTGTGGGGTGGGCTATGCTATGCTGATCATTGGCCCTCCTCAGCGGTGTAAGTAGTACAATCCTGTTTATGATACATCCCCTCGCTCGTTGCAGCAGGAGCGGAGACATATGAGATGCATCCCGTCACAGAAACGAGTTGGAGCCGGATTGAGCAGCTGTCTGGTTGCCTGGTCTTGAGTTTCCTTGCCAAAACTTCCTCCTTACTCAAGAGGAGCTGCACAAACAACAGCAACCATAAGAATATTTTTGAAACATGGCGGTGATAGATCTGCTTCTCAGCTATCTAGAAAACCAAAGATCTCTTGAGTCGGGGAAATATTCATCTAATTTGAGGATTTGACTGCTAGGTACTCTGGCTCCAAAACTAGAGCCGGCTCTGCTGAGTATGTACATGTACCCCTTCGTGCGTTCCGCAGATAAAGCCATATTAGGCCCACGATGTGATGGCCAATAATTCTAACTCTCTAGATATCTATATCCAGACTGCCAGAAACGGTGACTTCACAGCAAAAATTAAAGAGGTAGAGTGAGGGTTAGGTTTACTACTACTGAGTAATACAAAAAGGCTACATCTAAAAGCTGCCCTCTACTAGCATCCGGTCGTGAAAACACACGAAGGGACATATGCATGTAGTGGATGGTGGAAAGCACGTACAGTAACAAAAATCAGCCCTTTTCAAACATGACTTGTAGCAAATCAGTTATGACTACAAGTATGTATGGTATTCTCAAAAGATGTGCCAAGACCTTGAATACATACATTTATTTGCATGGGGTCTTGGCAAAACCCGCTCAAATGCTGAACAGCCTCCCACATATTTGATCAACAGACTTATATCTTGGAGTATATGTTCATCTACTGTGTATCTCCCTATCCTGAAAGCCTTTAATAAAGAATTGGAGGTTGGGGCGGTGGCTTAGCTCCTCTACCTGCATGTAATGCACCTACATGTATGTACGTACCGTACTGTCGGTGTTTGACCTAACCTACCAACCAACCTCCACCACAAACCTCCAAACCCTCCCAGATATCATATTTAAATATCACGCGAATTACACTCAAACGCAAAAGACCTCTCACTCACCTCGACACCGCCCACCTATCGACCCCTACCAGAGCCGCACCTAATCCGCAACTCCCCCGAGTCCACCACCACCACCACCACCACCACCGCCCACACCCGCAATGCCACCAAAACGCCCCCGCCCCGCTCCCGCCAACTTCGCCGCCCTCCGCCACTACTCCCTCACGCCGCTCCCCGCCAGCACCACCACCACCACCACCACCCCCACCCCCTCCTCCACCTCCACTCCCACCCCCTCCGCCGCGCTCACCACCGAGATCCAGTCCCTCCGCCGCCTCATCATGGACCAAGAACTCACCCTCTCAACACTGCGCCAGCAGCTCCCCTCCCCCACCCCCACCCCCACTCCCACCCCCACCACCACCACCTCCCCCGACCCCAAAACCAAGCTAAAAACCCTCAAAGCGCGCAAAAAAGCCCACGACACATCATTCGCCACAATCGACCACCTCCCGCCCGCCGACTCGCCGCTCAACCTCCTCCTCGCCTACCGCTCCGTGCTGCTCGTGACGGCGCGCACGGCCGAGTCGCTGGTGGCCGTCAAGGCCGCCATTGCGGCCGCCACTGCAACGCTGGACCGCGAGGTCGCGGAGCTGGCGCAGCAGCGGGCTATTACGGGTGCACTTACCGCGCGGCTCGAGCGGGAGGAAGGGTTGGGGGGTGGTGAAGAGGGGGAGGGGGCAAGGGGGGTGGCGGAGATGGTGAAGCGGCGGAAGGAGGTGGGGAGGCGGACGGCGGGGGTGTTGCGGGAGGCGAGGTGGTTCGTGGGGGGGGTGTTGGCGGGGATGTTGCTTGCTGAGGAGCGCGGGGGAGGTGTTGTTGGCGATGTGTTGGTGGAGGAGGGGGTGGAGGGGGGCGGGGGGGCGGGGAGGAGGAGGGGGGAGAGGAGGATTGATGAGATGTGGGGGCAGGAGGGGGGGGAGGAGCCCGAGAAGAGGGTGGCGAGGGAGTTCATGGAGGTGCTTGAGGTCAGTTCTTCTCTCCCCTATTCCTACTACTGTCTGGCTGTGATGTGTGTACTAATGTGTGTGTGGATGTAGGCACTGATGAACGCCGCCCTCGAGAACGACCCGTACATCCCGATGAAGAAGGACACCGCGATCGTGCGCTTCCTGGTCAGGGCCAAGGTTGCGGCGTTCCATCCCAAGGACGCCAGGAGACTGCGGTTGGTGGACTTTGGGAGCAGCGTGGAGGATGGGTAGTGTGTGGGGGTATTGGCCGGCGCTATGGTGTTTTTTTTCCCTCGTGTTTTTAGATAATGTAATTAATCAGTTGGCTTTAGTGGACGGTTTTAGCTGTGTTCTTGGGCGTGGATGTGCGGTTTCGTGGTCTTGGTGGTTATGGGCTTGTAAAGCATCTTTGTGAATTTTTATGAGCTCCGCCGTTATAGTGCACGTGGTGGTGGTGATGAGATAGCTATGTGTACCGTAGATGTCATGCTCAGACTTGGTGGCTCGATAATATAGATGGGCTTCTCTGATGTAGCTATGAGCACCGCAGGTCTCACGCTCAAACCGAGGAGCTCGAGAGCTTACAGGACCCAAAATCGTTATACACAAGACAAGCTAGCCTGCGCAGGCAATCCATCCAGACCAAACTTAAGCGCTGTAGATGCACTCGGGATAAGATACCAGCATCATAATAGGTCCAGCATACACACTATATAACAGTGCCTTCAACATCCACTCGCAATGATACCCGGATGTGATAAACGCAACAGATGCCCGACAGTGGCACTAGTAGTGTGGCCATATACACGGGCGAGTGATATCCAATGACGCACCAGCGCCCACCCACCCAATTACATGTACCCACCCAAACCAACTAGTGCCAAGACAGAACACAACCCACCTAGTATCCACACCCCCATGCACAGCCAATGAACGCCGCCTTCCGGAACGGGGGATAATCAGGGGCCCGAGGATGACTGCCTCCTAGCATTACATCCGTGGTTGTGGTGCTCTACAGGTGGTTTGGGTTTAGGCTGCGGTTTGTGCTGTGTTTTGATAGTTGGGTGGTTGGATACGACGAGTCGACAAGTAGACAAGTAGACAAGTAGACAAGTAGACAAGTAGACAAGTGTGCGAGTGATATACCATGACCGCACTCACCTCGACTCCCTAACTCTAGCTCTCCGACAGCCAATACCAGCTAGCTCACACTACTGCAAGGATTCTTGCTCTCACATTTGCACACTCCACACAGCACAGACACAAAGACCAGACCAAACCAGACCAGACCAGGAAGTACTTTTCATTATATTACCCCCTACCTAATGATTACACACCCCATACCCCCCCATACCCCCCCATACCCCATTCCCCAGCCGCCCAGCCCAACCCATGGCCACCAAAGAATACAGCGCGCTATAAATGGACAAGACCGCTATCTAACAACGTACCCGCTCATCGTATGCTACTAGAGGAGCATAATATAACCGCACCCAAGCCCACCAAGAAAGCCAAGAAAGCCAAGAAAGCTCAACGGAAGAAGAAAATAATACTAAAAAACAATATAAACAACTAAAAGCACCAAACTAAAAGAACGCCCTTTCTACCTACCTACCTACCAATTTCAACTACTAACCACTAACCACTAACTAATTACCTACTTTTCGCCCCCCCGCCCCCCCGGGGCACTAACACTTCAAATTAACCCCCATCCTCGCCTCCTCCTCCCTCACCTCCAGCATCACCTGCACCCCCACAAACAAACACCCGCCCACCACCATCATAAACACGCCGCCCTCCCACCCGCCCAGCACACCCCTCATCAAATCCCTCAACCCATCCACGCCAATCGCAAACCCCACAAGATTCGCCGCCATCATCATGAGACAATTGGCCACGCCCCCCAGCGCACACAGATTACGATACAGCCTCTCCCTCCCCGCAAACCTCCTCTTCGTCACGATCCTTCTTGCCACCAGCTCCGGCAGGATAAACAGCACCACCATCCACCCCCACGCCAGAAGCTTAAAACTCAAATCGTGCCACAGCGCCACAAACGTAAACACGACCACCATTCCGAGCACCGGCCGCGTAGAGCCGCCAAGGGGGACATAGATATAGCGGACAGTCCATCTATTATACGACCTATGCCACGCGCGCCAGAAGCTGACTGCCGAGTAATTATTGCTCATGCAGCGCAGCATATTCTCCGGTGGGTCAACCGCGTCGAGGAGACTCCACAGCCGGAAGAAGCGCCACGGGATCAGCAGCTTGAGCCAGATGATGTGCAAGTTGAAGTAGCCGATCATTGACAGCTGCGCGGGGGTGTCGCCGGCCCAGGAGCCGCGACTGGCAGTCTTGGAGATGGCGACGACGTAGGTGTAGTGCAGGATGAACTCCATAACGAGGATTGTGAGGAGGAGGCGGAGGCCGTATTTTAGGACGTGGCGGGTGGGGCCGATGGTGGGGGAGGGGTAGCGTTGCTGTACGATAGTTAGTAGGGGTTCGCCGGGGGAGAGAAGGGGAGATAAATACCTGGTAAACAAAGTCGTTGAACGTCAAGATGGGGCCAGCAAGGTATAGCGGCGAGTACAGCGCATATGCAAGGTAGCTCAAAAAGCCATAGTCCTCATACCGCGCTGGATGGTCGATGCGCTCCCGCTCCGTGAGCTTCCCGGGCTCCAGCGTCTTCTTCTGCACGTCCGCCATCAGCCGCTGGTCATTGCCGTCATCGTCACCGCCGGTGCTGGCGCGGTCCGTCGACACACGGCGCGACTCCTCGTCGCTCCGCCGGCGGTGATGGTGGTGCCCCGGTGGTGGTGGGGTGGTGCTGGTGGTGGCGACAGCCGTGAATGTACGTACCTCGATAGCGGCGCCACCGGCGGCGCCCTCCTCGCGGCGCTTGGCGGCCCAGTAGTGGTCGAGGTTGTAGGAGATGAGGCGCAGCACCGTGATGTTGAAGCTAAGGCTCCAGCGCGGGAGCAGGCCGCCGCCGAAGGCCTTGTCCATGGCTTCGCCGACGCCCGCGCCCTCGCCGGCAATGAGCCAGGGGAGGATCGTGGCGAAACGGTAGCCGTCGCAATACTCGTTGGCGAAGAGGACGGCCATGTTGAAGATCCATGTGAGAATGGGGTTTGCGATGGAGGTGGGGTGGAAGAACGAAATGAGGTAGTTGCCGGTGAGGATCACGAGGATCTTGACGACGCTGAAGGCGTGCAGGGCCGTCAGGAAGATGAGCGCAAAGAGGACGTCGAAAATGTTGCGGCGCGTGATGTTGTGCGAGGCACGGTGGGAGCTGGTGACGGGCGGGGGCGGGAAGACCGTATTGAAGACGTAGTCAAAGATGCGGCGGAGAACAGAGTGCAGGGCCAGCACGCAGAAGAGAATCGGCATGTTGGAGCGGAAGGACCGGAACTGGTGGTCCGAGTTGTCGACCTGGCGCCCGGGGATCCATCCCGGTGACAGCAGGTGCTTGTATTTGGGATAATTTGGGTGCGACTCTGCGGGGGGGGGGGGGAGGTCAATGCAGTCCTCCTCTCAATGATGGGGGGGGAATATCACACCTTGGGAGAGGTCAATGGCAACCTTGAACATGCTAGACACGGCAATGGCAAAGACAACGTAGTAGAGAAAGAACTCGGGGGTCTTCCACCGCGCAGGGCCAGCCTCCTCGCGCACCTTCTTGCTCTCACGGCTCTCGTGGGCGGTCTTTGAGGTGCCATCAGTGAAGCGGGAGTCAAGCGTCTCCAGCGAGAAGATGTCGCGGAGAGTAGATATCAGCCGCATTGTGAATGCAGTGACAGGGCGGAGAATATGGGAAGAGACGTGCCAAAAGGAGTTATTAATTAGAAGCCCAAAAACCAAAGGAGTGCTGTTGTTGGTTGGTTGGTTGTGGATGTGGATGTGGATGTGGATGTGGTTGTTGAGTAGTTGTGGTTGAGTGGTTGTGAGAAATGCACTTGACTGGTAGAGCAGTGCTACGGACAACTACTAATTACTAAACGGACCTCTCTGGCTGGACTGCGTCAGGGGGGACGGAGTGACAGCAGCGCGAGAGTGACAGCAGCGCGAGAGTGACAGCAGCGCGAGAGTGACAGCAGCGCGAGAGTGACTCTGGGCCGCGAGTGCAAGAGTGAGTGTGTCTGAGTGCAAGCTGAGTGAGTGAGTGCAAGCAAGCAGGAGTGGTGCAAGTGTCTAAAGCAGCAGCAGCACAGATCGGACTGCGGCTCTTCCACCGCCAAGAATTCAGGGGTCTTTTCCTATCCGTCCAATCCCAATGCGTCGAGAGATGTCTACTCTGTGAGTCTACAGCTGCCACTAGGAATCGTGGAATAACAACCCAATCCACAGAAAGAAAACCCTCATCTCCATCTGCACTCGGAACACACCCGATTGTCGCTTCGGAGCCTGGAGCCATCTACAAGCGACCGTGCTGTCCAATCCCGGGGGACACAATATGCTTAAACCGCGCAACGATAAGCATTCCAGCCCTAGGTTACCCCTGGACATGCCAACCGGCAGCGCGGCATCATTCGACAGCTCTCACAATGCAGAGCATCACCGAGCCGAGGCATCTGAAATATGCACATAGATTACCGATCGCCCACTCGGGGCCAAGCGTGGTGGTTCGGACCCGACACATCCGGGGATGCGAGTGATGGGGTATGATGGGAACCCTAGCCCTTAGGTATTTCTTGACGATTGATGCCAGGGCGCACACCTTTTTGTTCTGGCCTATCAAGGATCTAGCCTTGAGCCGTTTTCGGTGAGTTACTCTCTTTTCTTCTGCTTTAATTGGAACGCGCCTCCCCCCAAAAAAAGAATTGGGACTATATTTTTTTTTTTTTTTTTAGATCTAGAATGCACTAAACTGCATGCCGTAGCTTTTATATCAGCTAGTGCAGTCCGCAAAACACATCTAAGCTAGGTAATCTCTTCCTCACTTTCAACTTTTCGAGGCTGGGTTATATAAAGGGCCGGATCTGTCCTTAAAACTGCAGTAAAAACACTAGTCACGGGTAACTTACTATTGTGCAGATATGGCCACGGAAGAATACACATGGTGAGATTGAGCGAACAAGACTGGTCGCGGGTTAGTAAAGGGATCATCTTTCGCTCTTATCATGTCTCTGTCTCGCCATCTGCTTGTCTCGCCCGTAGAAGGTCTTCTCATTCCACACCCTCCAAGCTGCAGCGCCCACAAACTCCCACACGATGACATCGTAGTCTTCACCATTGATTTACGTTGCACTTGAACACAGCATTACGTCAAGGCCCACAAACCCACCGAAAGAGCAGCCACCAGACACAAACAGGTACTCTCAATACTCAACACCAGCCAGGTGTTTTGTATAGAGGGTATCTATCAGAGCCTCGTCCTGTTCGTTTCGTGTGGTTGAGATCTAAAGGTATCAAGTTGGTTGGTGTAGCTTTAGCTATGGATTAGAGCCGGAAGGGTGGGGACGAGAATTACTAGGGGACAAAGAAGGAGGTTAGGTATTGTTGTGATTCTGGCGACATTGGCGACATCGGTGACTTTCTCTGGCCAATATGGTGATGATGTGTTATGGTGGAGGAAGAGGGCGGATGGGCGGCATTAAATAGTCGACGCTTGTCCACATGTAGGTTTCAGAGAAGGTACAGGAGATCCGGACGGCAGACATACGCTTCAATACCACAAAAACACCGCAAAATGCCAAGAAAGGTTTCAGAACCTACCCCCCCAAGAAAAGGGACGGAAAAGTTTAGGTTTGGGTTTTGGTCTTCTTCATTTTACACTTACGGAGCACTCAACCCTGAAGAGTACCACACAATTTGAATCTGAGCACTCGTTGCTCATATGTCTAGAATCCCCAGTATGTGTAAAGTAGAATCTCACACCCACTCCTCAAACGCACCACACCTTAAGGGCTTCACCTATCAATAAGCATACTAGCGGATGTAAGGAGTACCAATACCTCTAGACCTTCCAAAACTACACTTTACCAACAGGGCCATACTTGCTAATGTGGGAGCTAGAGCTAGAGCTAGGTGAGTGTGTTTACACCCTTCCCTCGAGTAAACACTCAATCACGAACGATCACTCGCGCCAAGACACATGGCACGGAATACGCCCACACGCCCTACCACGGGATTAGAGATTCTCAAACAAGACACCAAGTCTAATATACCAATAGTTACAATGGGGCGGAATTAATACCAGTCACAGATCTAGATCCATTCGCAGCTATGTAGAAGAAAGCGCTCTATCCACACTACCCAAAACCACGCACACCACCACCAACGGCAGCATCATATATACCGCTCGACGTGCGCACACCGTACGTAGTACACGCATACCAAATTAATTCTACATTATGCAAACAATCCACTGCCCAATAAACAATTACACCGATGCCAACACCAACTTACGGGGTGTTATGGCTCATGGGCCACCTGGCCGGCCTAGCTAGCTAGCCCGTTGGCACCGACGTTCGATCTTTTGGATTTAGATTACACGTTGTGATATTGCCCCGGAAAACTCTACATAAGGGGGGTGTGGTGGGAAGGGTTGTCAGTGGAATAGCTGGGACCTACTTAATATTTGGTGTATCTGTTGTATTTCATGTTAACCTGACTCGACTCCTCGGATGCTATATGTATTTTCTGGTCTGAACGAACTGGAAGCTCGAGCGCGGTACATACATGCGATATCTTCTAAACTGTTCCAGTTTATAAACGGATACGTATAAGAATAAAGTATAAGAGATTGAAGAAAGAGCTAAAGTTCCCAAGCTTTGATCTTGGTTTATAATATACATATAGAGGATGTACTAGAACATCACCAATAACTGTGGTTGCTAGGCCAAACAACGGAAACTGGATCTATCAAAAACCTTCTCGGGAAATCCCTCGATAACCACTCCTACACATCTCTCTTATTCATGATAAGAGGATACTCCTATCAGAGTGTCTTTTGAAACAAAGACCAAGTCGTCGGGACATACAACTCCTCGCTATAACTCTAGTGCATTTATTTCCTCTTATACCTACGAGCGAGTTCTTGGAGAGCTGGCGGACCCAGTGGATTGTTCTCATTCAATCTTCTATAACCAGGCGGTTTCGGAACTCCGTACACAGAATACACGACAGGCGGTATTCCATTTCTAGCCCATTCTACGAATAAATGATCCGAAGTTTTTATAGCTGCCGTGACGAATTTAATGACAGTTCTTATCCAATCAAGAATATGGAACTCATCATCTGTTCCTATGGCTTCCCGAAACTCGATTGTTCCGTATGTGCTCAAGGGGGTAAAGTTGTATTTGAAGTATCTCGAAGGAATATTTTCACGGGGTTTTTCTCCATCTATAGCTAACGCTGCAACGACTCCGTTGACGTTGTAAACAATTTCATCAAGATTCGATCCCTTGTCAATTAAAGAAAGCGCCTCTTCGTCCGACAAACCCACTAGTGGTAGAGAGTTGCGACATAACTGCATCCTGAAAGGCCCTAGATCAGTACACCTTCGACTTTTGGGATGAAAATGGGACATATGTCTCTCAAAAATAAATAATGCTTTTGATATACGCCTTAGCTCTGCGAGTGTGAACGACCTATCCGCAATTGCTATATGAACGTGAAGCCCCGTTGTCGAGTTAAAAGAAAGTTGGGTTCCAGCAAATTGAGCGGCACACCTCATACTATCGCACACCCGGGGAACCACCCAGTTCCAAGCCTTATTTCTGAGTATCGGTGTTGCAATCTCTATCCGCCCATCTGAACTGTCTTCAGATTCGATACTATCGTCGGTTTTTACTTGAAAGAATTTAAAAACTTCGCGGCGCGCGACCGGTTCATTGATGGCAATTCCTGTTTTCATATCATCGGCCAGTGTCTTTAAAGCCTGAGAAACAAACTCAAAGCGATCTCCATGAAAGTGTTGCTGTCCTACTAAATAGGGTATAATCATTTCTATCTCGATACCGATTGTGAACTGATTCGGATTTATACCAGGAAAATCTCTAGGAGCCATAGGCTTGGGTGGTTGTATGAGGGAGCGGTGGTGTTGTATAAGAGATGCGTGGACCCTCGTATATAAGCTCTTAGCTTCCGCTATCATGATCAATGCATATATGTTTAGCCTTCATATTCTTTTCACAACTTCATAGGTGTAAAGTACTCAAGTAGTTACATGTAGTTATATCTATACCCCCACAGTAGAATTAGAGGTGTAACTATCGAAAAATGACGGGTCCCCTCAATTGATCAAAGGTGCTATTCCTGGTATTGATTCTTGGTGAGAAACAGCATCGTAGACCCGATATACCCGAGAAAAATTCTGTTCCATGACACTTCACGCGTCCTAACACGTGTTGAAGAAAATTCACCGCGGATCTTTCAGGCGTGGCTGCATGTACTTGCTTAATAATAATCAGTCAAACGTTCAGACATGGCCTCCTAAGTCCGAGTGATGGATTATGATCGACTCATGTATCGTCTGAGACATTATTTTGCGGATTGCGGTTTTAAAGAACACATAAAATTATCCCAATACGAAGTGAAAGGCCCACAATAGTTGATTGTGCTGTATAAATTGAAAGGCGAAAGCCGGGCAAGGACAAAGATCGAAAAGAGGCACCTGAATTTATGAACCACGTGTAGTACATGTATGCACCTGCTGAGATCTTAGATTGCCTATATTGACAATATTGTCAGGATGGAAATATACGCCTGCTACATGCATTTAGATTTAGTACCAATATCCCAGGCTTATCATCGTTCCTTGACTATATACATGTATGTAAGTGCATATCTGATTGTAGAAATGATTTACATACCACGCTAACATTGATGTTGCGGCTAGCTGTTCAGGAATTCACTCTCGATAGAAGGACAGGCTGAATAAATTTAACGAAATGAACTGAATTTTAGCAAAGACAATCAATGTGCTCCCTGTTCGCCGGTCCAGATGCCCCCACCATACCCTCCCTTACTACATCCTCTCATGGTCATTCATTATTGCGTAACAAAAAAAGAGAAAGAATGCGCAATCGGTTCATTTGTCCAAGACCGCAACAAAAAACCAGTGCGCAAATATTAAGAGAAAACGAAGAAAAACAGAAAGAAAAAATACTTAAAACGCGACGACACGAATTCGTATAAAAAGCTCTTATCTCTTCTTGTTAAAATTTCAAAGCAGCAAGATAAAAACACACTTGAACCTGAATCCCCGCATCGAGCAGTCCTCAGTTCACCACCCAAACTTTACAACTTTCCACTTCTGGCCCTAAACACCGCTACCTTATCGTCATAAAACAGTATTTCCCTCAACCTCACCCTTACTCCCCTTTCCGACTTCTCTTTGACCCATTCCTCATCCTCGCTAGAGTCTTTCTCCCCCGCACCTCCATCGGCGTCTGTATCTGTTTCATCCCCATCATCCGCATCGTCATAATCGTCCTCATCCTCATCAACATCGTCCTCATCGTCAACACCATCAGAATCCTCTTCACTGTTGGCTCCAGGTGGTACACCCGTAGTGCCAGGTGCCGTGCTATTATGTGTTACCCCAGGAGAAATTGCCGTATCAACATCGGAAAGATCATCGATTCCATCCGAGGATCCACCATCTTCAAGAAGCTCAAAACATTTACTCATTACACCCACGTAACAAAGCTCGATCTCGGGCCGAAGGATGACAGTATTGACGATTTGTTGAGCCATCTCTTTTGCCTCGAACTCAGTGATGTGAGGGCCGCCGCGGACGTAGTGAATATACAGAGAACGTAATTGCTGCATCAAGGGGAGGCGTGTGAGGAAGTAGTGCTTCGAAAAGTTAGCTAACTTTTATCGGCTCTGATATTACGAGAGAACATACCCAATTCTTCCAATCAATGGCCATTCCTAATTCCCTTAATTGCGGCATCTTTCCACTGCCTACAAACGCCAAAACCTCCTTCTCGAAAATCCATTTTGCGGCATGATCTCCGCCATTTCCCACATTACTATCTATCAACAGCTTCTTCAAACTTCCTTTATGCCTTCGTATCGCTGCTCTATATATAAATTCAACTGTGACAATACTTGAGAAATTTGGCGTTTCTTGTAGAAACAAGACTTCGAGGCTGTTTGGAGGTAGGGTGTCCCTGATGAAATATAGGAGTTGAGGTGTCACAGTATCTGTATGGAGTTTCTTTAGACGAATTCTGTAGTCACTGGGCCCTTGATACAATAAACCCCGTGATCGATGGCCAGGAGATGTATGATGGAGCAGGTACGTCGATTTGTTAGGGTTTTGGTGTGGAGAGAACTTCTGGCGCAATGCTTTCCAGAGTCGATCATGATCGTAACAGTTCAGAATCGTGAGATTGGATAAACATGTCCAGTCTATGCCTTTTATTAGAACGCGAACTGAAATTGGAACTCGTTCAAGCTCTAGAGTCTCGAGCTTGAGTTGCCGGATTGGCTTCTCTTCTTCTGGCTCGGGCGTCTTTACTTTAGCTGTTCGTGGGGCCACCGTGGGAGGTACTGGCGCTGCCTCCATGGCAAACAATGGCGTTGGTGCCGGAGTAATCGTAGCTGCCGATGAACTAACGCTGGGTACGGTTTCTTGTAATGCAGCTGGGCCAGCAATATTGTTAGATGGGCCAGGATTGTTAGGATTTGGATCAGCGATGTTGAAAGGCAGCGCAGGAACCTCAGTACTTGTCAATCCATCAGGGCTTACTATAACCATATTTGTGTCCGCTGATAGAGTTACTAGAGGCTCACTCGACAACGACAATAGGTCTGTAGATGAAATAGATCCCTGGGCTGATGTGACTGGAGCTAAGGGTGCCGCAGGTTCAACATTAGCATCTGCGTTCAGATACACAGACGCCAGAGCCGCTGGAGGCATTACTACCGTCTCCGAAACATCAATCAAATTTGCTGCAACACTCGGAGTACTTAAATTCGCTCCCTCTACAGTTCGGGTAGATTTCCTCCTGCGTCTCCCTTCTTCCAGATCAATGATCCTACTCACAATGACCCCTAATACACCACCGACAGCGGGTAAGGCAGCTGGTAAAGGCCCGCCAATACCGGTATTAATGCTGCTCGGAATCTCGTCTAGATCCCTAATCCATCCGCCAGATGGAGGAACATGGCCCGCTAATCCTAGTCTCAACTCCCTGAGAGAGTCAACGGAGTTTTCAATCGCATAGCTAATCTCCTCCAAGTACTGCCTCTCATCAATATCCAATACACTCAAGCTCCGCAGTCCCTTAAATCCCTTGAAAGTCGGCGTTTCCACCCTTCTCCGGGGATCTTGAGATGTCGGTGTAGTGGTGTCGGTATTATCGTGGAACCTGACATGGACATTCTTTAATCTGCCATTAAGATCATGGAGAGCTTTGAATACGTCCCGCAGTACCCCAGTCGGCATGTCCCAAGAAAAGGTTTCCAGAGAAATCATTCTCGTGATCGCAAGGCAAACTAGTGTCCCAAGCATCTTGCCCCCTTCTTTATTGATGTTATAGTCGCTCACCCATTCTGCTGGCCCATTACCTAGGGAGAATTTCTTCACCCATCGTGCGTAGTCATTACCCCGTACTCCCGCTGCAACAAGGGTTGCGAGACCATAGGTCAACGCATCAACCCCGGTACGGTCACCTGGAGTGAGAGCATCTGGCCAAACAATATCGAATCGGGAGTAGATGTGTGGGATAGCAAGAGCATGCAGACAGTGACATGTAAGGGATAGATTCGTGAGGTCATTCGTGTGGTTCACCTACAACCTGTCAGCCCCCAATAAAAGAACAAAGTGAATACGAATGGGATGAACGACGCAATGGTAAAAATAAGTTGAGCTATTGTTGATTGCGCATAAATCAGACATACCTCCTTAACGATTTCCTTCAACACATCCACTGGTAGCTCGATGAGTGTTAATGGCTTCTTCTTCTTCTTCTTTGGTTTACTTTGCGTGAAGGGTGGTTTGAGGTCTGTGGCTAATATCGCCTTCTTGATACACGGAGGTGTTATCGGTGCACCCTCCCCTTCCTTCTTGATTATCTCTTTCCCCTTAGCCCTCGATGAAGCTGGTACCCCTCCAGCGGGGACGAGTTCTACCAACAACTGCTCCTCCTCTTCACCCTCTACTTGATCCTCTTCCTCTGATTCCGCATCCGTATCCTGTCGGAATAGCTCGTTATCATCATCGAAGCTCATGCTCTCAAAATCTTGTGATTTATTTCCCGACACGCTGGCCATTTTTACCCCGACTTATAGCTCTGTTTCCGTCCGTGCTATGTTATTTGCGATATAGGCGAGGTTGAAGATGGGGGAATCGGAAGGTTTGTTGCAGAGAGGTAAGCGAACAAGAGAGCGGGAACGATTTTGAGGCTCAGCGAGGGACGCTGCCGGAATCGTACAGGCGGGATGCCTAGATGGGCAAATGGTTGTGCGAATTGTGCACCTGTAAAAGGCTCAATACCTTCTACAATAAAGATAAAGAAACTAACGATAAATAACGCACTAGTAATTAGATACCGGGAAGGAGAAAGAGTTCGATAAATAGTGCGTGGTTTGAACTGCTTTGCTTTGGCTTCTGCAAAAGAGGGGTCACGCAATGGGCTTCGCAGAGGTTATGTATCTTGATAGCTGATTTGATTACTGCAGGTGAAAGGCAAAGCAAGAGGAGATGATGCCAGATGTGATGCGATGTATGTTCTATTTATGTATGTAATGTCGTGAATGAGAGGAGCTGGAGGAGGCGTTCGGTTCGAGTGGAGAGCAAGCAAAACAAGCAACGGGCTACCTATGATATCCCCAGAGGCCGGGTCAAGATTGGTGGGTTAGGGTTTCTGGTGTATCCAATGGGGAGAGTGAAGCTTCATGGTGCTACAGCAGGTTCGACTGGGATGCTGATCTCCTCGGCGCGGGTTTAATGAGGCCGCTAGAAGCCTATCATGGAGCTTGGTAGCTCACTTGTAACAGTCTACAAAGCGTGCCTTACGAAGTCATCTTCTTCCTTGTCTAGTCATGTTTCATTTACCATGCACCGAGCTGTACCGTATGGGCATAAGGATATATGTAATTAATGTATTGATATATCTATATCTTGAATAAGTGTATCCCGTAGAAAATAGAACCCAACTCCAGAGGTATACTTTTAAAACCCTTCCCAAATACGCAACAGTAAAACTCCTTTACACTAGGTATAAAACTTATTACACCTCGTGTCTGTATGCACAGCACCACATTCCAACCCGCAATACCTTGCCGCGCACCTTTGGCATCGATATTTCCCCCAATACCCACAAATCTCACAGAATACCCTCTTGGGTTTTGTGGGGGGCGCCGAAGCCGCGGCCATGTATCCCAAAGGTTGGCCTGCGTCCTCCTCATCCTGTAACACTCTTGCTTGTGCATCTGATAATCCGGATGTTGGGTGAGAAGGTGTCGCTGCCGCGGAACCGGTAACGCTAGGGTGCAAAGCTTCTTCATCTGCTAAATGGTTTGCGAACGTCTTTTGGGAAGCAAGAATACGACGGACATTTTGTGTGCTGCTTGCTTTCGCCCTATTAGAAGCTATCCGTCTTGTTAGTTATAATCAGCTTTTTACAATCGCTGCAACTAGGAGCACTCACATCGTCCCCCCTTCCCTTTGATTGGAATCGGTATATTCACATCCCTATAGTTGTCATTTTCCAGCTCCAATATCCTGGTATTGATTTGCCGTTGCCTTGCTGCGCTATTCTCAAAATTATTGTTTCGAGTCGCCCGAACACGGGTCGCCACCGGTAGTGTATTCCTATGGGCGAGGGCTGGAGGAAGATTTGAGTAGGTCCAGTTTGGCCCACTGGTAGTCGAAGACGAAGGGAGGACTTCAATTGTCGGCATTGTGGTTATGTGAGGTTTGGAAATAATGGGAACGCCCAAGTCAACAGCTTGCTGCGGCTCCATAAAAACATCACTTTAGGGCTGAGGGTTGCCTGATAACCCCTGCTGACACGTCCGCCAAGCCTCGATAGCAACGTCACGTAGGTGGAGCTCCAACACCACGATACCCCACTATACGATCACGACCTTGAACTATCCTTCTTCCCCTGCCCGTCCGCGTTTTGTACAGCTATGTCGGGCAATACTTACATGCTAGTCGCCCTTCCTTTCTCTATTTCTCGCTCGAACGACTCGGAAGATGCGTTCGCTGAACTCCAGTCCACAGTTCCCTCTGATGCGGGGACCATCTCGCGTTTCCCAATTCCGGAATTCAAAATTGGGACGCTAGACGCGCTCGTGATTCAAGCAGATGAGCTTGGAAAGCTAGACGCAAATGTGGAAGGCGCGGTAGGAAAGGTTGTGGAGGTTCTAAGAAGTATAGTTAGCAGCCCACAAGAGGCAGAAAGACACAAGACAGTTAGTGATAGTATGTTGATCCCTTTGCGGGATATAGTGAGAGAGAGTGGAAGAGAGCACTATCCAAGATTGAAGCTAATCTGAGTTTGAGCGCATTTGTAGAGCCAGTGGAACATTATCTGAGGAGCTTCTCGTGGAATAAGGTCAAATACCGTAGCGACAAGTCAATTGCGGAGCATCTAGATGCTCTACAGAGGGTAGCTTAGCTTTCCACCGCATAAAAGGACCTTCAAAAGCTTATATGTATATTGTTACAGGAAGTATCTTCGCTCGATAACGACATCAAGACCAAATACACTGCCTACCAACAAGTCAAAAGCAATCTTGTCTTGGTCCAGCGAAAACAAACGTAGCTTCCTATGTTCTCCTAATAAGCTTATCTTGCTAATAACATGCTCACAGTGGTAACCTTTCTACTCGCTCCTTAGCCTCTATCGTTAAGAAGTCAGACTTTGTACAATCTTCCGAGTACCTCGAAACACTGCTCGTCGCCGTCCCTAAATCCTTATCCAAAGATTGGCTCCGCACCTATGAAACACTAGCCCCCATGGTCGTTCCACGCTCCTCCAAAAAGATTTCAGAAGACAACGATTACGTTCTCTTTTCAGTAGTAGTGTTCAAAAAGCATTCTGCCGAATTCATCATCAAAGCCCGCGCTGCCCGATATACCCCTCGTGAGTTTAAGTGGAGCGAAGGAGCAGAGGAGCAAGACAAAAGAGAGGCGAGGGATGTCGAAGCCAATGAGAGAAGATTATATGGTGATACCCTAAGGCTTGCGAGAACGGGATATAGTGATCTATTCATGGCCTGGGCCCATGTCAAGGCGCTCAGAGTCTTTGTGGAGAGCGTATTGAGATATGGGCTACCTTTGGAGTTCATTAGTGCTATTATCCAGGTTGGCTTCTCTCCCTCCTTGTTCGCACACGGGCTTCTCAATTAACCAAATTAGACCAACCCAAAAAACGCAAAACATGTCAAGAAGCCCCTCGACAAAGCTTACAGCTACCTTGGCGGCAACGCCTTCGGCCGCGACAAAAAGGGGAACATCAAAGACGATGTTGGTGATCTTGCCGCCGGGATCATGGGAGATGCGGAGTATCCTGCTTATTGTTATTTTGAATTCGAGGTAGCGTAAGTTGAAGTTGCGAGAATAAGAAGCTGGCTATGATATGATAGATACCTACATGTAATTGAATGGTGTGAGACTAAATGAGATGGGAAGAAAAATATTTTATAAGCATGTTGTATATAGCATTTTTGTCGCTATTAAGATTTACATTTTGCTTCCTCAATTACTGAACCTATAATACGTAAACATCTGCTAGGCTCGTTTCAAAGTGTCATTTTCCATGGGCGACAAAGGTCCACGGCGGATGATCCCACCGGGATGGGTTCGAAGTCAGGCTCAAGGACAAAGCGGGAATTCTTTTGATTTTATCCCAATATGAAAATCCTATTCCCCGTACTGCCTTCACGATCCACTAAAAAACCCATGATAAAAGAAAAGAAATCCCCCACCATCCCGTTGCCACTATATAAGGATCAAACGATCGCCCTTTTCCATCCCTCTACACCGAAAAAAGGAAAGAAAGAAAACAATTGGAGAAGTAAGATACTGTAAAATAAGACTTGAATCCCGCATACCGACCGTATTTTAAGCTTGTTGTCTTCGTCTCTTTCCAACGGTGGCCTGGAAACCAGTCTTGATGGCACTATGATATAGAAATATTAGTACTGCGCAAGATAACAATGGAGCAGGATAAAAGCATACGCAACGGAACGTCTGGAACCACAGCTGTTGCAAGTAACGAAGAACAATCTGTTTTCTCCCTTCTTGAGGTCGGTGTCAGGGGACTTGCAAGTCCTGCAGGTAACGTATTCCACTGCTCTTCTGTCAGTTCTTGATATCATGGGTAAACGGACAACTAGAGGGAAACGCACGGATATAACGTCTGAGAACGTTCTCCAGCTGTTTTTGCTGGAATTTACCCCTAATGACCAGACGCTTGCTTCCGTCGACGCTACCACTGGTTCCCAATTCTGCAAATAAGAACTGTGTAACGTGTTCGTCCTGTCTCTTCATACGCTTGCAAATATCCGAGATATTTGCAAAGATGGTCTTCTTGTTTCCTTCTCTGAGCACCTGAGGTGGCGGGATTTTGTAGCTTCTTCGTCCATCGCCAGTAAGGTCTGGGTGCTGTGTCCTCAGAAGAGTAAAGAATCGAGTGAGTAAGAGAGGATATGTCAGGTCGACGGTGCTCTTGGAGTTCCAGACACCTGTTCCAAGTAGAAGGTCGCCAGCATCTTCGGGAGCAATCTCTACGGCGGGCTCGGCGGCCTCATCCTCTCCTTCAGCGCGGGGAACCACACCGGCCTCAGCAAGTTGAGCCTCGAATTCGCCAGCTTCGGCGGACTTCTCCTTGGTTGACTTCTTCTTTTTCTTCTTCTTGAGAAGAGCTGTAGGGTCAAACTCCCCCTCCGCTGCAGGTGCCTCTTCGCCGTCTTCCTCGACCTTTTTGCTACTCTTCTTCTTCTTTTTGAGGCCCTTGAAGAGCTCTGTTACCTCAGCAACAGGGTCTTCTTCGTCAGCTCCGGCAGTGGCAACTGGACCTATGGTATTGATAGGTGTTAGTTTGGTACTTGATTTTTGTTGAGGGTTCGCAGAAGGATAGAAGAAACAAAGAGCATAAATACAGAAAGAAATAGTACAGGATTGAATTTAAAAAAAACGTTCAAAACATACTCAAGCTGTGGCTCTGAGCGGTAGTCTTATCCTCACCATTGGTATCGTCTTCGCCGTTCTGACCATCCTCAAAAGTAACACTCCTTCTTGGTTTCTTCCTCTTCAACGCCGAGGGGTCGAATGCAGGAGCTTCCTGAATCAATTATTAATATCTACTCCCCATGAATGGATATGGCGAAACCATGAAGACACTGTCGATGGCGATAAACGCCAAGTCCCCAGAATGAGTGGGGCGGAACCTACTTCATTATCAGACATGATTGCGATCTGTCTCTTGTTTTTCCGAGATGAGACTAGTTCGTATCGCGGAAATTATTGATGCGTTTGTGTGAATAGATGGAAAGATACGTGAAGTTGAGTTGCGGTGGCGGGGTTGTTGAAATGACTCCCACAAAAAAGTTAAGACCAACTGGATTGGGTTTGACAACGAAGATGAGGTGATGTGGGGAGAGAGGGCTTAGGGCTTGTTGCTAGCTTATATAATCTATTGAAGTCTCACTCGAACAAATTGCTTGCAGTACTAGCACATATTTACGTTCCTTTTAAACATGCTGATGTTGTAAAAGCAATCACATCAAATAGAAGACAATAGCAGCCTTTTTTTTAAAGTCAAGATTTTAAGCGCCTTGTAGATACTGGTAAGGGCCTGTTCGGTCAACCGCAAATACTATGGCATTAGGCCACAATGGACATTACTATGGTATTACCGAATACAATGTTCAATTGACCACAAACCTTTGTAGAAATAACATACATTTACATGATAAACGCCTCCAAACATTTTTATTCCAAACACCTACATGTGGTGCGCAACCCTAACCTCAACCCCAATTCTCCGTCTGACTACTGACGGTGGATATAAAAATTTAATAAATGAGTTGGTAACAGTGTTTATGGGGCAGGTGTGTATTCGCAATCAATGGAGAGTTATAGTCGTTGGTGGGGTAAATGCAAGTATGTCCATATTACGTTAGCAATGGCTACTCACATAAATTATTGGCTCGACCAAGCACTTCAATACTGGGGCAATATACAGTTTTGCTATGGGGACGAAATACCACGAAACCGCTCACACCATAGTGTTGAATACCACGCCCGCGCGACTGAACAGGCCCAAAAGTTCGTTTATGAGTGTATATAAGATCATATAGTTGTTATGAGGGAATAGAAAGGGGAGATAATTCGATCGAGAATGCGGGTATCTCTTCCTGGTGTTCATGATATAATACTAGTAACCGCTGTATATTTTCCAAGGCACTACATATAGCACTTCCGGGCTTGAGTGGGTTACAGATATTATTACAACAGTGGAAATATACAAGAAATGATCGATTTACTAGTTAGTATCGGACTCATCTACTGAGCCTGTGTTATGTGTAGGAATATGTAGCTATGAACGTATTAGAGGTTTATTTGGTAAGTCTACATGTGGTCGAGACAACGAAATGTGGTTTGACACTTCACTGAGGATCAAAACCTCGGATTGTTGAACCTCCGTTGGTGTGTTATATAGATAGGGAAATGTTATAAATTTGCAGATGGTGTGGGAAGAAGAACTGAATTGGTATTGCTTATCCAAAAGCGCCATTTTCAATAGATTAACGTTGTTTTATGAATATGAAAATAACATGCTGAACACAATTCATTTCCTCAAACGGCGTTTTAGCCGCCCCACAGGTCCTGAATTATCTCCTGGAAGGAGGGTTCCCGAAAAAACGAAATCGTTAGACCGTCTAGCCACATTAACTACCCTCAGGTTAGTTTATTATGTATGTATATGGAGGCCGAGATTTGGCCTCATATATGCGAATTGGTAACCTAGGGCCCCGGCAAGTGTTGATTTCGAGTATTATTTTTTTGGTTTCGTAAAATGGCAGGTGAGCCGAGAACTATTGAAGAAATATTTCGCGTGTAGATACCCCGCGGGAGAAAATTAAAACATCTAGGTAGATGGCATTAGTTACGTATATGAAGAATGCATTAGTGCTGTGAAAATAAGGGAATTTACCGCTCCCCCAATGACAAATAATCTCTCCTCCTCTCTTTTGACCCAGTTAACAATTGCCGTCGCTCCTTTGGCAAGCGCATTCCTATTTGCTCCGGCGCCGGCCACGCAATAAAGCTCAAAGGTAGGCGTAATCCAAGATAAAGACACAGAAGAGCTGCGGATGCAGTGATGGACCTTCAGATGCGCGTTCTTTGCATGGACGGCAGAGTGAAGTCGTTGGTACAGGTTCATCAACCTTCTTCGGGTGATAACGGTATAGAAATGTGGCTCGAATGAAGGCATAGTGAACTGGACATTGGCACGAGATTTGTACAAGAAGTGTCTTATAACGGTACCGGGAAGCACGTCGGTTGTTGTATAACGCCCGCGTGAGACAGCCTCTTCCACAATTTCTACACACCCAGTTTTCTCCAGTTGCTGCACCATAGGATCAAGTTAAAATCTCCTCGATGATCAAAGATTGGAATAGGATAAGCTCGCAGGAAAGGGGAATAAAATTTGTACCTCAACAACAACCTCCTTGACCTCCCTCATTTCAAAGAATGCATCCTTATCTGCAGATATCAATACCAGGGCAATTTCTTTCCTAAAGAAGCAAATATACGCATGCAAAAATCCTTTACTGTTAAACTTCGGCAGACAAATAGGAGTCCAGTGTTCCCCTCCATCTCTAAAAGTGCTCGCGTTGAAAAGCATCGAGAAAAGTAGTTGAAGATCCGGGGGATGAAGACTATGTCGCTTTGGTCTTATTACACTTACAAGACGCTCGTCCGCAATCACCAACCCATAAAGTAGTGAAGATGATCGAGACTTGAGGAGGATATTATTGATTTTCTCGCGATGATGTTTGCGCATCTTGACGCATTCCAGGGCGGAGAGAAGGATTTGAGGAGATCCCCTAGTCATAGCATCAGAGAGGCCGTCAAGGAAAACCTCAGTACCCCCAAGGAGGCGTCTAAGGTCAAAGTTTTCACGGGTGGCAAATATTTTCGACAGCTGACTCAGAGTGAGTGTAGAAAGGACTTGGGTATACAGAGCGTCGAGTTGAGCTCGCAGCTGGTCAGAGAAGTTAGTAACGACCCTCTGTTTGAAACTTGAAATATATTCCCCTCAAAAGATATCTGGTTACAGTGCAAGAGCTTTGGTAATGTTGAGGGAGACCGATCCCTTTGCATTTGTATTGGCGCTCTGGGGATAATATTTTGAACTTGTTCCAGACTCTTGATGTGAAACGGAAGCCTCAAACTAGGGAGTGTATATTTTCCTGGGAAGGAGTAATCTAGACTGATAGAAGAACGAAATTTGTATACCTGTGAATCTGACTCCCCCATTGAAGAGATTGCAACCAGGTATAGCGGTCCTTCAGCAACTACCGCAAATCTATGTTTCCCAGCACTAAAACATTTCAGAGTGTCGTCTCCATCTTGGAAGAAAGATATGATAGCCTGTATGACGCCCATGTATCCGGAAACGACGGTTTCATCTCCATATCTGCTGTAAATCGGTTTCCCGGCCGAGGAGAGGATGAAAAAGTGTTTCTTCCGCGCTCTCCACCTCGCAATTAATGCTTCTGTTTCTTGTCAGCAATCATTCGTATATACAAGTTGGCTCTGGGCAGATTTACCTTCCTCCAACCCCTCCTCGTCACTACTCTCATCCCATCCTTCATCCTCAATATTTCCATCTGAAAACCCAATCCCTCCCTGACCTTTACTTCTCATTCCTAAGAACCTTCCTTCACTCTCGCTGAGTATCTCACCCAACATACTCTCAACGTCATTGTCCCCTGTATTTAATGTCGGCACAAGGCTAACAATACTATTCGTGTCACTAAATGACGGAGCACCTGTAACAATTCCACTACCAGTACCGGAGCCAGCTCCATCAGTTTGGTGAGCATGAACACCCTCGGGGAGGGAGATAGCAGTTGTAGCTTTGGCCTGGAGGCCCGGAGTAGAGGAACCGCTTGAAGTCGCGGAATGTATATTCTGTAAAGAGAGAATATTAGAGGTTGCAGAGTCCAGTATTGGACGTGGAGGTAATGGCGGTGGAAAGTAATCTTCTTCCAGAGCTATTCGATTGAGTGCATCTGCATCCAAAGCCGTAACGGGCTGGTAAGTTGACGCACGAGGGGTTGCGATATCATCCTGATCGTCGGAGCTTGAAGAGGATAGAGGCTCGACATTTGGTTCTTCTATTAATTTCGGGTTTTGTGCCGAGTCTGGCTCGTGTGAAGGTGCTGGTGAATCCATGTTGTGTATGACCGTGCAGGGTGCACTGAGGCTTACTTATGAAGCTTATAGCATGTTCTTAGTAATCATTGAGTCATCATCCTAATCAGCTAGACATAGCTACATGCATACAGTAGCAAAAATCGTGGTGATATTACTACTGCAGTGCTATAGCAGCGCTGCGGCATTTCAAAGAATGCATTTGCAGGACTGCTCTGTGCTTTAAATGCCTAAATGATCGTATAAAATAAGGGACATAGAACTAAAAAAATATTTTTCAAAATTATTCCCCAGATCTTTCTAACCCATCGATGAGGGAGATGAATTCATAGACTTATTGACGAACTGGATTATTGTGTTCTGAGTCTCTGTGATGGTTTAATAAAATGTTGAGCTATGCTTCAATGCAGATAATCAAAACCTGTGTGTATAGGCAAATATTTAGTCAAACAGTGTACACCTCTGTGCAACATGGGTACATGTAGTACTAGCGAAATGCGGCAGTGCTGCCGGAGTAGATTTACCCCGATTTTTGCACTGTATGTACTAATTTCAATAAATACGTTGAACGGTAGGCTACCCTGGGCTCGATGGTCACGAGAATAATAATGAATCAGGCATAGGCACATATATCATGATCATTGTGGTAGTTAATCGATACCGGCTGTAGCACCACGACCCACTGTTTTCGAATTAATATCTAGATCTATTTGGCCAGAAATTAAACCGTATATACCATCACATTTATCTAATATGAAATATAGGCTGTTTCGAAAATATCACGCACTTGAGAAATCGGTACCGAATAGATAAATTTAGCGCATGAAACAAAAATGAGCTTCTCTTATATATTACACAGGGAATTTCCAAAAGTTGAGACCGGGCATGCATGTACTAAGGTACACTATATTTTGTGTATGTATTTAATACATATTCTAGCTAGCACGGAAGTCATCATCTCCCCACGGTATGACTTCTTGGGAATACTACATGTATATAAGCAACTGCTGTAACTCATGCCTTCCTAACCCCGAATTAAACTAAATTTCAGGGAATGAATGCTAAAATATAGGTATGGATACACATATATACTGCCCTTCATTTTTGTAGTGCTCTATGTATGTCAACGAAAGTCTGATTTCAAATTCCCTTTAAGCTTTACGAGATCAATATGTTCGAGTGATAAAGTATGATTGTGATTAATATTCAGTGATGTTGTTGTTGTTGTTAACCCATTAATCGTTTAATATTCACTGAGAGGACGGTTATGTGATAGTCATAGTTTATGATCTTAGATAGTACATATGTTTTGCTTAAACAATTCCTCGAAATTGTCTTGGGATTCATTTAATTTCATACTTCTTTCTTCCCTCTATGTATCCTGGTGTCAGGCCTTCGCTCTCGACAGGTCCGTAACCACTCTTAAAAATATCCAGCGGTCCAAGGTAAAGCTCCTGAAACTTGACTGGAACATCATGCTGTCCCCATAATGCAATACTTAGGCACCATATACGTTAGTTTATTTTCATCTATAAGCTCGATATACCTGGATCCACGGAAAGACTTACGCGATTGTGTTCTTCCCTTGAGGATGAATTATACCTGGGAAGACAGGAAACATTGTTTGTGGCCCAATATCGCTGACGTATTTCCCAAATTGCCATCCATTAACGAAAAGCTCAGCTCTGGCAGATGTTCCATTCTCAATCTTCATGAAGAACCCCAAGGGCACATCCCAACCGTCTGGAAGATCAAGCTTAACAGTGGTTCTATAAAACTTCACTCCAGGCCCTTCAAATCCGTCCATAGGCGATCCTTCCTCCCATTTGGAGTCGTCAAAGCCCGAGAAATGGGCACCAATACGCTCAGCATAAAGTCCGTCTTCGTTGTATGGCGCGCGGACCGCATCATCAAATTCCTCTTGACCAACATTCCCTTGGAGAGTCCAAGATGTAAAAGCGCTGCCACCGGTAAGAATTGCGGACCGGATACCACGAGGTTTCTTTGTGGAGTGTGGGTCTCCGAAGGCACCATCGTCGCGCTCGTAACCCATACGATCTGCAAGAACAACAAGTACATTCTCTTCCTCGTTAACGGTGACGTTGGTGAAAGGGTGAGATTTTTCAATATAACCAGCTGGGTCAGGGGTGCCTGCGTGATAACCAAGAAATTCACCATTGAGCCAGGCACTGTACCCGAATGCAGCTCCACCCCAAACTTCCAATGCAACACCTGTAGCAGTAGTCCCATTGGCGGTTTTACCAATAAAACGACCGCGGTAAATCGTATTCCCTGTGTGATAGCCGTATTCACCCGCATACAAAACAGGAAGGGTCTTTGGAGGGAAATATTGGTTTGTTGAGTTCATCTTGTCCGCCTTGACCCATGCGGAGTCATCAAAGTCTGGATCAATCTCAGGTAGCGAATCAATAGTTTTCCATTTTGTACCATTTAATGATGGAATTTTCAGCTTTTCCAGGTTTGGCCCGCTGAGATTCGCTATGCGACTTCCATATTTTGATTTTTTGGTGTTGAGTCTTTCACCGTTCCATGTGATTGAAGAGAAGGTTGAATTCGCAAAGACCTCGAGCTGAATGTCCTTGTTGATGTCTCCAACCAGGTCAAGGGTTTTTCCATGTGCAGTGGCGTTTCGTACAAGGTACGGTCCTGATACTAAAACGTGGGATTCTGGTGGTTCGTAGTATGCTGTCTTGATTCCTGGTGCCCAGAACTGATAGGCCGTTGACTTATCAGTAAGCAAGAAGGTTGCACCAGGAAGCTGAACAACTGAAAGTCCCGCTGTTTGAACAAAATCGATGATCAAAGTACCGTTGGTGGATTTGTGGGCGATCTTTGCTGATCCAGTTGTTGTGACCTCTCCACTATCAACACCAGAAACAGCGATCTCTGCGGCTTGACCTTCTTTAAGATAGAATAACACAAAATCTTCCCCATCTATCACAGTCCAGGTAGAAATCTCAGCAGTTGAGTATAGAATATTTGTTTTCCCCGCTTTGTAATCGGTGGGTATGATCTTTGTTTGACGACCTTCTAAGAGCAATGTTGAACTTCCGCTTGGAACAGTGATGGGTCCAAGACTAGTCTCAAGGTTAATAGAAAATGATTTGGTATCGGTAGAGTTTGTCACTGCGCTTCGAACAACATAGAAGCCCGCGTTAACTGCAGCGTTGCGAAGTTCTGTGACAAAAACAGCGGCATTGGTAGTGTAGTTTTGGGCGGTGCTATTGCCAACTTGGGGCGCATGCAAGAGGGAGGTGGTGGCACGAGTGAGGAGACCAAGGAGTTTAGATTCGTTGGCACGATCGCGGAGGAGACGGCCTTCAGTGATGCCACTGCCATAATCATAGGAAGTGTAGACGACAGGTGTTGCAACATGACCCCTATCAGATGTTAATAGGCTATTATCTGTCATTTAGACTTGATTATTACCAGTTGGTACCTCCGAAGGTCATGTAGTAGGATTGCATCGTGAAGCCTTGGGCAACATTATTTTTGTAGTAAACATCGACAAATTCCGGTCTATTTAGACATGTTAGCTGGGTTTATGCATATAATATATACGTGGTTCAATGCAATGTGGATAGCTCACCCAACCATCTCAGCACATTTTTCATAACCAGGACCTGCCCAAGGGTCAAACGCGCCTCCCTGGAACTCAGGAGTGAACGAAGGGCCCCCGTAATTAACTTGAGCAAAATGATTGTAGTATCCAGTATCGATATTAAAATTCATTTGTGGATTGGCACAGTCAAATCCTCTAGGGTAACTATCAAGCCCATAAATGTCCAAGACACCGGGGTAGTTACGAGGATTCCATGAACCGCCTCGAACGTTCTTGTTGAAATCGTTATGGAATATGGGCACAACTATTCCTACTTCTTTGTAGGTTGCAGAAAGATCTTCCATATATTCGTCGGCACCCTCGAAAGCACTAAAAAAAAAAAGATATCAGTTTAGATTTTAAAGAAAAACCATAATATAATGCCATCAAATCACTCACTATGACCCACTACCACTCCTGTACTCATTTTCGATCTGCGCCAGTATTACGGGGCCACCTTCGGTGACTTGGTTCTTGGCGATAATCGGGCCAATTTTTGCGATATATTCTTTCCAAGCCGTTGTATAGAGCGGATCGTTTGTGCGAACTTCCAAAGGCTGATTGATAAGCCAGCTATAGGTTTATTAGAACATCTCAATATTCTTAGCGTCGACTAGCTGGCCAACACAAGTCATACATACCCAGGGAACCCGCCTGCAGTTGTTTCTGCATGAAGATATGGGCCAGGACGAGCAATCACCCACAACCCAGCTTTCTTTGCCGCGTCAAACACGGGCTGTAGATCATGAGTTCCGGTCTCAAAGTCAAAGACACCATCTTTTGGACAGTGGAACCCCTATTTATAGTTTATTAATTCTAATCCTTTCCAAAGAGAGCGATATCTTGATCCATACCCAATGAAAGTAAATAGAGATTGCATTATAGCCAGTTGCCCGGATTTTTTGAAATATATCCAGGTACAGGGAAGGATTTGGAATTCTCCAGTAGTGAAACTCTCCTGAGAAAATGAATACTGGCTGTCCATCAATATAGAGAGAAGTAGCGTCCCTAAGGTTCAAGTAAGCAATTAGGACCGCTCAAAGGAGTTGGTGTAGCTTGAGCGGTGGAGGAACTAACCATTGAATGGCCTCTGTCAAGTTGTTTGATTTCAATAAAGTGCTCTGGCTTATAGCTTGCCCTGATAGCAGGGCAAATATCAGAGTCTTCAACCAAAACATTGAGCTCAGAATTCCAATAATCATTAAGAATTCCCAGGAAATCCTGTAGTCTCTGTCTGCTGCATTTCAGTCAGAGGGAAATCGATAGGAACGAGAACAATCCATAGCTTTATACGTAAAGTAATACCTCTTTCAAATTCAAAGTACCTTCCATATTTCTTTCCCCTCACCTCCATCCTGCATCGAATTCGGCCAGGACCATCTTCCGGGACGCGTTTGCATGGTTTTTTAGGCAGAAAGTACCTGGGTACTCATTAAATACGTGTAATTCGGTGATAAAAACTTGGAATCAGTAACAATTCGCTCTTGAGAGTCAATTCCAAAATCTTTCGCTGGCGGAGAGACGGGCGGTAATACACCGAGGAACCCAGTTATAGGACTGATTAAGAGTGATTGTGGGGTAAATGCTGCCTTGATCGACAGACGTCACATCAAGGACGGTTTTATTCTCGAAAGAAGCCACACCCGCCGTGCCAAGTTAAGGGAGACCGGGGTTTAGCGATAGGCTAAATTAAAATGATCGTACTCTCATACCCGGAAATATCACTAGCTGTACTATTGTCCGGGAATTCCCCGGGCAGATGCCTGTTACATGCACCTGATTATGCTATTCGGATAGCCAGGTGTCCGATATACTTCCCACTACATTCTTAAATAAATGTGCTGTATAGGTGACAGTTCTTTGAAGTATTAATCTGCACATATAATATATAGGGTGCAGGGAATCTAGTTGGGCCAGTCAGAATTGAAATGGGCATCAACTATGGCCTGACTACGCTGGCATGATACATTATCTCATTCTACTTGTACTCTACGTTGAGCCATTACACCTTGACCTCCAATATGGGCAATTGTACATGAGTTTAGTTTTACTATTACACATGTAATGTGGAATTGTGTTCGATTATGTATTGTACTTTAGTTGCAATTGATGAAGTTGGAAGTGCGGGGGATAAGAGTATTTTGTATTATAGGTACATGTACTTCGTACGCACATGTGCCTACATGTACTTATGTACCTAGCCGCAGCCGGGAATATCAGTTGTAGTACTAGGATTGCTTATTTAGGTAATATACCATACCGGTACGTGCATACATCTACACATGCATCTTTCGTAAAGAGAAGCTCGCTATATGTTGTACATTTTACCTGGTTAGCCTATGTAGGTACATTGGGTATCTTTTGGCTTGAGTAATTTAATAACTTCATTTATAGATGTTTGGTACGCGAATTTAGATGAGATTCCTTTCCAGGTTAGGCCGTACGCCGACCTCGAGCCTTTAGGCCATAGCTAGATAGATACATCGATAATTTATGTATATGCATAAAAAACATTCTAAACGTACAGCAACAAGTACATGTAATTGGGATGGTCTGTGATCATGAATAAAGTGAGAGCTACATGTATGCTAGATGGTGTATATATGGATGTCATCACGAACGTCAATTCATTATGTACTCTACACTTCATGTAGCCATATGTACAAAGTACATGTAGCATGCACCGCAAAAAATACAAACAATTACAATACATAATTATAAATGAACAAAGGTCAATTGCAAGCTGACAACTATTTTAGCACTCTATCATGAGTTCTAGCTGGCTCCCTTAATTCTGTAAAGGTATTGTTTAGATAAGTAAACTCTTCGTCTACCACAACCCACTAGCCTGCCCGTCAAAATCTATAACTATATGTAAATGCACACCAGCTGGTACACCGGGTACATGTACTTAAGTACTTTTTATATTGGCGAAAGAGGTTTGGTCTATATATGATCATGACGGGCATATGTATTGGGTTTAGCCCTTTGTTCATGTGCGCTCATATAGTTCCTTATAACTGTACTCCAAAATAGGTTTAAATGTATTTTTTGCAAAAGTGAGGATCGATCGAGAGGATAGGGTTTTCGGTATTGTGGATATTACAAATTGCCTTCAAGTTTGGTTTGTACTTATTTTGCCGGCGATTATTTGGCAAAATTTTCATCGCGCCAAGCTTTTGTACCGGATTTCTCCGTGTGATTTGAGTCAGATTCCAATGAGGCTCAACTCCTGCAGTTATTTAGGGTGCGATGATGCCCCGCCTTTTTTTTAGGCTCTCCATTTTTGGTTACCGTTGCTACAGTATTTTCTGGATCAATGGCGAACTTGGGACAATAGCGAGCCGGGTAAGTGCTATCTTATCCGTTTGAAATTAGTCATTTTCGTTTTCTTTATTCAAAACAGCTAGAGACTTTCCTTATTTGGTATTATTCCTTCGTCTATTCCGGATTTTTTTTCTCTTTATCCTGCATGGTTCTTATCGGGTCTAAGTCGAGTACTTGTCTACTTTATCTTTACTCTAATACATGTAGTTGCTGAGGTGTGGCCTAATTGCAAGGACAAATCACATAAATTACACATAATCCCACCATTGAAAACAGACTCTTTCTGATAGCAAATGTGAAGTCCTTCTACAGATCTGGTTTTGACCGACTAAATGATAAAACGTATATTGTTTTTTTAGCGGCCGCGGAAGAGGCGATGTCGGTGGTTGGAGATGAGGCTGGAACGGGCTGATTACTAGAGCTGAAGATGCAGCTGGCCCATCTCCTCACTGAATCCCCCTCTCTTCCTCCACCTCATAGTTACTAATTCTGCCGTTTTGTCTACTACTACCAACCAAACCCCCACCTCTGTTTGACCATTACCAGGCTTTGATTCGCGTAATCCTTCAGTTGATACCAAACCCGAGTCGATCGCAACATGGCTCACAATATTCCTTATTTCAATAGTGGTGCTTCACTAGCCAGTCTTCCTACCGAGATCTCGTATGTCTATAGCTAGCACGAAGCCTCTCAATTTCGCTTGCTAATACAAATAACGGAACAGCGAGCAGATTTACGCCTACCTCACGCCCACAATCCTAACACGGCTTGCCAAAGTGAGTAAAGCTGTTTATGCTTCTGTTCAATCACCTCTGTACCGGCATACAACCATCAGCTCCTATGAGAAGCTCCAACTTTTCGTTAGGACCTTACACAGCGCTGCTACATTTGATACCTGGGGCGAGGGTATAAGTAAGAATATTGTGAGTTTATGTATTTCAGTTGATCCAAATGCGGGGGCGAGGCCAACAGCCGTCATGCTCAGTAGAATGATTAGCGTTATCGGAAGGTATACTCCCCATCCTACATTTATAGCAAGTGTTGGGCTTTCAACCCTCTACGATTTTACATAAAACATGCTTTTGGTTTTTCCACCAGATACATGTACCTTCTTTTAATAATCTAATCATAGTTCAATATACTAACCTATCAATTGGCTCAGATATTGCCCTACCGTCAAGATCACTCTTGATATAAAGAACGGCTCTTGTGACGCTCAACCAATTTGTTCATTCGAGGGAGCCACTTTCAGTAGAATTAGTCGTCTAATCCTTCATGTGGGTACTGTTGCAGTGGGCGCTGTGAGTACAAGTTCTGGTGGTCCATCAGCTTCATCCCGTTCTCAGGTTATCCCCGTTCGTCGCTTCCCTATGAACGACTATAGAGCCGTAGGCCGGGGAGTTTGCAGACCAAACAAAAAGTTTTGGTCCGGCATCTTCAACGGGCAGAGCTTTCCAGACTTAAGAGAAGTAGAGATTAGGCATGATGCTGGGATAGGAGGGGCGGGAAGTACATGGAACCCAACACCAGTAGTCTTCGATAATGGGGATTTGAAGGGTCTTGATAAAATTACGAATCTAATCGTCGAGTCGGCCCCCGAACTCAATGATTCAGTTCTTATGAGCGCCTTGAACTTTGCGCATAAGCTGAAGGTATTGGAGCTGTGTAATATCAATGGCTTAAGCTACGAAGGTGATACATTCCCTCCAGTGCAGATTGTTCTCGTTGACTAAATCATCGTGCCTTTGAATTTCTAGCATTGTCTCAGCTTCTTCCGCATGCCCTGCCCAACTTGACCCATTTTACCCTCAAGATAGCCGCCAACCATGGCGCCTCAAACATGGCTAGACGTCAATTAGAAAACTACCAACTACCATCTCCATCTAACGGCAGAAACAACCCCTTACCCCCCCATCTCTGTCCCCTCTTTAGGCAGTTTGCCAGAAACCTTCAATATTTGAATCTCAAGGCGCCCTACCTTTGCCGTGACCTGTTCTTGGACGATGTGGAAAAGTCTAAACTTGAGGAGGTTGGTGTCAGAGCGGATATTGGTGGTGCAGCTGGTGCACCTCTCCTCTCGGGCAGTGGAGAGGAGGTAAGGGTAGATACAATAGCAATCAACGAAATAATCAAAACTTTTAGGAGGAAAAGGGAGGAAAATAGATTTAGGGCGGCAGTAAACGAAGCTCTGAAGGAAAAAGGTGTCAAGAAAGGTGACAGAAAATACGAAGTCGCAATTACCGGAGCTGAGTATGAAGAGGAGCAAAAACGAGTAAAGAGAGCGAGGAAGATCAACGAACAGAAGTGGACCAGAAAGATCAGGGTCTCACAGGGAATGTGTAGAGGGGGCGAATGTTGGGCTGAGATGGGTGTTCTTGCATCACTTGAGGAGGAAGGTGTAAATTGGCTTCTTGGAAGTACGAATCCGAATCCCACTCATCTCAAATTATTCTTCACTATTTTATACCAAGAATTGAAGGGCCAAAAAGCTAATAAACACAGATGAGGTCCTCGGACTCGTGGCTAGGTGCGCCCATGGTCATGTTGACACCGACCAAAAGTACGAAGATGTATTCCCAGGTCTTGTAACCACTGATCATGAGGGGACACCGAGATACAACAGAAATTACGGCCATGATTTCAATGATGACTTGTGAAAATTAAAAATCCAGGGCCGTTTCTTGTGAGGATATCCTTTAGGATCTCGGGGGAGATCAAGCTTACGTTTGTGTATTTTTTATATTATTGCCTTTTCTTTCTTTTTTCGCAGGAATGAACTCTTTCCAGAGCAGATATTTTAGGCGGATTATGAAAAAAAGAGTCTACATAATTGCACGTATCCTAAAATAAATTAGCTCTTGATATGGCCTCTACATGTACTACTAGCTAAACGTAAATACGTGTATGGACGCACTTATCAACCACACGAATTATCTACCACACTAAGCCTAATTATTGGGTCTGGCTCGAGACAATAGGTACATGTAGGCACCATACATATAAGAATTTTGCTTCTCTTGGACAACATTCTGCTAATGTGTGTTAGTTACATGTATCGATAAATTCTATTCACATCTGCACATGTTTGTGATGTTCAACCATGAGCTGTCAACATTTCCCTAAGCGCCCTTCTAAGATAATCACCAACCATATCGGGATGGCGCCACGCTATGTTAAGTATCCGACACCTCGCTTAATGTTATGCAGGGTGTGCAAGAGCCACACAGCTCCAATTATTTCTGGTGAAACTAGAAGATCCCGGAAATGACGTCGAGACCTCAACCAACTTCTTCAAACCATTCGCGCTACTATTTCCGCATCTTTTTTTGCTCATACCCGATCAAGCGCCTCCCGCTGTTTCATCAAGCTTTCACTACTTCTGAGTTTACAATAGTTTCCCTTACCGCTAGAGGTACCTACACTGCTACTAATTCCGGTTCACAAGGACTGGATACCCCTGCTTCGTTACACGGGTAACGAGTCTTATAAGAAGAAACTCTTCAGCCATCTCCTTTTGAAAATGTAAGCAGGTCTTCAACTCTAATTTTCTACACCACGATCATCAAAGGAATCCTTTCATCTCTTCTAATTACCCCAAATCTATATCTTTATAATTTCCCAATAAGACACGAAAATGGCCATCCCCCCACCCCCTTACACCATTCGAAAGTCCCCCACAATCCCCGCTGACCCAGCGCTTTCAAGGCACCGCACTCTCTCCACACGATCTAAACAACCCCCAGCCCGTAGCTCCCCCTCTCCTGCCCCTCCTCTGCGTCGCAAGGTATCCCTCTTTGCCTCTCTCCGTGCTTCAACTCGCCCCGATCTATCTCGTCGTCTGTTCCGCCTTATAAAATCAGAAAATCATGTCATCACAGCCTACAACACCGCTGCGCATGAGCGCCAATGCATTGCAACCCAGCTATCTGAATGGGGCGAGTCAACGGGCGACGATGCTGTGTCAGAGCTCTCTGACAAACTCGGTGTTATTCTTGCCGAGATTGGCGGTCTGGAGGAAGGTTTTGCAACAAACCTGGAAGGCTGCAGAACAATGTTAAAGACGATCAGGAACACCGAGAGTAGTGTCGGACCGAGTAGGGAGAATAGAGCCAGGATATTAGAGGATATTAGAAGATTGGAGTACAAGGAACCGAACTCGCCAAGACTAGCTATACTAGAGCAGGAGCTTGTCCGAGCAGAGGCCGAGAATCTGGTCGCGGAAGCACAGCTCACGAATATCACGAGAGCAAAATTAAAGGAGACTTATGTAAAGCACTTTGCGGCGGTAGTAGAACGGGCCGAGAAACAGGCAATACTAGCACGGCACGGGAGGAGGATGCTTGAGCTTCTCAACGATGAACCTGTTGTCCCAGGAGATATGCACGAACCCTTTGAACGCGAGGGAGAAGCTCGGCAGATTCTGAACGATGCAGAAGAAGAACTTCGACAGTGGACATCGGATATTGAAGAATCGCCTCCAGCACAGCAGGTCACGGCTACCGCCCCATCATCTGCCCTTATACAACAAACAACACCCCAGGTTGCAGAGGTTCACCCGGCGCATCGGGAGGTACATCCTGCTTTAAGAAACGGAAGCTCAACGGTTGAAAGTTTTGCGCCGAGTACATACGGGAGCGCATACAATGACCCACCGTACCCTATTAGTGAAGAGGAGAGGGCGGCAAGAACAATGATTGCAGCCTAGGAACGGATTAGGGGTTTCATTGAGCTTATACTCGCGCGTTAATTAAAAGATCGGAATTTTGTGTGGGGATTTGGTTGCAACGACTTCCGACCTTTTAATTAACGCGCGAGTATATGCTTTTCCTTTTTATTATTTTTATTACTTTATTCTTTGGGTCTGGATTAGATACAATGGTTGGTGGAATGGTTGGTGGAATGGTTGGTACGATACCTGGATGGGGCATTATTTCCTGTGCTTTAGCGAACCGAAATGATAGAAGGAAAGAAGGTGAATTGCATTGTGCTAAATCTTGTGTCACTCGTTTTCTATAAGAGTTTATTTGAAAAAGTTACACCTCTGTGTTCTGATACCAAAACAACAGAGGTACAGTTTTATTACCTACTGTATCCGACATTACCTGATCTCGTGGGTCGTGAGGGAGTATCTAAATGTCTGATTCTAGCATTTTGGCAGGATCTGCTGCAATCAGTTCTCCACCAATTAAGTGAGTTCAACAACGTAACCCCGTTTCTAAAGGATACCACGTCTCCTTGAGGGGGATGCATGGCTTAGGGATTGTTTGGTTGGGTATGAATTTCGTAACAGTGGTAAGAGGGCGCTCGATAGGCCAAACTAAATAGTGATATTAAGTACACGTATAGCCAACCGTCGACACAAAACAGCTAGAAAAGAGATGAAAAGTTTTGCACCTTTAGGATTAAAACGACTCAGAAAGTTCAAAAGGGTTAGAACAGCTCCTAGTAAAAAACTCTCGGGAGTATTTAATGCATGCAGTGCACCTCAACTCCCCCACAGCCCAACCTACCGAAACCCTTAACTAACACCGCAACCATACCCATTTTTAGGGGTAATAAAATTCCAGAAAACCAAGAATGCCATTTCTTAAAACCAGGATGTATATATCCGAACGGGGTTTTATAAGTTATAAGTATCCTCACGTTCAGCGTGCCTCATAGTCTATCACTCGGGACTTACATCTTACACGATCAGGCTTGATTGATAATTCATTAATTGTATGCAACCCTATACGATCAGGCTTTGCCACTATATCATGGTCAATTGTGTGCAACGAAAACATGCGCATCTATTCACGCGGATATAAATGACGAGTATCTACTATCCTCAGTACAAGTATATCTACATGTTATTAGGTAGAAAAAGGTATTGTGTGGGGAGGCGGACGAGATAGATTTAAAATGCATGCACTGCGTGCATACTTTTTTTCAGATATTATTATGGTGCTAATATCAATGTTCTTTTAGATACGTATATGCTGTAGTATACTCATCGCGCTTTATAATGTTCTACTATATAGGGTGAGGTAGAATTGTTGTAGAAACAGGGGTCTAAAAACAGGGCTTAGGTGGCTGACTCGTCTAATAGGGCTCTTCCCATACTTCTACAATAATGTTACCTCACGCTGTAGAAATAAGTGTAGCTTTAACGTTTTTGATTGACTATGTAGCTCTAACTAATCTAGGAAATGGCAGATGGTTCAATCAATTGCAATGTAAATATTACACATACACATCTATCTATAATATGGCCACGTATTAATATATGTTGTTAAATAAATTCTATTTACTCGATAGTCTTCTGTGATCTAGCCCCTATTTTAAATTTATTTCATCTAAAACTAAAAGACATACCTAGCACCCCATGGATATGGATATGGATTTGGATTTGGGAACTATAGTTCCCTTATTGATAGACCCAGATATCCCAACTGACCACCAAAGGGCCAGAGATCTTCCCCATCCTCATCATTACGCCTCACTACCGGTACCTCCAGCCGAGGCGCCGATATTACTTCCACCCCTCACCTCAGTCGAGGCGCCCCAGGACGAGGACGAGGGCGACGACGAAATGGATACCAGCTCTAGTTCGATACAGTCTGATATTGAAACCCTCCACCTACGAGTCCGCCCCGATCTCCAAAATCCGTTGAAGCGAATCATAACTACAGTTCTCTCAAACGGCGAAGAAGAGCCTCATCTCCCTGCTCAAAGACTCTGGGATATGGAGCAGCAGGTACAATGCGAGCTAGGCCCAGAGAGATTCCTTACGTATACGTTCATGATGCCGCCCCTGGATGTTCACAGCACAGATACATTCCTCATTGTGGAGTTTGTGGACTCAGGCCGGAGGTTCAAATACGAGAACTGCTGCGGGGTATCTCAATGGAACTTTCAGCCCCTATTGGGTGGGGTAGACTATTCGCAAGGTGAGGGGTGGGGCATTGGAAATCTTTATGGCTTTGAACCGAAGATGCATGATTTCTTTCGCGAGATGTTAGTGCCTGTGACACTGAGGACATATCGGAATCTGATGGCACTGCTAGAACTGAGGGATCCATACATGATCTGTGACGAAGCAGCGGAAATTCATGAAAATTATTCCGTCAAGATCGCCTTAAACCAGGATATACAAGCTAAACCCGAGTTCACAAAGCATTTGGTATGCGGGAATATAGAGATTGCTATACTGTTTGAAGTCCTGGCTAATGCATATGAAGACCAAAGGGGACTCATGCTTAGCAGAATTGGCACAGACCGCAAGGTTACTGGGGAGGCGATTACGTATGTGCAGGCAGTTCAAAGTGGATGGAAATTAGAAGAAATGGGGTTTCCAACAGGGTTTACTCTGTATCTTTTAGCATATTGCTGGAAAGAGTCAGACCAGTACAATCCCATGCCTGTCGATAGACGCCGGCTGATCTGATGGCCTGTCAAACAGTTGATGGGCGCCGATAACACATGTGTCACTAGCTTGGTGAGGGGTAAAAGCTATTTGTCTGATAGAACGTGGTATACAGGTAAAATGGAGCCCGAGAGAAGCTTTAAAATTGTGCAAGGCTTTTAATTACGGGTGAATGAAGAATTCTAGGGGTGCATTAGCCCAGCTAGATACCAAGCGCCTTCATCAAATAAAAGGCTTATTCATCAAATATCACTCACAATCCTCAATTTTATCGTAGTTTAAAGTAGCCCTCTTATATCCTCAATACATAGGATCTCAATCTTAACGTTGTCCACGATCCGAAAGAAGTTAAAATAAGTCATCATAGAAAGGGCCACACGAGGAATAGAAGACTCGTCAAGCCCTTTCTCTAAAATTCTATCCTATGCATATGAAAAATCCCAGAACAACATGTAAGATCGTTCGTATTTTAGGACAAAGTTCTGTACCCATACCACTAATCAGATGACTATGTCTTCTCCTGTTTACATATATAGATATTCCATCTTCCAACGCATGTTGCTAAATCAAAGACAAAGACAAAACGAGGTATCTTCTCCTGTTTTATAATAGTTGGCCTTATAAACATCTGCCATTCAGGACAGCGTGGTGTGTATCACACCGCCCTTGCAGCGGATACACATTCTACTACTGCTGTGTCTCTACAGATCTGTCTACTACATATTCCTCAAGATTTTGTATATTCTGAGTTGTATACACCTTCCACATGTGCTGTGGGGGGTGTATCACGACTAACTCTGTTAATCGAGTGATCTTTCATGATTTAAAATACGTCAGGTATTACCATAAACCACTGAAGACGCCTTGGATGGGTCATTGATGCAAGTATCTCCATATAAGAAGAGGTTTGATGGAATTCGCGTTCACATTCCAGGCTCCTCGGGGCGATTCTGAACATTATCATCCTCAGAACGATCACCAATTATCACTCGGCCGCAAATTCCGCATAGTCTCTCTTCGTCTGAACATTATCCTAGGTGATAGAAATAAATAGATGTACGTAAGCCGTTCTTATGACCCCTTGGAAGATACATTCTTTCTCCTTAGTCTACGGTAGGGTTTAAGGGGCCTTAATAATCGTAGACATGATTACATGTATCCTGTCAGGTTAGAATTTGCCCGGCTACATATAGTTCGGGTGGTAATACAGATGTCGTAGGCTTACATGCGCCTTTTCTTTTTCATAGTATGAGCTCAGATGCAATGTGGTGAGTTAACGTTTATTCCGCAGGATAGAATTTATACGGAGCATCCTAAACAATATAATACCGACACTAGAAACACTAATAGATGCGACAGATCAACAAAAACCCACTCACAGGATCCAAGTTGTTTAATACTTCGCATGCCGGCGCTATCGGGAAATGAAAGAAGGGCGTTATCACTTATTTGACTACTTGAACATCACATCACGCCTTTGCAGAGCTTCGGATGCCTTTAAGGGTAACCTTGCTTATTAAACCAAAGTCTAGAATTCCGTTCTATTAATCAACACGCATCGCTGATCAATAAAGCGCCCTATCCGCAAAGATGGCTAACAGAGGGCGTGGCTAGCTTGGCGTATGTACTCACAAACACTGACCAACAGAGCCCGGTTCTGAAACAACGAGCCTGGTGAACGGGTAACATAGACCTCTGGGTTCGGTCTGATAGTTATAAGTTTTTGCGCTAAATATCAAGCATACTTAGTGCATAGTTCGGGGTCGGTTTATAAAGAACTTGTGAATGGAGTGAGTTGGGTGCAAACTTGATGAACTTGTCGAACCGTTATGATTTCGTATGGACATGGTCATCCAGACACAGACGCCTCATTAACCGACCCGATGAGTAGGACGGCTGCACCCCGTCAGACAGCGGGTGGCTTGGTCATCGGAGCAAAATGGCACTCCTCCAGGTGGACATACCATCGGAGTGTGGTCCTCCCTAACGCTGCATCCGAGGGTATATACCCAACAGTCGCGCACCTAGACAACTCCTGTCTGCGCATCTCGGGCGTATGTGCCTCAAATTACGGGACAAATATCTTATCAAGCTTTCCAATGGTCATGCATGGTCAGGGACGTGAGGATGTTATTCAGCTTCCATTGCGTAGCGGCCGCGCGGCTCGTTGAGACTCGAAGCCGTTATCGCATCTTTGCCATTCTGTGTAATCTTGCTATATATAGTTGATTCAGTCAGCTCTCCATACCTCAAGCACATTGAAGTTCTGGTAGAGAGGGCGTATGGCGTGGATGGCGCTAGTTTGATGCACTCTCCGCCACGGAGCTTTGTGATGAATGATACAAAGATGATTTCTAACAGCATTAAGTAAATAAAACAGCTGGAGGTATAGGAAGGTGATTGAGTTCAGATTGATTGCTTAGCTCTGCAGGTACGCATGCAAGTACTATACATGTGCATGGGTGGAAGTATGTTTCGTGCATGGGAAGACCTCAAACTGAGCCGTTGTTACAAAGATGTAGGATATCTTGCCAGGCAATATCTTTGTGTAGACTGTGAGGAGCTCCGGTTCTAGGCCGTTGCCCATCAAACACGTATTGCCAAGCAAGGGTTAGGCTGAAGTTAGTCAAAGGTGCCAAAATAACCGCTACGAGCATTGGTTCAGCCCGCATTAACATTACTGATGATCTAGGGCAAAATGTGCCAGTCTAAACCCCCACCGTAGGTAGGGTACAAGAGTTAGAAACCTTTTTTCTTTTCTTCACAAAGATCAAAAGTCCGATATATAGAGAACAAGCTGACGAAAAGAATATACACCTTTGCCTATGTATTTATTGCTTATGAAGGGTTCCAACCCCAATACCCAAGAGGTCTAGGCTGTGGATCCTGGCCCAGATTTAAAGATCACTATCTTTGGGGAGATGTTACATTACGCCGCTCAAAAGCCATTCTAGAGGCCCAAGAATGCACGCGGGTCCGTCATAGAATATCACTCGCTCACTCCAATTTCAGCTATAAGCTCTGAGGCCAAATGTAGTCTACGAGAAATCACTACCGGAGATAGTCCAATGAACGGGGAGTCTGGCTAGTGACTCTGAATTCAGATCCAACCCCAATTCCGAGTAGTGTAACCTATATACATATGGGACATATTATTAAGGCGTAAAGAAAGTATACGTAGCTTGATGTGTATGAAATTTAATGTGACGGGCTACCTCGATGAGCTATGACGTATACTGCGCATACCGTACTGAGACCCGGACCTAGAAAGTCACATTACCATCAGCCAGGGGAGACGTTAGGGCAGTGGTTCCGATCAAAAACGATCTTTCTACCTACAAGGACTAATAAGGTACTACGCTACAGTAGATCCGAATACCAGCTGAATACAACTACAAGTACTTAGTATACTACATGTACATGTAGTAGCACTATTTCCCCTAGGCTTACTCATCCATACCAGACTATATATTCGAGGCATCATCTCCTTCGTTAAATTGATCAAGCGGGGAAAAGCACATTTGAGGCGTCTCGAGCTTAAGGTAAGTTGACTGCCCCCAACTCAACCCAACTCATCTCACAAAAATAAAAATTACAAGATGAGAATCAAATATGAATTCACGAGTATACAGTTTGATTAAAGATTTATTCCCCCAAAAGAAAATACTCCGAAGCTACAAGAAAACTTCCTGATTACCACGTTGTACAAAACAGACTCCCTTTCCCTGCAGCCAGCTTCTCAAACCCTTCGCTCTGTACCCGTATACTCCCATCTCCACCCATCTCCACGACTAACGAGGTGCTTTCTTCCATCCAGGCGCTCCGATAGAGAAACCAAAGCTCTCCTTAGTGAACGTAGACCGAAAGGTACCAGAATCGTCATCACTTTCCAACCCTCCTGGAGCAAAATAACCCTCCTCATCCTCGGACTTGATTTTACGCAGCTTGGGGGCTGGATAGGAGCCTGACTCGGAGTGATGCTCTTCAGATAGATCACCTTGAACCACGATAGGCTTACAACCGCCAACTCTGACTACGGTGTAGGTGTGTACGCGTTGAGGGAAACGGCCTTGGAGGACAGACAAGTTGTGAGTCTGGTCACTTTCTGCTTCAACTTCGATCTTCGTTTTGCCTTCGTTGTTGTCGCTCTGCTCGACATCGGAGGAATGGATCTCTTTTTGGCCTTGGTCGATTGGGGTTTCGACCTGGCGCTCAGTGTCAGACTGGTTGGTCTCAGGCTTGGGGCTTGGGGGATCCATGATTGTGTTTGCGGATGGAGGCGGAAAAAACAGGTCTGAAGAGGGGTTGTAGATTTGATCAACACTTTTACGTAGGAGATGGAAGGTCGTTGATGGTTCCGCCGAGCGAGTCTTTTATCCACATACAAGTTGAAGGGGGCTTGGTGCCATACTAAAAAATTAATGCTAATATCATTATTTTTCTTTTTGGGCGGGGGCCTCTCTAGTCAGGGCAACGAGATGTTTAACTGTTAATTGGATCCAGATGAAAGGGATATATGCCTTATGATGAGCATACCCTCTGATTTTTCTTTCGCAGCGGCAATGTACTAGGGTTATTTTGTTTTCATACGATGCAGCTTTCGTCTGAGTACGGGGTCCAGTTCGTAGTTTCCATTGAATTACATGTAGTGCTTTGACTTTTATCACAGAATCATTGACTGTTACACACACACGATCGCTAGAGACTGCTACTAAGCTCTGCGAATCACTGCGATGAAAGCTGCTCTGCCTATCTTGAGGAGGGCGACATGCCAAAACGTTCCATGGCAACAAATTTACCGAATGTTCGACTCTACGCCTTTTCCTAAGAAAGACTAAGCCATCATATGGCCGGAAAATCCCAAAGTATTTAAATTTTTCAACTATACCCCCAAAATCAAACATGACGGAAGTAACCCAAGGGGAACCATGTCAATCATGAGATATCACTCGATACTTTATTTGGTGTGCTGGTCGCAGGGGGTGGAGAGAGTGATGAGAGCGTTGGTTGACTAGCAACAGTATATTTTGCCGCCATAATGAAGCCCATGTTTTCCTCATCCCAAGGCTGGCCCAGGCATAACCATTAGTGCATCTCATCTTAAACTTTGGATTAAAACCTTTACCCACTATTAGAGTTGAGAACCACTGATATACATCCGGTTCTGCAGATCAGCTCTGTTCTAGTATCTATAGAACGAAATTGAGTAAATCACACTTGGTCAATTCATAATTGGGTTTCGCCTCACTCGCGATATTAGGATGGAGAATCACAAATATTATTTATGGTATGAAGAGAGTAAATTATTTCATTACTAAACACTCGGAGAGCTATTGTATACCACATTATAAAATTCGCAGACAAAACTGTAAATCCTAAAACCTGGACCCCGTGACCTGAAAACCTAAAATAACAAATGAAATAATGGGCTAAGGAGAATTCTCAACCCAAAGCGTTAGAGGTGCAAGCACTCTCTATAAAAAAATAGAAATATATCTGCCAAACCCAGAAACCGAAGATCTACCATAGCATCTCCTTCCACACTGCCTATGGCAAATAGAAGAGGCCACATTATCACTAACAAACATCACAAAGCACTATCTCCTAGTAGTGCGAATGTTGATGTTGACTTCCACTGTCTCCCCAGGTCGTGGCGCCGGTGTGGAAACCTTACCCCTCATACCCTGATGAACAGGGGCCTGGCCCAATGGCGATGGTACCACGGAACGGTGACTGGTCCTACCTCCGTGCTGGGTCATACTCATAGCCTGGGAGCCTGGTGATGCAGACTGGCGACTAGACGAAGAAATATGGGATCGGCCACTCGCGCCGGAGGCACCCGACATTGGAAACTCTGGCTGGCGGCTGCCAGAAGAACTGTTGCTCTGTCCGCTCATGTTGGAGACCATAGACAGTGGTGCGGAGGTGCGGTGGCTCCCGGAGGGGCCAGCCGCGCCCGACATCACGTATGAGGGCGCTCCCGTGTGGCGGCTGGGGGCATGCATACTGCCCTGGCCCCGCGAGGCATTGGAGGCTGAGCTCCCCTGGCTATGGGTCATCGCTTGATAAGCGCTGCGGGCATTCTCGTCCGAGAACCAAGGTGCATTCGAACCCTTTGATGATGGAGGGGGGCTGTCGAGTACGGGAGCGTGTCTGCTGTGCCTTGAAGAGCTCTGGGGAGTTGATCCACCCGAGACGTGGGACATAGGTGCCCAAGAAAGGTGGCTAGGCATCTTTGAGCCGTTGCTCATGTTGCTCGAAGCGCTGGCGGTGGACATCTCAGGTACCGCCGAGAGGTGGCTCGGTGCCCCATGTCGAGAGTAGCCGCTCATGCCAGAGATGTGAGACTTGGATGCCTTCGAAATGTGACTAGCATCAACCTGAGAGCTCTTCCGGCTCATCTGGCTCAAGCTATCGCCAGGCCCGAGAGTGGGAGCGTTGCGGATTTTGTCACTCATGTGGGAGGACTTTACGGTGGCAACACTGGGAGGTGGCATTGAATGACGAGAAGCGCGACTAGGAGTGTGTGAAGGCATTTAGTTTGATTTGAGTATATCTTTGAGGAGAAAGGTTAGTTATGGTAGTCTGGTTTTACCTGGAGTGCAAGGAAGGCAGTTAGTGCGGTGTGGGGATGTGTGAGTAGTGGATAAAGATCTAGAACGAAGAGGGCGGGACCATGGGTATTTAAGGGTCGTGGAGGTGGCTTGCACAAATAGAAGTTATCTTGTATCGGTGCTTGTTCATCGACCACATGATGCTATAGCGGCCATATGTTTGGCTCGTTTTCATGTATATCTTGTCCAGCGTGACATAAAGTAGAGACAGAACGTAGAAGGTTTCGTAGGCTCTATGTGTGACTAGTAGTGGGTTGTGGTGGTCCAATAGTATGACTGGTAAATTCGTTGCTAGAGCTGTCTGTAGATGATCGGTAAGAGACAGTGACTTGGACCGTTTTAGATGATATTGCGAGGTTAGAGTGCCATACTCCAGTGTTGGTGGAACAGAAATCACTCGATATTAACTTCTATAATTATAAGATAGTAAAAGTAATAGAAGAGAAACTATGACAGTATGCACAAGTACTTTGACGTAGACAAAAGTCGGAACATCAGATCATAGACCTAGGATGATACTGTGTTCTCATACTGTCAATTGACATGCATAATGCCAAAGATTGCCATCACGAATTTGAGCACATCATATTGCGGTAGAATATTGAGAGTGCCGATTAACTATAGCTAATGAAATTAGCTTTATTGTGGATTCATTACTTCATGTAATAAACTGAAGTGATTTCCTCTGAATCTGGCAATATAAACGACTGATTCCACCGACTCACGTTATTCAAGTAGGCGTGTAATCATTAGTGATATATACCCTAACTAAATACATCTTCATATTACTACATGTACAAATGATACGGGTCGAGTCCTCCCACACTCTACGGAGGAGACAGGGTCGGAAGTTGAAACGAGTGTATACGACGTAACACAAACAAGCGAAAACGAGTGACCGCTCATGCCCCAACCCCCAGCAACACTGTCAGCCACCGACCCATACTTCACACCAAATTCATCAGGATGGTCGAAGAGCTGTGTACCAAATAGGGAAAACGGAAGACTAGAGCGCAGCCATAAATGGTTCAAATAGTATTGACACCGTGACTCCTTCCTTAGCACAGTTGGCGGTGCGCCGTTGCTAAAATTATCACTTAATACAATGTACCGCTTGGCCAACGTATCCTCGATTACAAGAACAGTGGGGAATTCTATATAGATGGTGCTTGTACCCTGGTTTATGTATTAGTGTTATTTTCATGGTCCGTAAGCCTCGATGATTTGGTCCGGCTGGTCACAGTCGAGCACCCGGAATTCGATGCTTGCTGTCCTTGACTGTAGAGTAGGTATGGTGGATCTTCTACCTATTTAGTTGGGCATTCAGTAAAAGGTCTTGAAAGCAACACCCTGTTTTTACGACCTTTTACTGAATGCCTAAGTACATATCTAACTCATAGACAGTATCTGATTGAAATACTACTCCATTTAAAACATATTATTGGCGGGAGACCTACTAGCACTTTCTTTACAATTTTGCTGTATTAGAGCTGTACTCCTACTCACCCTCTACGATTATTCTCGCCATACCTCCCCTACTGTAATCGAGTCTCTGTCTCAGGTCCCTAGTACCCGCTACTACCCCTACACTATTCTGATTGATAATTAATAATTCACTCCTCTCGGATATCATCATAGCAGCATGTTCCGCAGATCAGATCAGACCCCTGCACTGCGCTACCAGTAATGCACAACCCTGTAGATCCCGATGACGTCAATTGCCGCACCGATTACGGATCCGATCATTACCCCACATTAGTTACCGCTCCGCACATGAAGCAGAATAGAGGAGTAGTTAAATATTGCGAGTTTCCCTCCACAAAAGAATACATCCAGTATTTCTGTACAAGATATCCATTAGCGTTCAATTCCAAACCCAAAATACCCATACTTTACCACCACACCACATAGCTCAAAATGGTCCAAGTTCTTCTTCTCGGAGGTACCCCATACCCTATAACCCCCCTCTAGGTTACTGTCCGACTTCTAACCTCATAAAGGCCACGGCAAGGTCGCCCTCCACATGACCAAGCTGCTCACAAAAGCCGGCCACATCGTAACCTCCATCATCCGCAGCGCCGACCACATCCCCGACATCAACGCGCACGCCGTCTCCCCAGGCATCGTCAAGCCAACCGTCAGCTCAATTGAAGAGGCCACGCCCGAATCTATCGCAGTACAGCTCGAGGGGATTGACTGGGTTATCTGGTCGGCCGGTAAGTCCCCGCTCCAGCCCCAGCCCATAGGGAAGTAGTAGTATATATAGCCCGGGCTCTGATCACTGACTCCCCACAGGCGCGGGCGGCAAAGGCGGGCCCGAACGCACCATCGCCGTCGACCAAGAAGCCGCGAAGAAGTACATCAGCGCCTCTCTCGCCGCTCCCTCCGTGTCCAAGTTCCTGATCGTCTCCGCGCTGATCTCGCGGCGCGAGCCAGCGCCATACTGGGGCGAGGAGGACGTGGCGTCGTTCCGTGCGGGATGGAAGGCGATCCCGACGTACTGCGAGGCGAAGCTGCAGGCGGATATCTGGCTGTATGATGAGAGCCGGAAGCTGGAGAAGGCGGGGGGGAAGAGCGTGGGGTGGGAGGATATACATTTGAGGCCCGGGGCGCTCTCGGATGCGGAGGCGACTGGGAAGGTCGAGTTGGGGAGGGCGAGGGCAAAGGGGGAGGTGAGTAGGGCGGATGTGGCGGCGGTGGGGGTGGCACTGTTGGAAAGGGGGGGTGCCGGAGGGTTGTGGGTGGATTTGGTGGGAGGGGAGGAGGAGATTGGGGAGGCGGTGGAGAGGGTGGTGAAGGGGAAGATTACCGCGAGGACGGACGCAGAGTAGAGGACTTGCTGCTAAGATAGCACTAGCGTATCGAGTTTCAGCCAAAGTCAGTTATCATCACCTTTTGTCGCTGGGAATCATGTAGTTATTCATCCTTGGATAGGTGAAGGCTTACGAAATGCAGATACAGTAATAGAATTCTTTCTTTGAGCTATCGTATTCCTAACACTAATGTGAACCAAATACCCCAAGAAATACGAATACGACAAGCCCAACCCACGAGATGTAGGTGCATAAATTGATATATCATACGGAAAAGGTCTAAAATGACACAGTTTTTGGTAGACGTGCTCTACAATAACACATGGCGCAAAATGGTACAGTTCGCTGTCCCAAAATGAAAAAGTATGATCGAATTGTTGAATGAACTACATGTATTGATTATATACACCAGCTTAGAACAGGTAAAAGTCAGCCCCGACAGCACAAGAGAAGACACTGGGTAAAGCAAGACAGAAAAAATAATAACTTAAAGCGAAATAAGACAGAAGAACCCTTACTTCTGAAACCGGTCCATCCAGGGTATGACCTTCTCGCTGAAGTCCTAATATTTCTAGACCACAGAGTTGGGTTCTTCCATATGAAATTCTGAGAGCTGTTGTTTTGACTTCGACAGTTTCTGGAGGTTGGAGAAAACGTGCAGCTTGCAGCGTGGAAGTCGAAGGTCAATAGTTGTGTAGTTAGTATGGCTTTACATAAAAACTGTGTCATTTTTCACCATGTGTTATTGTAGATCACGTCTGCTGAAAACTGTAACATTTAGACCTTTTCGAATTCCGTATAATGTAATACAGAGGTAAACGTGTGCGTGTGTAGGGCATTCAACGCTATTACATGTAGCTCCGTGTGCCCTCCGTTTTGTTGTACCAAGCTAGGGGCCATGCAACACAGAGAATCTGTCCTTGACTTTTCATCGCACGCCGTCGATTCAGATCTCCCACCACTTATCATTCTATCCGGCCTTCTCCCAGCACAGACCACCGACGCGACTAAGCACAACACAAAGTAGGGTTGGGAGAAGTATTTCAAGGTTTAGGGTTTGAGGTTTTGGCTTCACCATCCATATGTATTCCAGCACTTCATTATTCGTTCACATTGAATATATCTACGAGTAAACCGCCCCATTACATGTTCTAGTACTAGCCCTCGAACCGAAACCGGTATTGTAACAGAATCTAGAGGTCGTCCGCCGATAAGTGCTAGCCGATAGTTAGCAACACTGTATCCATAGCTAGAGAAAGCACTCAGCACTGGAAAAGTAGAACAGATATACCAGACTAGCCGGTATATCTTCACGGTTAAAGGACTCTTCCTCTAATATCCCTTAAGCCGTCAGGACCGATTTCAATCCTGTTACTCAAACCCAATACGGAAGTCGTGATATAAACATCGCAGAGAAGTGATCATGATGAGGTGATCTATCACGGTTTACCGATAAGAAATAGTGTGAGGAGCTATTCATCATGATCACTTCTCTGCGATGTTTATATCACGACTTCCGTATTGGGTTTGAGTAACAGGATTGAAATCGGTCCTGACGGCTTAAGGGATAATAATCTGCAGGTCACTTACTATAGCTACCTTACATTAAGCGTGACTTTCAGCATTTGTGATATCGGCTCATATGTCTAACAATAAGCGAGCGGAGATGCCTTATAATATCTTCTTTTTGAATGGCCTAGGAAGATGATGAGCTTTCGGGATGGTCCATACGTCGTAGATCATCGATTGTGCATCCCGGCCTCTGCCGAGAACACCACCACAGAATCTCACTCGGTCCTACTGCATCTCTACAGGGCGCACCACCCATCACGCCAAGCCACCGCGCCAAATCCTGATAGCCGGCTACATGTATCCTTGAACCTCAACCTCAAATTCCATCATCGATCCGAACGGCATCACCGACGACGACTACACAGCCAGAAATGTCCTTCCGCCTGCTCACCACCTCGCGGGTAACTCCTCAATTCCCCCATTTACCAAATTGTTGACTTTCTGCTAACCAAATGTAGCCCGCCGCCTTTGCGGGCGCTGCACTCACCACGGCTTTCTTCACCACCTCCACCGTATATGCCGACGAGGGCACCACCCGCCTCGTATCTCCCCCCACCCCCCCCCCCCCCCCCCCCCTTTCTCTTGCAGGCCAATTGCCGCCGCTGACAGACCCCCCAGGTTAAAAAATCACTCTACGACCCCCCCGCCCCCGAGCCGTCGGTCTCCACCCCCGAGTCCCACTCCCGCACCCCAACCCCCACCGATCGCCTCGCCGTGCACATCGGCACCGCCCGCCGCTTCGTCACCGCCCACGCCGCGCTCGCACAGCGCGAGATCGACTCCGCCTTCAGCAAGTACCTCTCTGTCGAGTCCACCGTCACCTCCACCATCGCCTCGCTCGCGCCCCCGCGCTCCTCCGAGGAGAAGGTGGTGCCGGGGCTCCTCTATGTTGCGGTAAGCACCATGGCGGGCTCGATCCTCGTGAGGAGGAGGATGTTGCCCATTAGGGTGGTGACGCCGCTGGCGGTCGCCGTGGGCGCCGGTTGGTATTTCATGCCCGAGACGAGCAGGAATGTGGGTGATTTGGTGTGGGAGTGGGAGAAGAAGGTGCCGCAGGTGGCGGAGACGCACTTGGCGGTCAGAGAGGGCGTGGAGAAGAGTATTAGGGAGAGTGCGAGGGTGTTGGTGGAGAGCAGGAAGGCGGTGGATGGGGTCGTGACGGATGCGAGGAGGACGGTAGAGGGGTGGGTGAAGAAGAGTGGCGGGGATAACTAGAGGGGAGGGAGTGGAAAAGTTCTTGCTGCTCCCCCTGACCGTTGGTGGGTGGTGTATAGATGTGCTTTTTTCCTTTCGTTCCTGGCTTTCTTTGCGTTGGTTTGTTTGTTCCTGTTTTCTCGTGGCAGATAAAATTATATACGGAATAAGATCCAATACCACTAGACTTTTAGACCGTTGGTTTTTTTTTTTTTTTTTTTTTTAATTGTGATTGTGATTATTTGTTGTAGTTGGCTAAAGGAAATCGACCATTTCTGGCCAGTGGGTCATGATGTACGTCTATGGAGCGGTAAATGTGTCAAAAGTAGTTTTACCACCGGTGGTATAAGAACTGAATTTCAGTCATTGTGTCTGCACGCTATCCTACATTAGTACGTTCCCCATTAGTATAAACACTGGGTTTCGGTCTTTATGCTGCGCTATACTAGGTAAGTAAATGTTCAATCATTAATGCTAAAACTTATGAAAATCTCCCACCGGTGGTAAAATTCCCCACCGGTGGACAATCTTCATATATATCGGCATTATATGGCTCCTTTTGGCCAAAAGGTCTGTAAAAATTAGCATTATAGGGTATAAATACTGGTATTACTTTCACCACCGGTGGTAAAATAATTTACTACCGTTGGTAAAATTACTTTTAACACATTTACCGCCCCATAGTACGTCATGGTAGATTATGGCAGGGTTAAGTATCCCTAGCTCCTATTACCCTCGCTCCCTTAAGTATTACTTCCGGTCAGTAGGTCATGGGTTCAATCCCGAGGGGTGGGAGTAGGAGCTGTGTTGTATGTTATAGCGGAACATGACCCATGACCCGTAAAAGGTATACCTCATAGCACCACCTTTTGTAAATTTATTTTCACATTTTTTTTTCTAGAGCTTCTTGGCCCTCCTCCTCGAAGTTTAAGTGTGATATCGATCAGATCTCTGCCCGTAACCGCAGCTTGAACAATTATCTTAGCGTCTCGCTCATTATTTGGCCAGTTGGTCTCCATCTCGAGATATCCCCCATAGTCTCCCTCTCCCCCATTGTCAGGGCCGGATGTAGGATTAGGGTTTAGCAAAACTTTTTCTTTTATAGTATAGTAGATTGTATAAGCACTCCCGATTAGGATATTATCAGATAATCCTACCAAACACATAGCAGCTTGCAAGTACGTTCTCTCATTATATAATATCGAATATCACCAAATTACAATCAGATAAGCTAACCAGATGCCACCGCCTGCTTACAGTATTGGAGTTAAGTATTTAGAATACTAGCTCAGAAAATGTTAAGGTTCCTTAAGTCTGGGCAGATATGGGACGTCTTGGCATCAGTTTCTGTGGGGTTTAAGATTGGTGGGAGCTGGTTTTTAATTTTAATACGTTGTCAAGATGACCGTGAACGGCCAGTATATAAGCCATTGAACAATGGGTTAGGTTCAAGTAGAATCTTTTGGTTTTTGTATTTTGTAGGTATGAACTGCTTGTGTTCGAATCCTACCTGTGGTTGTGGAGAGAGCGTACGGGTTTGCACGGTGCCAGGTTCACACGAGCTTTAGCTGTGGCTGGATGATATATGCCTTGTGGCCGAGGTGTTTGGATTTCAAGCAGTAGACATCACAGACTCGTAAAGATCAAATGAAATTGAAGAACCCGTTTATCTGACTACCTCAAAGACCTAGAATATATATTTAACAATCCTATGCGTATGCGGTGGACCAAACAATCCCGTCTATTGGGGCAGAGAGTCTCAACGCTAACAAGTAGATGGAGGAAGCTCGGATTCAGACTTCGGTGGTTCCCACGGACGTGAGAGTTATCTTCTTCAAGCTGCCTGGCGGTGGTGAGCTATAGTGATGTATGGAGCTCTCATAGGTTTGATAGCAGTTGACCAGAGAGCTCCAGACCAGACGGTATTACCAGAACTGGCCTATCCGAAAGCCTCTCTTTCGTCATGTCACCCACAAGATCGGCCATAAAGATTCGAGTAATACGGGATATACCATGAGACTGACAAGAGGATATGGTACGTAGTATGGTCGCTATCACTCCGAGATTCTTAACGAATTGAAGTCTAGAGACTAGTATACTAGCTTTGGTTAGCTAAGGAGCGTCAGGTGAGAAGTACATCAGATCAGATCATCTATTGCCTGGCGGTATCGCCGCTCTTTCTAACTTGGCGGTGCGGGATCAAGATCTAGAATTAAGACCATTGAGATGAATTCGCTCATGAAGCTGTACTGAATCAAAGCATAGTGTTGGAAACAAGTATTTTCTAGGCCGTTCAATTGCTAGTGGGGGCGGCTGTGGGGGATTGCATGGAGCTTTCCGTTGCGCGCCAGTCCTAACCGATCCTTGTGCAGTTACCCGAATTGCAAAACCACCACCACAAGTGCCGAAGCACAACAACGTCGTCGCTTTGCTTTTGGATTGTATGCAGCTGCGAGCTTATTTAGATAAGTGCTATGGGAATCATGGTATTCGGGGTACGTGCACGTTTCGTTTTGGGACGGGCACATGGAGGCCCAGTTATACAAAATTTGGACATTCCTATTTTGGTGAGAGGGGAGATCGTTTTCTGTAACACCAAGTAAAACATAAACCAAGTAAACACTGGACGAATCGGAGCGTAGACCAGAAACCGTCGGTGTTGTCTCAAAAACGTTCCTTGGCGCCGCGTACGCCATGTGAATCATGGTATATCACTCGCGTGTATACAATCAGAGTTTCAGCACGGTGTCTTGGGCCACCCCCCCCTCTTCTCTCATAACTCTTTTTCAAAGTTAAACAAGGTACTTCCATGATCATGAGCTCCATGTGACTGAACATGTGCCGTGTCGAGTATTTGGTGTAGTCTAGACTTCTCTGGCATCAAGAAATGTGGTCAATAAGGCGGTATTTCTACCAATTTCGCCTCGCGACATACAACGAAAGACAGTAGATCTATAACAACGAGGCTTTTAAGGTTGGAAGCGCTCCTCCATGGACGTCGATGTTGATAGGCTCAAGATACCTCAAAGAACTCACGATAGCGGACGTATCTTCATCCATCAAAAAAATGGTTTAATCACTTGGAGAGAGAAGGGATGTTCTCAAAGTGTACTCTCTTTAAGTGAGCTGCTGGGCTAGACCACAATGCCGAATTTATTTTCGGGTCACTACATCGACCGATTGTTTGAAATCAGAAATCCTTGGGAATGGAGTAGTCAATTGCGCCTTGCCGCCCTTGTGGCTTAGGTGGGCTAATCAATATATATGCTTATTTAGCCTTGATATACATGAAATATCTTCCAATACCAATTCGACTTTGGATTGAGGTAACTACCTTGCAATAGTGTTGATTTACTCTATAACTGTTCCTAATCTTCGTTTTTTAATTAGTTATCGGAATATCAAGGAAACCATTCTTGAAATACCCAGGTGAAGTCAGAGGACGACGGGATATTGAGCAGATTCTGCATTGAGACTTGAAATTGGCGGTAGTTCGCCTACTCACCAGCTGAGCAGGGTAGGAATTACTGTTACGTCGAAACGCTTGTAAGTGGGGAACACTGCACCTTGGATGTATCTAATTAGAAATTACCCTGCAGCTAAGCTACATTTAAAAATCGACGATTTTTCATCACATATATATATGAAGGCAATTGCAATTGTACAAGAAGTTGGCAATGTTTAATTAGAGGTCCGTGCACATATATTCTACCGTTTGGCTTCTATCTATGTTAATTTTCCTGGTGGCACAAATCCACAGAATACCTTACATACCTCAGATGTTAATTTTTTTTTTTTTTTTTTTGTAATACAGCTCGATCACGATCACCAATGACAACTCATGAGCTACCCACCTAAAGATCTTCAATTGACTCAAGTTAACTGTTTAGATATTCCTAGACATGTCTAACTCTAGAAAGTTATCCCTCAAGTTCGCGGAACACGGCTCGCATCCCAGATTTAGATAAAATCACGAGGCATTACAACAAGTAAAGCGAGCCCCGCAAAATTAAACAGAAAGAAACTCTTTAGTACCATATTCCTTGAGATCTTATATCCCGTGGGATCTTTTGTGGTTAGAATGCTTTGAATCTCACCAAACCCGACGCGGTAGGTGTTACTTTGATATGCATATATAGGGTTATCCTTGAAAGTGATCCTCATGATCTACTCGTGCATGCTTGCGTGCTTGATCTTGTGGCGCGGGTTTGTGTTACATATCTAAGTGAGCTTTTATTCAAGTTCTCCCCTCTTGGGCTCTAGTTAGTCAACTCAATTAACTGGGAAGCGCGCTCCAGATACTACATTAACATGGAAATGGGCCAATGTAGAGTTGAAGCACTAAGCAGATTTACGGCGTCTAACATAGAGTACATATTTAATCAAAGCTTAATCTCTCGTCGGCAAAGTACCTACATATACTTAGTGGGGCATATATCTGCAAAGGCTATCTAGCCGCTTATGCATGTTTTAGACGTACTTTTCAGCTGGTTCTGAACATCAACTACATCAATGAAGTACACGGCGCATTTCAGCTCGATATTTGTTTCTTTCGGATCTCGGCCTGCATAAGGATGATCAATTCGGACTAACTCCATGTATGTAGAACCACAAGGATTCACAAGAAAGTAGTATGTACTCTCAACTTCAAAGTATGTACATCAAATTGGATCGTCGAGATATCAATTGTATGGAATTTCCGTAGTATTTAATAGACCACAGTATCCCTCGTTTTGTAGCCAATTCGCTCTCTACAGCGTCTGTCTACTGTTCAGTTGACACTCAAGCTTCTCTACTCACCTTACTCTTCAAAACTTTATTCCAAAAATCCAAAATGGTCGCCGAAGGCCAGGTCTATGAAGTCCTCGTCCGCAACAAGCGTGGAAAGACCAAAATTGCCGATGAGGCCATAGCCCTCCAAGTCAAAAATATCACCATCGAAAGCGGTACTCTTATATTCGAGGGAATAAAACTTGTACCAAACTCAGATACATCCAAACCCCACGACCAAGTCACCTATACCAAAGTCGACCAGCAAATTGAGGAGCTTGAGATCCAAGCGGGCACCTTTGGAGCTCTTCGTGCTGTACCTTCGACCACCAGTCCTAAAACGCAGCCCAAAGGTAGCTTTGGCATCTTTGAGAAGGCCAGTGGTAACCTGATCGGCGAGTTTTCGTTCCCATGGGAGGGAAGCCCGAGCAAGAAGATTGGGAACTTTGTTGTGCAGGAAGAGTCTGATAACACTCTTACGTATACTGCGGGGAACTTTGACGTGTCTGCGGAGAGATTCATTCAGAAGGCCAAGTATCCGGAAGTTCTTATTGTTGGTTCTGGACCACTTGGTGCTACTTATGCCAGAAAGATCATTGAGGCGAATCATGAAGTTCTCATGGTGGAGATGGGAGCACAGTAAGTATAGTATGTACCCAAGTCTTATTAGTAGAGATTCTAATTATAAATGTCAACATATAGGGAGAGCTCGGTCGTTGGTAGACACAAGAAGAACGCTGTTGGGTTCCAGAAAGATATTGATAGCTTCGTAAAGTAGGCCTTTCACCAATCTTTGCTCAAGTTCCTCACTGACCACGTTTTCATCTTTGCAGTGTCATTAAGGGAGATCTCAGCACCCTTTCAGTCCCCGTCCGAGAGCGCTACACTGCAACACTCAGTCCCATTTCCTGGAACCACAGCAAGGCATTCACTCGTAACGGTCAGAATCCAGACCAAAAGGAGTTCGACAACCTCGGTGCCGCCGCAGCTACCCGCTGTGTCGGTGGTATGGGGACCCATTGGACCTGTGCAACACCCCGACAGCATAAGACCCTTGAACGTTCCACGATCTTCAGCGACGAGGAGTGGAACATGCTTTATACCAAGGCCGAAGGGTATCTTGGAACTTCCCGTGACCAGTTCCACCCATACTCGATCCGTGATCAGTTGGTGAAGTCAAAATTGGAGAAATCCTTTGATGTCTTGTTCCCCAACCCTGATCCGGAGAAAAAGAGAAAAGTGTTGAGTTTGCCGTTGGCGTGCAAGAGAAATACAGATACGAACCCTGATTTTGTTACCTGGGCTGCCTCAGACACCATCCTTGGTGAGACGGTAAACAGCGAGAAATTCCACTTGATGAGTGAACACCAGTGCACCAAGGTGCTCTATGATGGCAACAGTAAGAACGTTGTTTGTGCGACTATCAAGAACCTTGCGGGCAAGGGCCGCTTCTACGTGTTTGCAAAGAAGTATGTCATCTGTGGAGGTTCAGTCTTGACACCTCAGATTCTTTTCAACTCTGGATTCAGACCTGTCGAAGGGTCCCTTCCAGCTCTAGTAAGCTGCTACCGATTGAATTCATTCTATAAAAGCTAATGAAAATTATGATTGATAGGGTCATTACTTGACAGAGCAAACAATGTCGTTCTGTCAAATTATCCTCAAGGATGAGTTTGTCCAGGAAGTCGAGAACACCACCAACCCAGAATGGAAGAAAAAGGTCGACGCACATAGGCTAAAACATCCCGAGGACCCTCTTCCTTTCCCATACAATGACCCGGACCCACAGCTCACGACTCCTGTCACCGACGATCACCCATGGCACACGCAAGTATGTTAATAGATATTGTCTAAAACTGCGGTGTACCATGCTTACAAATTTATATAGATTCATCGTGATGCCTTCTCCTATGGAGAGGTTGCACAGTCTCTAGACTCCCGTCTTGTCGTCGACTTCCGTTTCTTTGGAATGGTGGACGTTGTGAAGAACAACTGTGTCGCCTTCAGCACCCACATCCGTGACCATTTCCATATGCCACAGCCAACCTTCCACTTTACTCTCGGTGAGGCAGATCGTGAGCGGTCTCACAGGATGATGCAGGAGTAAGACCACCCCATTCATTCCTCAACTCATTAATCGATACTAATGCTGCTGGTACGTACAGTATGTGCACCGTCGCAACCCAGATCGGAGGCTACCTTCCAGGCTCCGAACCACAATTCATGGAGCCAGGTTTGGCTCTCCATATCTGCGGCACTACTAGGGCTGGTGCAGACGATAAGGACTCGGTTGTAGACAAGTTCTCGAAGGTCCACAATACTACTAACCTGTACTTGGGTGGTAACAACGTGATTCCCACCAGGAATGCTTGTAACCCAACTTTGACAAGTATGTGTTTCGCTATCAAGGGTGCGGAACAGTTGATTTCAGAGTTGTGAGAAATTGCTGTATATAACATATTTTGGCCTTGCTTTTTATTTTTGAACAAGAAATAGTTTTTGGAGCCGCTTTGGCAAGCAAATCGTATAAGCAATGCGTACTTTCCCAGTTTATATTTATGCATAGGCATACGCCAGAGTGTAAAATATACCTTATCTCTTGGGTTAATATTGCAAATATGGTAGAAATTTCTCAAGTCCATCGCGAGGAGTTTTTATGCCGAACGACCAGCTACAGCGAGGCAAGCTTGGTCCTTTCCTAAGTTCCAGGAGTCTTGGCTGCGGTGACAACACGCATGATCGCGCATTCGAGTTCTATAGGTGTGAGCTCCATTTTAGGGCGAGTCTCTTAATGTCGAAGGTTAGTATGTCATTCCCCGGGATGTGGGAGTGGCACTTGAACCCTTGACGAAATCTGTACCTGTGTGTTGAAACTTTTAACTTTCGATCAAGTGTAATAAGCTATTCAGGATACACATAACTCAGTGCGTAAGGAGAGCTTGACGGGGGATCACTTGTATCTTTTCTTAACTCTTCTTCGACGAGCGCGCGAGAGCCCCAGATAAAATACATATAACAATGGCCGTTTTTCCAAACCATCATAACTAGAGCTGACTGTGGGATAGAAATATGTATCCCTGTATAGAGCCTATGTGTGATGTTGTTGATCAAGGTATTTGGGATTTGGTGTAGTTGACAGCACTGGTAGATAATGATAATGAGTGATATTGTTGATGTGCGACGTTATTGAAGGTGCTGTTGTTATTGAAGGCGCTGTTGTTATTGAAGGCGCTGTTGTTATGGTATGTGATGTTCAATATGTGTTTCCTTAGTGATCATGATGAGTGCCAGAGGTCGAAGAGATCTGAGGTTCTTGGCCCGCCAAGGTAGGTTTAGCCGACAGAAGGGCTTGGGGCCAAGTTACATACTTAATTTGTTGTCAATTATATAGAATTGAGGGGTTAGTCCAAAGTCTGAATTCCTCTATATACATGTAGCTAGGTAGAACCTTTGTATGTTTGCAATTTGTGCGTCCTGAAATGCCGAGCATATTACTTATCCGCCGCCCAGCCACAGTGTTCATAGATTTAAAAGGTATGGTGTATGTACATATAAGCACGAGCAACCCATTATTTAGGTGGACTCGATAAATCAAAAACGTAATCGCCAACAACCCGAGTGACAATTTATGATGGAAACCCTCCTGGCTACATGTACGTATGTATTCATCCATCCAAAATATAATCTCTAGCCACGTAATACCCCGAGAACCACACAGATATGTCCGTCTCGTGGCTAGAAACATCTCTATAAGTAGCACCCAAATCTCCTTCCTTTGCTCTCCTCTCCTCACCTCTCTCCACAAAACATCAACAAAACATCTAAACCACCATCTAAATACCCATGATGAAGTCTACCATCTCCATCGTCCCCCTTCTACTCATTCTCCTCCTACTCACCCCTCTCATCGCTGCGTGGGACACCGCCCCTGACCAGCGCAATCGCCCCCCGATCCTAGCAGAAGACGAGATCATCGACCAGCGCAACCGTCCCTCCGATGAAGCTCTCGAGCCAGTTGATAAGACCGACGACGTTGTCATTCCACGTGGCTTGAAGCACAGGCATCACAGCTACAGACACCATCATAGTGGTCGTACTACATAGGACGGGTATTTGGCGTAGCCCGCGGCCGCTGGAGCGGCTTTGGGACGGAGTTTGCGGAGGATTTAATTGACGGATTTTTCACCTTGTTGAAAAACATCTGATTGATCTATCTGTTTGATAGATTGACAGGTAAACAAAGGAAAGGTTTCGAGGACACTGAAGAAAGTTGGTTGGTTGGTAATTTTTAATCATACATACTTTGTAGCTTTGAATAGAATCTGGCAGTTTTTACTGTATTTTTTCTAGTGCTATGAAAAATATTCTGAGGTGATCAACAATCACATAAATGAAGCAATAAATAAAGTTACACGTCTTTCGTGCTTTGCTGAAATTGGCAAAAAAGCTACACATGCTTGATCTTTCAAACTTTTAGCGTGATACTAACTACCGAGTGATACACCATGACATAACCTCAAGGGGAGAAGCACGAGAAGCCACACACACTCTGGCCGATATCAAAGTGGCAAAGCGTGTGATCATCAAAAAAGAACAATACACGAAAGAGAAACCAACTTGTCCTGTATGCACAATAATGCTGATAAAGGAATCAAGTCATTAAGTAAGTACCCGGGCCCACCAAGGCATATATATCTGTCCCGAAGGACCGCCTATATAATTTATATTGGGGTAGTCTACAGCTCTTTGGTACGGCTATTTTCCCCGCAGTTAACAAGACCATAACGGATGACCAACTATATGGGGGCGCTCTGCAAGTTTCTTATTAACCGATATCTTCGTTTTAGACACGGACGGTTTTTGTAAATTGAGAGCCCAGCATTAACCTGAGATCCACATTTACAAGATTCACTGCAGCTAGCTCTCGAGTGATACCTTATGATGTAACCGTTTCGCGTCTATCACTCCCATCACAATTGATCACTCGCGTTACCAATTCGCCAATATCCAACCCATACGCACTTTCCCTTTTTCATTTGCATTCATTCTAAAATAATGACAAAGATCCAAACCAGTAGAGGAAAAGAATAATTTTTGAGAAGAGGAGGAAACAACCACCTATCCACACGACAAATCCACCGCCAGCGGTGCCAGAAAGAGGAAGAAAAGCAAGGCAAACAAAAAACCACAAAACACAAAACACCCATGTACAATCCAGGAAGTGAAGGGGGCAAGGGGTTGGAGGGGTGGAGGGGTGGAGGGAGTGGGGAATATGTAGTGTAAAGGAGACCTGGTAGCGTACTTATTAATGTCCATGGTTCGTAAGAGCAGAAGATTGAGGGGATATAGAAAAAGAGGAAAGAGGCAAAAATAGGAGAGGATAAGAGAAGAAGAATATCATAACCAAACACAAACATACCACGCCCAAGTGTAAGTAGAAAAGCAACAATGTCCAGATGGGGGTATTAGACAATCCAAGCCAGCCAAAAGCGCATAAAACAATCCAAGCCACAATAAAATTCCACGTAGCCAGCCAATCCGAACCCGCTTAGTCAGAATCAAAACGCAAACCGGTACCAGCAACCAAAACATAAAGCCAAAAACATAACCCACAGATCATATGCCATACGTCAAATCCTCCACCACATGCGGAGCACTAAGCATAAGTTCTTCCTCCGCCAGCAGCCTCCCCTCCTCTTTGCCCCGGTCAACATTCACCGCCGCTATCAACGGTATCGGCAATGCAAGTAGCACAGCAAGAAACCAGAACGCATATCTGATATCGCCATATTTGTCTGTAAGCGCGCCTACGATAGTAGGACCGAAGATGCTGGAGCCCTTGTCTGTGACAGCGTATAATGCATAGAAAGCTGCCTCGAATCCTGGTGGTACTGTTTCCTAAGTCAGTACTCGAGAGCCATTTATTTTCAAGGGGACGAGGAGCTGTTACTTAGTTCGCCGTAAACACTCCGGCAGTATCCGCTCACTCCGCCGAGGACAAAGCCGTACACGGCACCGAGAAGATACATCTCCCACGGGCTCGTCAACCCACCAAATCCAGACTCTTGAACCGCAGGAATGAAACCCAAGAGACCATATAGCGGGATCAACTCGAATACCATGCAGCAGATGAGGATAGTCTGACTTGGGGTCCTCTTGAAGACCTCAGCGATACGAGGCCACGCGAAAGCACCGCCAACACCGGAGACAGTAGAGATAACTGATATAAAGGCCAGTGCAGCAGGTTTCATTTTAAGATTCTGGAAGCCCAAAGAAGTATTGGTTAAAAGTTAGGACTGTATATTTTTCTAATATTTTCACAATCTGTGTTCAGGAGGGAGAGAGAGGGCATACAGTCTTCGCGAACAAAACCGCCGTGCCGCTAACTGTAGCTACACCGTCACTGACTAAGAACCACGCCGCCAGAAAGAGCATGATGTCTTTCAATCTCCGCGCTCTTCTAATTGTCTTGTACAGTCCCTTCCAGGAGTACTTGACGTAGCCCCACCAGCTACGATCACCTTCTAGCAGCCCTGTCAACGCGCTCCCATTCATGTCTTCCATGGGTAATGCTGGTAGTGGAGGGCCAGGCCGGGGTCTTATCCACATAGCTGTAGGAATGGTGAACATAAACCACCAAAACCCTACGAAAAACAACACGAGCTTCAAGGACCAGGTTGTGGACCCCGTCATGAGAACAAGGATAATTGCAAATATTTGAAGTATAACTGCAGCAGTGTAGCCAATTGCTATCCCATAGCTGCTGATTTGGCTGCTTAGTATTAAAGATGGGCTACTCTTCCCTCTCGTGTCCTCAATTATTATGCCGGGAATATCTAAGTTTGGTTGCGGTGAGTTTCCACGTAACAAATAATCCTCCTCGCTATCTGGCGTTCTGATGACCGGCGAAGCGGTGATGGGGGTCTCTGCATAGAGCAACTTCGGGTGCTGCCGTACAAGCACGGGAAGAAAGGCATTCAACAACACGAATGAGGCTCCAAAGCCAATGTTACCAAAGATTGCCCACACAGCCGCGAAAAGATAAAACTTCTGCGTCACCGTGATGAACATCATAGTAGACGCACTACCAAAAAAGGCAAAGAACAGTAGTAGACGCTTCCTGTATGCTCCTTCGGGGCCGTCAATAATCGCAAGAGGGAGTTGAAACCCGGGACGTATTTACCGTGATCTGCGGCTCCAGACATGGAAACTATTATGAGGGATTGAAGTAGGACAGATAAAGAAAATGTATACCTGAAACCGAGTTTGTTAGTATTCCTAGTCACGTCTCACGTCCAGTTGCGGATAACAATAACTAACATTGCAAAGGAAGCCGAATTCATCTGCCAGCCCCAGATGTCTATCACGCACTGATCTGAAGGCGAACCATCTGAGAAGATATCTGTGCCAGGACCGAGGCCAATATCAGGCCCTGCTGAATCTCCGCACCGCAAGGACTTGTCGGAGAGCAAGTGCCCATTGTCTCTAGCAAGCTGTTCAAGGGTGACGGGTATAAAGGAGCCTACGCCACAGACTACAAATACTTCTGCAGCCCATGCGTACGAGTACCAGCCCATCAGCTCCTTTCTGGACGTGGATCGCACATCTTGGCCGGGAAACTGGGGCATTTGAGCTCGATGTGAACGTGAACGGTACTCGTCCTCCCCGACGTCGGAGAAGGAGCGCTCGTCGTCAGCATCTTCGGGATCTGGATCTAATAGTGCCCGGTAATGGGGGGCGGCTGCCTGGGCGCGCATAGTGAGGGATGGACGAGAGAAGGGGAGAGGAGGAGGGGGACCAAAAGAGCTCAACACTTGGACAGGACCCTTGCCCAATCAAACCTTAGTCATCCGTAGGACTACGGAATGTACCGAGCGGATCGTTTACATAGCCCTGAGCCCTGGGCAGGTTGATTGACTGGCACTGTGTTGTGTATTATTATTAGAGCCGAGAGCACACGTCATAAGTCAGGATATTATCCGGCTATTTCTACACCCGGGGGTGAGTGCTACCAACTGCTCTATCTCAGGTTACAGCTTCACCCATGGCCCAGAACCTACGTACATGTAGTAGCAATGCCTTAAACTTATGATAACTACATGTACATATACCAATACTAGAAGTCGAAGAATTTTGTAATATGGTATGGCATGAAACTTTGTTGTCATGGGCAATGACATTGCCAGCATCAATTAACCCTGCCTAGTGTTTATTAACCCTTATCGGTATTCCTTGTCTCGCCCCCATGAGCTTAAGGGTGTAGTAGTTACCTGAGCTTAAGATCAGTGTACATAGATACCTACAAATCTCTAAAATTTCCATGAGACTTTCCCCAGATGCCTAACACTCGATCGAGGCGCAAACGTTCACCTCCTTTCCCCTCAGATTCTCCATACAACCTATACCGCGTATTTAAAGGGTGTTGATAAGTAATACACATTTTAACCTACAGCTAACAATTAACGCTCAATACAAATACCTAGAGTATTCCATCACAACACAACACACTCCCCAAGTTCGGTACTTAGATATAAAATATCTATGTATTTACCTGGCAATGAGCCACGTCTATGAGGCAGTAAAGAATATGTATGCAGTAAATGAGCCGTCTTTTTCTAGTTCCCATATCATGAAAGAATTTGAACACTGATATTGACCTTGAAACCGAGTGCGCATCATTTTCGGACACCCTAGCCATGTGTACTTATACTACAAGTATATTAAACAACCTTGAATCATTCTATGGTGATCAATCTAATGTGAGACCAGTGCCTGGCGCTTAGCTCTGAAGTAGCTTTATGATATGCGCTGCTACTCACGTTTTAATAGGCGCACCATTGGTCTGATATAACTACATGTACATACATGTAGAAGCGCGCTGAATGCCAGTGGTACTTGCTCCACAATATCCCATATATGCATTTAAGCACACGTTATATTTGTTCATACATCATACTCTAGAGTGTTCCTAATAAGGGTGATATAGCACATACTGGCCCTGTAGATATATAGCCATTTGTTCGCTCAAATAGAGTATAATTACATGTATAAATAAAACCTTGCTCATTCATACAGGGACCAGTGACTGCCCAGGTACCAAACGCTCAACCTCTTCATAGTTTCTCACCAAGTGACGCTCTTGTATAATTAGATATCTTCTCACCTTAGCCATATCGAAACCGGTCTCTCGGCCAGCATTGATCGTACTGACCCACCAGGCTTGGTCTGCGGTAAAAGGACGAGTTCCAGTCTCCAAATCGTTCAACATTTGCTCCCTGCTTTGCAGGATTCGCATTGCTCTAAGAACGTTGCAGGATATGTTCAACGAACTTCTGACCCGGAGATTGACTATAATGCGCGCCACAAGTTTAGTAGGAGCCTTCGTTTAGATCGACACAATATAGCTTCAACTCACCTGCTTCGTGGGTTGCTTTGGCTGCAGCTGCTCTCAATCTATCTCCCCTAGAATTAAAATAACCAAAAGCAGAGTACCCCACCCAAAGGGCACCCAACGCCAGAGTAGGCCAACTGGTAACATTAACACTAAGAGGCATCGCACCCCTCGCCAAAGCCCGAGTAACGTTGACCGAAGTGTAAATTTTCCTCGCTCCTAATCCGACCCCTACCGCCGTATAGCCCGCTTCGCCGACCCCTCCTGCTATCTGCGCGCTGAGGAGCAGATCGCACATCTCTTGATTTGCGGAAAATATAATGCAGGAAGATTCGATAGCTCCGTGTAGTGCGTTACAAATGGTGACCGTATCTCTCGCCATAAAGTCGTAATCTTTGGAATCGATTGTATTTAGCGTATGTACGATACTGTCTATAAAAATATGGTTTTTACTTACTTCCTAGTCTCTCCATCTCCGTGAATACAGAACGAATCTGTGCTTGATATTGCCTAGCCTCTATTTCAAATAGTCGATCCCGCCTCTCTACCGGAGAAGATAACATGTCGGACTATCGCCACCAGCAATCGCGTCAGTACAATCTACATGTAGATCTAATCTCATCCAATACAAAGTTGTACTAATACACATACAATGTATCCCCTCAGATAAACCGCCGCCCTATTGGAGGCGGTTGTCAACTGATTGGAATCGCTCTGTGCCCAAGAACTTAGAGGCTGTACACCGGCCATCGCCATCAACCTCAAGATTGAACCAAAACCCGCTGCCTCTCCCAAACCCAGAAAGAGGAAATGTGCCGTCATCGCGCGCGCCCTATTGAGTAAGAACCAGAATCGTCAGGTTATCCACAGATGATAGCATGTACACAACTACCAATCGATCAAACCTATACCCAGTTTTAAAATCACCAGGATTTGTATAACTTGGGTCCAATTTGACCCATTGGTAGATACAGAACTATTCACTTTATACATACCATCTAGGCCATCGCCTACGACTCGTAGTGTTAGCTTCAAGTAATGATGTTAAGAACCCCGGACCTAGTTGGGCACAGCTGCGATATAACGCCCTTCTCCAATATTGGCTGAAAATTGGTGATAGTGGAGAAAGGCCCAATCTCTCTGAAGCCGTCAGGAGTCTAGTGATAGGCCCCGACCTCTGGTGAAACACACGACTACAAAATTCTTCGGCGGCGCTGTGAAATGTGGTATTGTTTTGGGTCCCGTTAAGAGATAAGGCGAATTTTATCTATCGAGATTCAAACACTGATTAGGCAGGCTATGAGATAAAAGAGGAGGGGGACTAACGAACTCACCCTTACAATAGTTTCTCCTTCATCGTCGGGTATTGTGATGTGAGAATCATACTTCAGAGGTGAGTATGCCGTATTGGTTCTATCTATGCGGAAAAGTAGGCGAAGGAAGCCGTCAACCTCTTGACGATATTCGTCAACGTCATTGTAGTTTCCGTCGGCGGGGTTGACTTCGATATCATACTCTACCAAAACGCCGTCAAGTACTTCGCCCATAGGATCGTATGGGGGTGGAGGTGTAGAGGGACGAGAAGGTCCAGGCTCAAGCTTTTTTATTTGTAGTTCTCGTATTTCTTGTAGTTCCTTCTTTAGATCTTTTGATTCTTCTGGTTTTTGATTTTGATCATTTGTTTCCCGTGGCACAGGCTCCATTGTTTTTATGCTCAAGTCGGGTTTCTATAACAGACACTACTTGCACTGTTGTTGGGGGGAGTTTCCTGTTGTTGCAAGAAAGTGTCAATAAGCTGGAAGCGGGGAGCGTACTAGCTAGATCTATAACCACAGACGAAGGGATGGATACATACTCTACCCTCTCATACGCGTATCTACTCCAAGTTTGGGAGATTGATCTTTCAGTCGTCTAACTTGTATTGTGCACTAGGACTTGGAGTAGGACTGATCCCTCACTTAAGGCGCGATGAACTCCCGGGTTTTAGAGGGGTACTATGACAAGGCAGTAGTACTCTATTGATCATTTTTACCCTTCGGGAGGGCGTAAAAGGGCAGTTTAGGCATCCCATGTAATTATGTACAACAAATAATTTGACTGAATTATAGCCACTTCCGGGTCATTGACGAATTGACATAGGAGCCAACAATACCAATACCAGGTAAATTTAAAGAGCTGAGCCTCGTTTTTCTTTTCTTTATGGAGTTGGTTTTATGGCCTCGTTCATATGCCTGGGAATTGACCACTCAGGTAAAGTAGTCAAGACGGCTATACCGCTGTAACATGTTTTTATAATTTATAAACCATTAGATACTCGTGTAAAATCACTACCAGATAGCGCCAGTTTCAGCTGCCAGTCCAGGTAGCAGCGACTAGACCAAGTAAGTCAATTTCCGTTCATGTACGGCTATGGGACGGACAGAAATAGATTCAACTTATCTAGAGTACCGTACCAGTTCTATCATCTATCATAGGTTTGGCCCGCCCAAAGTAGACCTGGTTGCAGTCTCATATGTAATTGGACACTGTTATCCTCAATGGGCTCCAGCTAGAAGAGTAGGTGGTGGTGGACTCTAGATCTGCTGATTCAGACTGGCAATAGGAGAGATGCACACACAAATCCTTGGCTGCATGCATTCCTTCTCACCCCAAAAAAACCCGTGTTTACCTGAACAACTCTGACTTGACCTTCACCATGGCCGACGCTGACAACGATTCGAATTCGACCGTTGAGCTCCACCGTGACGACGATTTGGCCCTTGATCTAGCGCCCTTCGAGAGCCGTAATAGAGGCGCTAGGGGCCATTCGAACACCTCTCTCCTGCCCCAGGAAAGCTACGACTACGATAGTATTGACAGCATCCAGCTACCGTTTCTTGCCGATTCCATAAGACAAGATGCTTTTTATCATTTCGAGCGCATCAAAGAATTGGAGCCACCAAGAAACCCTGATAGTGGGAGTGGTAGCGAGAGCTCCGGTTGTTACCCACTACCCCACCTTCTTGATGAATGTTGCGAACAAAAGAGAACATTATTAACAAACAGATAGTTAGCGGGTCTATGATTCATGTTGAATCCTACGAAACGATGGAGGCGGATCGCCTTCGCGGTTTAACAATATTTCGGGATCTATTGCTGGCCGACCTCACAAGCCTGCTTAACAAGATCCAGGAACTAGAACATAAGCTTCTAGGAAGGAAACAACAATATCAGATGTTTGACCTCATCCCCCACGAGTTATTGACAGAAACAGAGCGCGCAACTATACTAACGCACATGCGCGCACCATTTAGAACCAGGAGGATACATTGTGGACTAGGTCTTGGGCTTGTGGGGATGAGTGCTCGTTGGTTCAAACCGCTCATCTTGACATCATCCTACGACCATTATTTCCAGAGCTATAGGTCAGAGATTAGAAGGATTTGCACTATCTTCGCCGCGATTGGCGTATACACCTTGTACGCGTTACATTCTGCGCATAGGTATAAAAAAGCCGTGGCCTCTACTTCTAATATGAGAAAGGAAATAGCTAGATTTGTCCGCCGGGTTGAGGGGAAGGAACCTTTGGTTGATAAGGATATCGAGTGTTTGAAGGGAGCAAAATGGGATCAGGTGCCGTGGAAAGAGGTGGAGACTGAGCCCTCGTGGAAATTGATGTCGGGTTTATAATTATACACTTTTGACAGTAAATATATGTAACGATAAAACAGAACCAGACACAAAAACTACGTAGCTAGACTCAACGCGAAGCTGATCTCAACTCGAAGCAGTACACACTAAACACATTAAACTAACGCAGATCATGCCTACTACCCTGCGAGCCAATATATCGTGCTTTGGTCAGTGGTGAATTGAATTTCGCTCTTTGTCGGGCTGAGTTGGTTTCACGACCATCCGTATGCCCTTTGGCGTTCAGGCCAAATCCTCATGTGTTACCGAAGCGTATGCTGTCTCATTGAGTTTATGCATCGCCTTAGCACATCTACATACTCTCAATCATCACCAACCAAACTAACCTATCACTCTCCACATCCGAGCTGATCACCATGATACAAACACAATTCGCCGCCCACTCGGAACACCCTCTCAATCCAGGACTCCATGCAGCCACCCCCTCTCCCGCTCGGCCATAATCAAGGCTTGTGATACTTGTGATATCGCTTACGCGGGAACTAGCCGGCACCATTTCCCGAGTGATGTTTCATGAGCCGTTGTCCCCGGCCATGCAGCACGCTAACGCTAACCTTAATTCTGTTCTCCTCCCTGTTGGTCTCTTGCTACGACGACCGACTCCTCGATTGCAACGGGACCTTTTCACAACTTCTGCTCTGCTCAAACGTAACGGTGCGGGAGAAGTTCATGCATCATCCTGGCACCGTCCCGTATGTGATGGGCGGATAGGCACTATTACGACTTGCTCCTGAGACTGAGTGATAATCCTTGAATCGGACCGCGGGGCCCTTTGCCTAAATTCTATGGAAGAAAAAAAAAAAAAAAATAAAGTACACGGGTACGTGAGCTAGCAGAATTTTGAGGCCCTAGTTATTTTTTTTGATAATTGATAATGATATCGGTTATAGTAGCCGATTCTCCAATTGACCGCCGACGGTAAAATGGAAAGGAAGAAAGAAGAAAAAAAGAAAAGAAAAAAAATATCTACAATGAAAGACTTTTTAAGGACAGGTCGCAATACCGCCAGTTAGAAGATGGCGGCTGCAAAAAAAGGGAGGGTTTAGAAAGACACAAAAGAAAAGTAAAAAAGAACGCTCAGGTTTTTTCGTGCACACAAGGAAAGGAAAAGCAAAAACTCCCCAACACCAAAGGAAAGAAAAAGAAAAATGATAAATTGTACAAATGGAGACTCAGAGACATCAAATTCTCCGTGGCGCAATTGGTTAGCGCGTCCGACTGTTAGAATTCACTCCCCCAGGAGTTGTTCTTCGGTATCGGGAGGTTGGAAGTTCAAGCCTTCCCGGGGAAGATTTTTTTGCTCTCGCTCGCTTTTTTATCCGGTAGGGGGTGTTCGTTGCAAAGGTCGGGGGGGGGAAGGCTTGGCTTGGCTTGCTAATTGAATAGCGTGTGGTATTTTTCCATTTGTGACCTGAACCAAACAATGATCATTAGCGTTGTACAAACAAATAATAGGGTACAATGATTCCAAATAATAGTAGCAATTCCCAAAGGAGTTAAAAGGGCAACTCACAAGTTCGCGCGCTTGCACTCTTTCTCCACAAAATATCTCATCCACCCCTGACAGCTCCCCTCAATCAGCTCTGTCACCTTCGTCTTTCCACCCTCCACCTCCTCAAACGTCCTCAGCTTCCATATAAACACGCCCTGCTTCTCCGCGACACTCTCATAGAGGCAGCACCGTCCCTCCCAGTCGGCCGTCTGCGAGCCGCGGACGGTGACCTTGTTCTTGAACAGGCCCTTCATGAACGGCACCTTCTCCTCGAGCACGAAGGTCGTGCGCTCGAGGCCGCTCTGTGCGGCGGCCGCCGAGGCGGGCAGCGAGGAGGTACCGCGCGCGGTGGACAGCAGCCCCGGCGAGATGGAGATGCTGCGCGTTTCGCCGGTCGTGAAGGTTGTGCATAGCTCTGAGAGGCGGGCGACGGTCTCGAGGTTGCTGCCGGAGGTGAGAACGGGGAAGACGGTGGTGAGTGGGTGCGGGAGGACGACGCTGTTTGTGGAGGTGAAGTTTGCGATGGGGATTTCGGGGGCTGGTGGGGGTGTTTTGGAGTCGGTGACTGTCATTGTTGCGGGTGGGGTGGGGGGAGGTGAGGTGGGTGGGTGGTGAGGTGGATTGAGGTGCTGAGGGTGCCTGTGAGGGAGCTGTAATGACTGACAGGCGGGCTTATACTAGACAGATAGCTACAGACTGGACTGATAGACTGGCAGGAAAGTAACGAGCAGAGGAAAGAAGGAAGAGAATCGAAAGTAGGGAAACCGATATCTAAGTAAAAACAGCCCTCGACTCATTATTTCACTAGCTACTACTCTACAAGCCATAGCCATGGTTCCCGGGCCTTCGGCGCCCCCCCTGACTTGGGTCGGGGGCCCGTCCCCGACGAGGTTAGTTCGACCCGGCCGCCCACACTCTCCTCCCACCCCTCCACCACCGCCCCCCCCCCCCCCATTCTCAGCGCCGGTAGATCATGCAGGAGATCTTGAGTGAGGGAGGGGAGGGGACGTGGTTTCGGGAGGGCCCGACGGTGTGAATTCTCCGGGAAGTGGGTTTTTTTTGGGGGGTCGAGTGCGAGGCTGTGAGTGGGATGGATTGGGGGGGGGGGAGGATTGGCTCATGTGGTAGGTCATGTAGTATGTAGTAGTAGTAGGTGGTAGCAGTAGTGGTAATGGTAGGCTCGTGGTAGGCTCGTGGTAGTAGCTAGAGTACATGTAGTGTTGTGCTTCAATCGGTACCTGCATATAGAGGCTAGCTGTTTCTGGATGTTGCGGGCTTACGAGGGTAGAGTGCTAACCAAGTTAGATAGAGTACGAGTACGGCAGTCTACCCTACTGCGGTACCCTCCTCTGCTCTACAATCTCGATAGCCCGCAACCCACTCTACTCGTCCCATGCCCATACCTACATGTGCCCTCTACTACATACCCTACCTACCCTCACTCCCACTCTTCTCCCCTCCTGCATCCCTCCATCCCCACCACCACCACACGCGCAAGCGAAATGAAATGAGGCCGCAATCTTAGTCCCACTCCTACATCAAACCTTGGCTAAGCGTAAGCCTCACACATGCACACTAAACCCTCAATCTGTGAACCCTCCCCAACGGTCCCAGCGACGGTATGAACCAAGATCACTTGCACACCCACACCCTTTGCTTTTCTCTCTGGTTTTTTTATTTTTCTTTGTGACGAGGGGATAACGTAACCTGCAAGCGAGCCCAGTGGGTGGAAATTACATTGACTCGCAGCTTAACTGTAGAGCAGAGATAGCTGTGTAGAGCTGGAATTCAAGGGCCCAGCGCTATGCACAAACCGCTTCGTGAACTGTCTGCAGGTAGAGTAGGAGGAGTACTGATGGACGGATCCCGGGTACGGGAAATGAGCGGTGCCTGCCAAGATCGAGGCGGAGGGAAAGAAGAGAGAAGAAACCTTTGACGGCAGACAATCTAGGGGGGTTTGGTTTAGTCTGGTTAGGGGATGGATGGAATTGAAAGACAGTCGGTCAATTTCGCTCGTTCGGTCGGGTAAATAGGATGTAGATATCTATGTCTATCATGTGTATGGCACTGGTTCAGAATTATATTTGGGTGTGTGTGATAGGCGATGCGGTTTCTGACCTCTACCTAGGTAGAGTACAACTTTGACGGGCGATCTCCCCAAGTGACGGGACCCGGTTTAACCTTCCTGGAGGCCAGTTGGAAATGGGAAGGAACCCGGTGCCATGTATGATGCCTCTAGCTCTCCGTTTAATCTATCTTTGTATTTTAACCTAACTGTATGAGTTCTACTCTCTGCCTGCGAAGCTCGAGCTTCTTCTTCTTCTTCTTCTTCTTTTCCTTCGTCTGCATTACATGCGCAGCGAGCTAGCTATAGCGAGCTTCGGCGACCAAACGAAGGTTTGAAATCAAGATCTTGTCATTCCATGTAGAGTTGCAATTGCTCTCTCTCACTCTATCATCATGCTCTCACTCTATCATCATGATCAGCTTGATCACCTACCTACCTACTTACCTACCTACCCACCTACTCTACCTACTCTACCTGTTTCCTCGCGGACCAGAAACCTGGCAAGTTGCTCCAGCCTCTGCCTCAGCCCAAAGACATATCTGATCAGCGCGGATCTCTCCCCCTGATACATTGTGTAGCACTCCACAAAGCCATCGGCGAACCCATGATCGTGAGACTTTGGGGTAAACATGAATCTGTCCCTCCATAGCCTGCACGGGGCGAACAAATGAGACTCAAAGAGGACGTGGTACAGTCGCTGGTTCTGCACCGCACAGAACTCGATCTGGTACTCGAGAAATTCGATTTGCTGTTTCATATGTATAATAGTGTGGGCGTTGCAGTTTGCCATTTCGGTTTTGGTTTTTGATTACTTGGTGCTAGCTAAGCTTGTTAGTTGGTTTGAATTGAGGTCGGTGGTTAAATATGCTCGCTAGCTTGAAGTTGTAGAGATAATCCGGCAAGGGCACTCTTATATATGTCAGACCCTGCAGCGGAGCAGAAGCCGTCAGTCAAACCCTTGAAAAGCTACGCATCTTTCAAGGTGTGTGTGTTCATGATAGATAGGAATAATCGCCGGAAGGTTGAAATCCTTATTTCGTACACAGGTGCATAACGCGTACTTCTCCCCGTTGACCCGGGGCGGGCATGCACACCATCAGCGCAACAAAATTGACGAAGAGCACGGGCTCGCAATTACGTACCCAAATTTGACTTTCATATGCGTCCCGAACTAACCCCCGGGCCCCTACCGGTGCCCGGCAGAGATATTGCGGTACCGAGTGGGTACTAATGGGGACGTTTCCTAACGCTTAGCCTTCCTAGCTAGGGGACCCTGAAGTTGCTCTATCTTCTCGGGTGTGTGTATGTACCTTTTGCGAGGTACCATCACGCACCGTTAATTGAGAGATCCTTCTTGTTTAGGGCTTCGGTGAGTTTTGCTTTGCTCTAGAATACCGCTAACTAAACGTCGGGGCTGTCGATCTAATCCTCGCACCAAGAATTACCGAGCGGCGCTACAGGTCAACGGCGGCACTTGCACTATCCTATCTATACCAAAGAGAGGCAGGATCAATCCCAATGGCAGGTGCAGGGAGAATTGGAATTGGATGGTTGCGGTCTTCGCCTGAACGTTAGTGCCATGTAGTATGGGCTTGTATTTTTGATGATCATGGCCAGGCAGGTATCACGAACCTCGAGAATTTATTATCCATTAGCACATTCTGTACCTCGGAGTGCAAGCAGGCAATCCAATTACCGCATATTGATGCGTGCTTTTCGCAAGATATCTGTGCCAGATTATTCGTTGTTTAAGATAGAGAGCGGGTGAGCCGGAAGTGTGGCTTATATTATGGAAGGGCCCAAATCTCTCTCGAAGCTGCCTGCTGTGGCCGGATACATACCCGTTGCCTTGGTCACTGGGACTTTGATATGTACCGAGATTCTTTTTTCACTACCGGCCCTAGGGTAACTATTCTTTTATTAATTCGATCAATCAATTGCCTACCAATCAACTCAAGCCAGCAGTAATAATCCAACTGATTAGTTGAGAGACAGGAATCACATCAAGCCTTCTGAAAGCGGTTCCTAAATGAAGTGCTCATTAATCAAGCATTCAACCTCGACTCCTCCTCCAACGCAGCCTGAATCTCCATATACTCACTCTTAAGCACCCCCCTATACCTCTCTAACGCTTCTCTCTGTCCTATATACCACTCACAGTTCCTTATAATCCACCTAGGGATCTCCCTCTCCTCCTCCCTGAGCTGCTCCTGCTCTCTTTGAATTGCTTGCAGTTCACTAGTCTCCCTGGCGGACAGGTGGCCAGATTGCAGCCTTTCCTGGAGGCCAGCATAGGAGCGGTAGTCTATGAAGTTGTCCAATAACCGCTCCTGCAAGCCCATAAAGGTGCTGTAGGGGTTGCGCTCGTCGTCGAGGTGCAACACGAGGAGGGTGATGTTGCTTTGAGTTGCGCAGAACTTGATCTTGTAGGCGAGGACGGAGAGGTGGTGCTCGAGGTGGGTGATTATGTGGGCGTTGTGGTTGGTGTTCATGTTTGCGAGTGGGTGTAAGTTAGTGGTTGATATATAATATGCTTGGTGTGTTGGTTATGAGTAAGTTACTTGTAATTGCAGTTGATGTGCTTTCTGTAGTGTACCATAGGTGATGCTTTATATGAGCGATTGTTGGACCTACCTTGTGATCTTGAGTGTTTTGGATTTCATCTTGAAACAGTTGTATGTCGGTATATATGATTCAATATAGCAAGCAGGCATTGTATCTACATGTCAAGATGACAGATAGTAGTTGGTCGTTGGTTGGACAACCTTCAAGAGCTAGCCCCTTGGTCTCACTGTATAATACGTACAGCAAAGACGTTGACATTGTAGCAGTTCTGTTGTCCGCAACATAGAGAGAATTGCGCGATCTAATCAAACAAGAAGAGTAGGAAACACCGTCCTTTTACACCGACAAGTAACCACATATCATTTGGACAACACATTTTAAACATTGTCCAATACTAACAAATATCCACATATTACAAGTACTGTCCGTAAGAATAAGTGTGTATAGCAAGGTCCGCCAAACTAACATACATACATGTACCCAAATAGAGATCGTTAGTGCGGGCCTGCTCGTACTCGATGTTTAGCTAGATGTTAGCGGTTACAATTACAACCCGGTACAACCCAGTTTCATTATCACAAATGCTGACCCCTCAAAAAAAGCAAATTTTTATGTGGCTTTACTAACAGATCCTGTTATCTCTCTTATCAAATAATAGATCTCCCATACAAATCTAATTCCTCTATTATGGGGGGGTCGATCAGCATGCCAACTTAAGGGATAAACAACGCATGCACAGCGAAACAAGTGCTCACCGCGCCTGGCGAAACCGTCTTGAAGCACACCGCAAGGGTTATTGGTACATATATGTACAGATTTCTTTAATTTCAAATCTGCGGATAAAAGTGAGGTACAGGCGCCCTTCACACGACATCACACGACATCACTCGTTTTTTCTTTTTCTCCTGCGCGCATGCAAGGCTTCTCCGATCCGGCGCATTGAATGACGTTGCGGTGATGGGACTCCTTACTTGCAACTTGTTCTTTAGACAGCAAAGCAAGCAAAACAAATAAACAAAGCTCCTATATGGTAAAAAAAATCAAAATATACATTGCCAATATTTTATATCCTTATCTACTTGCGAATTGACTTTGACTACGTTAAAAAATAAGTAAGTAGCAATAAGCTGACAGCACGGCCGTACCAGGGCTCCAAAAAAAGAAGGACAAACCAAAACCAAAACCAAAAGAAAAGAGAGTAAAGGGAGCCTCCCAAGTGTAAAAGTAATTTCAATCGTTACCACCCATCCACCCACCCACCATCCATTCATCAGTCCGTCTCATAAACAAACGAAACCAAAAAAGCCAAAGCGCCATTATAAACTACGACCAAAAAGAGAGCTCCATATCCGAGTCGTTTTTACGTTTTTACGTTTTCCCATCTCTCAATCCCCCATTACCCCATATATCCCTCTCTCTCCCTTTAAGTCTTCCCTACATGCGCCTGCGGCGGCGGCCCCGGCGGCGGCATACTATAATAATCGCTCTCCCTGGTCTCACCGGTACTATGATGGGTCACGCCTCCCATTCCCGGCGGCGATCCCGGCGGCGGGGGATAATACGGCTGCTGCTGCTGCGTAAACGGGGACGAGGCGGGCGGCATGTTCGGGCTGGGCGTATACGGTGGCGCGGGGGCAGTCGGGGGCGCGTAGTACTGCGTGTACTGCGGGTTATTGGGGTCGTAGGGCTGCGGCTGGCCGTACTGTGTGAACTGCGTGCCGTTGGGGTTGGTGTTGGGGTTGTTGGGGCGGAAGGGCATCCAGGCGGTGCCGTAGTAGGGTTGGAGGCCGCGGCGGCGGCGGCGGCGTGTTATGCAACTGTGGGGGGGGGAATGTTAGCTTTGAGACTTGGGTTTGGGGGGCAATTGGGAGGGGGAGGGCTTACGCGCAGAGCAAGAAGAGGATGAGGAAGGCAATTATGATGCCCGCGATGAAGATCCAGCGGCCCCAAGAGTACCAGTTGGAGTAGCAGTCATCGTAGTTTGAGTAGTAACGTCCGTTACAGCTACATTGAAAGGGTTGTTAGTCCTATCCGATCTGTAGAAGCAGACGATGAAGGTGAGGTGGGGTTTAGCGTACTAATAGGTGTTATCGTAAGCGTTATCATACGTCGACTGTCGACTCTTCAGATGTTGGACCACGTCCTCCATCCTTGTTCGTGAGAGTGTGAGTGATAGAGTATGAACAAGACAATCAAGATCAGGAATCGATAAGATGCAGCTCGCTGATTGCTATCTTTATCTCTCTCTAAGTCAAAATGTTTAAATGCAGAAAAAAAAAAAAGATTCCAAGTGTAAAAGCAGCGTGCCTGTTGTTCAAGAGATGTTTTCAACAGAAGGGAAGGGGAAAGTGAGGGTGCTTTTGTGTTGGCAGAACCTGTGGCCCGAACAAGCCAATGCTCGTCGTACATGTCTGGGATAGGCAAGAGAGTGGTTTTCGTGACAACCCTTCCATCCTCTTCCTTCCAGTATCCATCCATATCCATCCATCCTATCCACCCACCTACCCACCTACCCACCCACCCATCCTTCCTTCCTCCATCAACCAAGCAAGCGAGGCGGTGCGATGACGCGTAAACGGCGTCAGCCATTCCGTCTTGGCCTGCTTGGTACCTGGGCGCGGATCACACTACCAACATACGGGTTTAGGTTTTGTTTTGTTTTGTTTTACCAAACGTCATTCCCGGAAAGGTCAGTCCCCATCCTGACCTGAACAAAAAATCCGGACGGAGTATTTGCTGGAACTGGCTTCCTTTTTTGCTTCTTCACAAAAAAAGTGCTGTTTAAAAATGGTATGTGCAGTCTCGGAGATATTCCACGGACCATCTTTTCACGGCGCAGTGGACCGGTCCCCGTGTGTGCTGCTCCCGCCGATTCGAGGGAACTTGATGGCATCACGGGATCGTAAGTATGGGCAGGTAACAAGACAACAGATACTCTCTACATACCAGATCCAGAGTTGCGAACGACCGAACGGCCTCCGCAACCGGATACGAACACACAAATTCCCTCAAGTCTCAAGACTTTTTTGTCTGTCCAAGACAAAGCACTTAAGCAGCACAGCACCGCCCGCAACAATTTGTCAAGACCGAACTCTAGCCTAAATCACTGTCTTGGGAGGAGAGAGGAGAAGGAGCAGGAGGCTTGTATGTAGGTAGATTTGTCATCACCAATATTATCATCAGACCCTTGACGACAAGCCGGGCCCTTAGAGGTGCGCAGCAAACAGCAGTTAGTTCAAAAATCCAAATCACCAGTCAACAGTGAGACGGCGACATCTCCGCCTTGAACCCTCCATTCCTCCCAGAATTAAAGCTTACCATGTATCATATAGCCAGACAGCCCAGCGTTCTCAGGGCCCCAGGTGGAGTACTCTAAAGTAAGGACCGGTTCGTACGAACGAGTTGATCCGTTCCGTATGTCATGATCCATGATCATCGAGTCCTGACAATGCCTTGTACCTCCACGCACGCTCCTGACAAGATCTTACATATATCCCTCCTCTCAGAGAACTGAGAACCTCCAGTTCCCAATACCCCCAGCCAGAACCAAGCCACCTGTATCGCGACCGTTACAAAAGAACGGACCCCAGTAGGTAGATCTAGAATAGCTACATACATGTATCCAGCTAGTTAGAGCCCAGACACAGTGCGCTGTCCATGTTACATGTAGCTCCCACAGGGTCCAACAGTATCAGAACAGGATCGTCCACGTAAACCCCCACTCCCCCACCCACCAAGTGAGTGACCCTGCACCACACAAGTTGCACTCCAGCCAGCCCACCGCAGTACCGGCGACCGCACCACCAACACCCCCGGTAGATCTTACCCGGACGCCCACCCACTGCACCTCCACAACCCTAACCCACCACCTGCAAGCCACTTTACGCGTCTCATCTCGTCCCGCGCGTTCTGCAAGTCATCCGCTCCGCTGCCTTCCCCTTCGCTCCCGCACGTGTTTCGCGCGATCTCTACATGATACCATCCATACATACATAAATAGCAAGCCACTTAAGAATTACCTTCAGAATGTCGCATCACCACCGCGCAGACGAGAAGGCGAGGAAGCTGGCGAGGAAGCTGGAGTCCCGTATGTTGGCCGTAGTTGTAACTACATGTAGTTGTATGGTTATTGGTAGTGGGGAGCTGACAGGTGAGGTACATGTGTAGATGATTTCACGAACGAGGATGGCGACGAGTATGGGGCGTCGGAGTTTGGGGGGTTGAAAGAGTGAGTCCACGATCCTGACTACGGCTGCGATGCAACGCCGTGAGAGATATTGCGTGTTGGGCCATTTTGAAAAGCCTCTCTCAGCACCATATAAACTGGGTTTTCTGGTCTGTCCACTAGTAGCTCCTTTGTGCTCCCGGCTGAGGTCTACGGTGGTGGAGCTGCACCGACGCCGACACCCCGTAGTATGGATTATCGGGCATCACCAGATCTCAACCGGTAGTAGGAAAGGAGCTCGACGGACTGAAAAACCTGGCTAGTAGCTAGTGGGAGCTTTAAAAGCCGTGTGGAGGTGAATATGTGGAGCTTGAAGAGCCATATGGACTTTAAGGCCATCTGGATTTCTAAGAATTATCTATATGGATTTTGAGGAATTATGGATCTTCAAGCTCCGTATATATGGATTTACAATATCAACATGAACCCTCAGATACCCACATAGATCCCCAGACCCCACATATCCCCCAGAACCCCACATATCAAAAACCTACTAACACCCCCCCCCCCCTTCCACAGCTACAAATCCCGCAAACGCCGCAAACTACACAACCAATCCACACACCTACACTCCACCAGCCCCGCCACTTCCCCCCGCCTCTTCCACAACCTCACCATCCACATCACCGGCCACACCGTGCCCCCCGCCCGGGAACTTAGAACCCTAATCACCACCCACGGCGGCCTCTTCGCGCCGCACCTCGACGGCAAGACCACCGTCACACACATCGTGGCCGCCAACCTGCCGCACAAGAAGCGGCAGGAGCTGGCAAGGTACCGCGTGGTGAGGCCCGAGTGGATCGTGGATAGTGTGGCCGCGGGCAAGGTGCGGCCGTGGGGCGAGTATCGGCTGCTGGAGACGCCGGGGCAAGCGAAGTTGGCGGTTGGGAGTCCGAGTGGTAGTGGTAGTGCTGGGGCGGCGAGTCAGAAGACAGATGGGGCCGCTGGTGTGAAACGAGAGGCCGGGTGGCCGGCGAGCTCGTTGTCAAGAAGTATGACGATCCCCGCCTCCGACGGCGAAGAAGAGCTCGACTCCGACGTCGACGAAGAAGCACCACTCCCACCCCCAAACACCGCCATTCCAAACCCCATCCCCGCCACCGGCACACCCACGCCCGCCGCCTCCACACCCAAACACGCCCCCATCTCCACCATCAACGGCACGCCCCTCTGGTCCGCCGACAGCATCATCGGGCGCCGCACGCACCGGCGCCAGACGCAATACTGGATCCGCTGGACCGGCTACCCCGACGCCGAGGCCACCTGGGAGTCCGAGCGGTACCTCCTGCGCGACATCGGCAAAGCGGGGCTAGCGGAGCTGGTGCAGGAGTGGCGCGGGAAGCCGCAGCGGCGGGTTGGCCGCGCGGAGGTGCTGCGCGAGGTGCAGAGGGAGGTGCTGATGGCGTTTACGGTGGCCCGGGAGGGGTTTCCGAGGGACTATGGGGTGGGGGAGGTGGACGCGGCGTTCGCGGGGGAGGAGGGGGTGGTGAAGTCGGAGCCGGAGCTGGCGCCGGAAAAGACAGCTCCAGAAGAGCCGGAAAAGACAGCCCCAGAAGAGCTACCCGAAGACCCGTACCGCGAGATACGCGATAGCCTCTCGCCGCACAACCTCATGTCCAAAGAAGACGAGCTCGCGCTCCTCCAGGGCTCCATCTTCAGCGACGGCAGCCTCTCCGCCGCCCAAGAGCCGGCCACAGACGGCACTCCCACGCCCTGGCAGAACCCGGTAGCCTCGGACACGCCGTCGGTGCCGAACAAGAGCTCGCCTGCTGCCTTTGTACATCTGCAGTCGTCTATACCGCCCTTCAGCGGCGCCAATGTAGTGCCAGCGGCCACGCCAACGCCCGCAGCGGCGGTCGAGAAGGCCGCAGAAACACCAACCCAGAGCTCCGGGTCCGTGCAGGTGTCGCGGAGCTTCGACTACGGGTCGCCGGTCGACTTTGGGGCGCTGGTTTCTGGGCAGGAGGCGTTGGGGGCGGTGTCGGAAGAGGCGTCGGAAGAGGAGGGTGTGCCGGTGAGTTTCGATTTTGGCACGCCGGTGGACTTTGGGGATGGGGATGTCGGGGTGCTTACGCAGGCGGATCCGGTGGCTGAGGTTATGAGTGGGGATGTGGTGATGAGTGGGGATGTGGTGAGTGGGGATGTTGTAGGTGGGTGGATTGAGGATCTGATAGGGAAGGAGAGTATGCCTGAGGAGATGACTGAGGATCTGATAGTGAAGGAGAGTATGCCTGATGAAATCGTGGATTTGGTGAGTGAGGAGGAGGAGAGTACTCCCCGTAATACAGATTCTGTTGAAATTGTGGACGAAGCTGTAGCTGGTGAGATTGAGGGTGTTTTTACTGCAGACTATGATGAGTCCCCCGGTGATATACAGATGTCGCAGGCGGAGTTCCTGACGCCCAGAGAGGAGCTCGAGGAGTATGACGCCCGTATATACGACGACCCCGATGCCTCGCCTTCGCATTCCGCAGCTGTAGGGTCTCCTGAGCGGGAGTTATCAGAGCATCTATCACCAGATCAGAACTCTCCCAGTATCCCCGGGCCCGAAGAAGAACCCGATATCTCAGAACCCGAAGAAGAGCAAGAAGTAGATGTAGAGCCACCGCCCGGCCAGGCCACAAAAGATTCCTCCCCCCAGCAGCCCTCCCAGGAGCTCATGGCCGCGTTCCTCTCCAAGCCCGGAATCCGCTCGCAGACGGTCCTCGACCCAAATTTCCTACACAGCTACTTCTCGCACAGCCGTCTGCACCATCTAAGTACCTGTAAGCACCCCGCCCCCCCCCCCCCCCCCCTCTTCTATCAAACATGAATTCAAGAAGTAAAAACTTACCTCTATCATTTCCCAGGGAAATCCAAAATCCGCCTCGACCTCGCCCCGCACCTCCACACGCTCACTCCCAAGAAGCAGCGGCCACGCCACTACATCCTGCACGCCGACCTCGACAGCTTCTTCGCCTCCGTCTCCCTCCTCACCCGGCCCGACCTCTGCACCAAGCCCGTCGCCATCGCGCACGGCGCGCACGACAGCACCGGCGGCTCCGAGATCGCCGCCTGCAACTACCCCGCGCGGTCCTTCGGGCTCAAGGCCGGCATGTGGCTGTCGCGCGCCAAGGCGCTGTGCCCCGAGCTCACCGTGCTGCGGTACGAGTTCGCCAAGTACGAGGAGGCAAGCCGCGCGTTCTACGGGGTTGCGAAGCGCGTGGGTGCGGAGCGGATACACGCGGGCAGTGTGGACGAGGTGCTGCTGGACGTGAGTAATCTCGTGTGCGACGTCGGGTTAGGGAGCGTCGCGGAGGAGGAGGAGGAGCACCGGGCGCTGCAGATCGCGGAGGGGGTGCGGCGGGATGTGCGGGCCGCGACGGGGGGGCTGGAGGTGTCGGTCGGCATCGGGGGGAACATTCTCCTCGCGGGGCTGGCGCTGCGGCGGGCGAAGCCGGCGGGGGTGTATCTTGTGCGTGCTGCGGAGGTTGCGGCATTCCTGGACGGGGTGGAGGTCGGGGAGCTGCCGGGCGTGGGGCCGAGCGTGGTGGGGCGGGTTGTGGGCGCGGTGGGGACGGGGCGGGTGGCCGAGATCAGGGCCGTGCCGAGGGAGCGGCTGAGCGCCGTGCTGGGGGAGAAGACGGGGCTGATGCTGTGGCAGTATTGCCGTGGCGTGGACGGGCGCGTTGTGGGCGAGGTGGCGGTGCGGAAGAGCCTGTCGGTGGATGTGTAAGTCATGGCCTCTCACTCGGCGTTTGTTAGCCACTTCCCCCTCTTCCCCCTCTTCCCAGCTCGTCACACCCAATCACTCGCCCCCTCACTCGCCCCCTCACTCCGAACTAACCTCCACCAGCAACTGGGGCGTCCGCTTCGAGACCCCCGCCCAGTCAGAGCACTTCCTGCACCAACTCTCCGCCGAGGTCTCTGCCCGCCTCCACTCGGAGCGCCTGCACGGCCGCCACCTCGCCCTCACAATCAAGCAGCGCTCCCCCCACGCACCCTTCAAGCCCGCCAAGCACCTCGGCCACGGCGAGTGCACCACCCTCTCCCGCAGTACGCTCCTCCCCGCGCCCACCGCCTCCGCCCCCACAATCGGCAACGCCGCCATCGCGATGCTCCGCGCCATGAAGATACCCGCCTGGGAGCTGCGCGGGCTAGGGCTCACTCTGACGAAGCTGCAGGCTGTGGGCACGGGTGCGGGTGCGGGGGGCGGGCAGGGGCTGCTAAAGTTCGCCAAAGCCGAGCCGGCGCCGTCGAAGAACGAGGCGAAGGCGGTGAATGTACCGCCGTGGGACCGCCCGCTGCCGAAAGCGTATAGCCGCCCGAAGCCGGCGTCGCTGCTGGATACATTCCTCAAGAAGCCAGCAAAGACGCCAACCCAGCCCGAGCCCCAGCCCGAGCCGGCGACGCCCGGCTCGCAGTCGCAGTTCGAGATACCGGAAGATATCGACGAGTCTGTGATCCCGTTCCTGCCGGCGTCGCTGCAGGCGCGGATCCGCGAGAAGCAGCGCCTCCAGGCCCTGCAGAACCAGGCCCAAGCCGCAGCAGAACCCGCAGAGGCGGAGCAGGAGGAGGAAGAGAAAGAGGATGGGGATGGGGATCCATTAAGCCAGCCGCCCAACTCGCAGGACGACATCACAGTGTGGCGCGCCCTCCCCGCCGACATCCGCGCATTGCTCCGCTCCGAACACGTCGCGGAACAGGCCCGTCTCTCTGCCGCCACCTCCGCCGTTGCATCTGCAAACCCCTCACCGCGCAAAGAGAAAGAAAAAGAGCGCGAAAAAGAAAAGGAGAAACGCCAAACGCACCTCCCACACACACCCCGCAAGCCCCACCTCCCCCGCCTCCCCTGGGAGCGCTCCACACCCACGCCTTCTCCCGCCACCACACCCAGTAGAAACCACCCAGCAGCAATCGCAGGCCCCTCCCACAACCCCAACCCGCACCCGCACCCGCACGGCCCCATCCTCGACGCCCGCGGCACCGACGTCTCCCCATGGCTCTTCACCACGGGCGGCATCTCCCCCTCCTACTTCCACGCGCTGCCCCCGCCCGACCAGCAACACACCATCGCCATCGCCACGCGCACCCACAACGCCCATCTGGCCACTCAAGCCGCGCGGTCACGTCGCGCCGCGGCCTCCGCGCTGCGCCTGGCCGGGGCGCTGCGGCTGGAACCGCGGCCGCGGGTCGAGGTGCTGGACGACGGGACGCGCGTGGGGACGCTGGAGGAGGTGAAGGAGTTTGCGCGGCGGGTGGTGGCGGGGCGGGATGTGGAGGGGGTGAGGGTGCTGGGGGAGGTGTTGGGGGGGATGGCGGCGGAGGGGGCGGTGGCGGATGTGGAGGAGGTTGTGAGGCTTGTGGGGGTGTTGGCGGGGGAGGAGGGGGGGTGGGAGGGGATTGTGGGGAGGTTGGAGGGGGTTGTGGGGGGCCGGTTGGGGGGTGTGTAGGGGGAGGGAGAGGGGTGCCTGGTTGGCTGTTTTTTTTTTTTTTTTTTTTTTTTGGTTGGGGTGGCGGTGGAAAAGGTGCTGCTGTGATCATTGTCAGTAGTTAGTAGTGACCAGTAATGCCTGTAACAATTAGTAGAAAGACCTATCCTGTTTTAGGCATAACCCAACCAACCCCCTACCCCGGTAGTTAGCTAGTACTTTAGCCATTAGTTGTAGCCACCAGTCCATAATAATCCAAAAGCTACTATTACCAATTACCAAACCAACTGCAGCGAGCGGGCCATTTCTACCCCGCGTAATTACGTCCTTGGCGTGTAGTGGTTGTGTGACGGGGCGCTCTTGGATGCAGTGGTAGTGGCTAGGTAGCTAGACTGGCTGGGTGGGGGCGAGTGAGGCCCTATGAAGCACTTTTGCTCTAGCCAGGGAGACCTAGATGTTTGGCTGTGTGGGATGGTTACTCAGTGCTGGTTTAATTTATCAACTAGGTGCCGCTGATGACGGCGAGGATGGGAGGGGAAAGTGTAGTACTTTGAACCTTCTCTCCAATTTACCGTTCATTGATTTGTGAGCATGAGCCGTGCTCGTATGGGCTGCTAGCTGGTTCTTTATCGAAGCCGCGGAGGTATGCATGATGCAAGGGAGGGTAGATCGAGTATTGGTTCCTGGTGGTTTATTTGGTATCTGGACGTGGTGGGGCAGGTATTTTTTTTTGGCTTTTGTAGCTCCTTGCAAGAAGATGAAGTGTGGCGAATAACTAATTGTATTGATGATGAGAAGAAGGCCTCTCTATATATCTCTCTCTCTCTCTCTCTCTCTACAGCCACTCAGCAAAAGTGTTTGTGATCCAGCTTTTATGTCAGTGAGCAGTGAGTGTGGCGCACCTGTGACGTTGATGTTGTTTTAATGGAGAGATTCAAAATAATGAAAAAAAATATATATATAATATAGTTTGTGACTACATATAAAAGAAGATCAAGTAGGTCATTGATCTTATTCTTCATTGATTCCGGGCCCCATTGGTCACTGGGAAGGTTTTCTCTTAATTGGGGGTTCTTAATGGTCCGCCACGGTTGCATACATATAGAGAAATGTCTCACTCCGAAATCAGAATCACAAACTCTTTTTCAGAGTGGCTGTATGTCTGTTCGGTCTACATTGTATAGTTATACGCCAGTAAGGAAGACCGACGGACGGCTCGTTGGGACTGGTGGGCAGCTAGCTTGCTGCAGGGACGGGATGGTACTTGTATGGGGTACCAGACTACGTATACGTGTGGTGTGTGTGTGTGCGTTTACAATCTTCCCCAGCACGCAGTTTCCTCCAACAAGTTCTGTTTGTGTAGTGGTCTATGCCTCCGGTTTAGGAAACTTATGACGACAGCGGATACCGGGTTCGAATCCCGCTTAGATCCACTATACAAACAATTGTTTTTTTTTTTTTTTCCTTCTCTTTTACCTCAGTTCTATATATTGTTGAAATGGATCCATCCCGCACACCTGTGTGTACTTTACCGGGGGGAGTAAAATTAAGGTTTCGTGGGTTAGGGTTAGGCACTTGGCAGATATCAAGCCGCCTGCGCCTGCTCATCGACTCCATCACCTCTACCATCTCCGTACCATCTACCCCGCCCTCCCACCGTCTCCGTGCCATCTACCCCGCCCGCCTCCCCGCCCTGAGCATCAGAGTTATCATCAAAATATGCGCTAATGAGAGAATTGAACACTAGCAGCGACCTGGCACCAAATCTAGCAGCAAATCGAGCGCTAAGTCCAGCACTAAATCCAGCACCAAATCGAGCACTAAATGGAGCATCAAATCCAGCACCAAATACAGCATCGAATAGAGCACCAAATCGAGCACCAAATCTACCCAATTCAGCGAATTAGGTCGATAGACAGGCAGGCAGGCAGGGTAGCCATCGATGTACAGCGGTGGGTAATAAGTGATGGAACGGGCTGAGACACAGTGATACCTACCGACAGTAAACCGATCCACGCCACACTTATTAGGAGATAAATACATTCGACACAAAACTTTATAGCCTCCATTCCTGACCCACTCTATCTTAGTAGTGCCGAGAGTCAATCTTCATATACTATCACTCGACGCCGAGCCTTAGTAGTGCGAGACAAGCTTTTAGCTAAACTCGTTCAGGCCATCCGCAGGGGGGGGGATTAATTAGTTTTTGTGTTCCAGGAAATAAAATAAGAAAGCATGTGCGCCAGGTAGCGAGATCTACCCCTGGCCACGGTTTGTGCGGGCTAGGAGATTATTTTGCGTCCCTTGCATGCAGTCCTTGGCTATCTAGCTAGTCGGTCGATCGCCCCACATGACAAGAGCTTTTTGTGGGACGCAGATTAGCACCGAGGTTTCTGCCAGCCAGATATCAAGCACCCGGGTCCAGAGATCCGGAGGAAGGAGGAGTTATGCAAGTATGTATATGTGGGCGCCTAAACCAGAATACCAGTTCTGATTTCCCCCGATTAAAGATAATTATCTTCCCGAACATTAACTAATAGTTATTACGTTTCTATTGCTAAAGCGCTCAGAAATCACCAAGCCAAAATCCGCATTACGCATAAGCAGAGATTCATCCCTTCCTGATCCCCCTTCCTGATCCCTTCCCCCAGATCTCCCCCACCAATCCTCCAGATAAAAATACAACAGTCCCTCCTCCCCCTAAAAAAATAAAACAAGAATAACATTCCACTCCATCACTTACTAGCCCCCGGCTCTCTCTGCGGCGCAGATTCACCCGGCAGCTCCAGCGGCGGATGTGTCGATATGCCACCAGGCATTTCCGCCAGCGGTAGATTATCCTCACGGAACGCTGCGTCACCCTGCAGCTCGTGGTTCACCTTCAGTGTTCCGTCCTTCTCGTATAATGATTGGCTTCCTGCCTCAATTGCAGGGTCTCCAGCAGTGTATGCCGGCGCTGGCTGCTGGCGACGGCGGCGACGGAGGAAAAAGAGACCTGCGCCGAGCAAAGCGATGCCTGCAAGGCCGCCAATAACGCCGCCAGCGATGGCTCCAGTGTTCGACGACGAAGACGATGATGATGATGTGTCAACGGGTGCACCAGTTGCGGTGCCGGTGGCGGATGTTTGCCCGTCGGAGGAGTTTGGGAAGAGGGAGTAGAGCGCGGCGTCCTGGAAGCCGGAGGTTGGAGCTATTAGTTTTGCGCTGCCATTTCCGCTGTGTGGTTTGTTAGTGTAGTCCTTGTTGTGTACAGGCGTTTGGGGTGCAGGAAGAAACTCACTTTCCGCCGATAACGTCGGTGATGCGTCTTGGAACCTGATAAGGCGCAGCGTCTGCGAAGAAGGTAGGGCCCCATTCTGTTGTCGACATGTCATAGAACCCTACGCTTCTATATTCCCAATCACAGTTGTCTGTCCATCTTCCTTCTTGGGAACCACCAACCGTGATCATTTGGCGGTTTCCGGCGAGATGACATTTCATCCCGTAACGATAAGCAGTGCCGGAGTAGATCTTTGTCCATGTGAAGGATGGTATACTAAGTACGTGAACTATAATGAGAGAGCTGTCAGTCACTTGAATTATTAGTTGTCAATTTAGTAGAACTTACTGTCATCATAGTAGTCGCCACTGGTACCGCGTCCGCCGTGCATGTAAATGTTATGACTGGATCCGTCTGGTGCAGAGGCAACTACTAGGCAGAAATCAACCCTCGCAGCCGGAACATCACCAGTTGCCCTCTGTGAATACCACGTCCCGTCCGGTGTGCTCTCATTATAAAGTGATGCAACATCAAATATCTCAACTTGCGCCATCGAAACCTAGAGATTACCCCCAACTGTAAGCCCTGCCATCATCTAAAGAGATGGTCGACCTAAAGAACCGTGTAGAGTAGACATAAAACCTACCAAAGTACCATACTCCTGTGCATCCTCATATTCCGCCCCCTTCTCTCCTCCACCCATCAAAACCAATATCCCCCTTTCCCCAACTCCTGGAATATAAACCATCTCTCCTCTAACCCTCGCCAAGTCGCTGACTGCAGATGTTGAAAGATTCTTGGCTTCGCCAGTATTGAAATCCAAAACTATCATCCCCTTCAAAAACTTTACTGTGGTATACAAGTCTTTCGACTCAGACGACGTCCCATTATCCTGCTCTCCATTGAACCAAAATCCGAGCCCCAGCTCACTTGCCTCTGCGCTCGCACCGGATGCTGGCCTAATCAAAGTAGTATCACCGGTCGTGTTCTCATGCGCCCAGTTACCAGTATTAAGCTCATACGACCATAATGCATACTGGTTTGAAGTAGGGCGCTGGAAGCCATCCCATGAACTATTAAGTGATGAATCCACTGTTCCACCGTAGGTATAAAGCTTAGTATCATTTGAGGGGCCGGCATAGAATGCGCCACGGGAGAGGTTAGGAGGTGTTTCGCTGCTGGCGGTTTTTTGGATTAGTGAGATGGGAGAACTAGAGTTTCGCCAGTTCCAAGTTGCTGTCAAGTCCATCCTGATAACGTATTGATCTATTCTCGTCAGAAGATGTGATTAGTAATGTATAGGGGACATTTGACTTACTGATGCCATATGATAGATTCCCGTACTTCTCTCCAGTAGTGCTATTGACATTGCTGTACGATTGGAGTCCGCCATTAATATACAAGACTTCATCCCTAATAACCGCTACGCAAGTCAATAACCAGCAAAACAACCAATATCCGGTGTAGAACACTTACACGAATGCCATATCCTCCTGCAGAAATTCACAATTGGATCGGTTTGAACTTGGGCATCAACTACCAAAGCCAAAAACCCGAGCAGAAGAATCCCACGATACATCTTTTCACGTCCGGGTCCAAAAGTGTGGTAGCGAAATCAGAAGGAAAGAAGCGAAAATCTGTAAAGGCCCGGGGCACTACCGAGTAGAAGTAGAAGCAGCGGGGGTGGCAAGTAATAATAGTAGTGGAACCCCGAAACCTAGCTATTTTGCTTATTTATCAACATGGACACACCCCTTTGGCCGCGGGGGGCAGGGACAAGGTTGTGACTTGTCTTAATCAAAGTCTAGGCTATTAGTATGTTGATAGTCTATTTAGACCCTATGCGGCGATTCATTTTCCTCTCCCTCCCTGCAGTTGCAGTCTTTAAAACACCCCTTATGGGTGCGGCGTGACACCTATGAGCCCTGACGGAATGTCAAAGAGAAAAGCTTAACGATTGATTAACGGAACGTTGGTGCAATCAATGTTACTTCGAACCGCCATGCTAGAGGAGCTCAATAACTCAGCCCTGGGTCCTAATCCAGTAGAGGCCTGTCCTGGATCAAACATTATTATGTGTGGGTGCTCGTCTTCTTCAAGATCAACCTATGCGCGGCAGTCTGAATACCCCAAGTGGTCTGCCTGCTGATCATTAAATCCCCGCATCTTATTGTGCTTATGAACGTTTTCAGCGGGCGCCAGTAAAACCAATCGAAGAATAGAGCGTTTTGGCAACGGCACTTTTCCAAATTTCTAGGTCAAATTTTGAGTTCTTGGCTCTGCGCCGCTAGAAGCGATTCCGTTGCTTCTTTGGTGTGAAATCGCAGCAGATCCTGGAAGATCGACTTGTAAATGCTTGTAGTAGCGTAGAGCCAAGAACTCAAATTTTGACCTAGAAATTTGGAAAAGGGCGGTTGCCAAAAGCTCTAATTTAATCGTCTAGAATTGCACTAATACGCCTCCCAACTCTAATCGTTAATTTGACGATGGGCTTGCCTTTACATTCTTCATGCCGAGACATGGGAGTCATCAATGTGCCGGCATGACCAAGATGGCAAACCGTAGGCGGTGCTCAAGGTGTGATCGAAAATATCTGTTAATCAGCCGATGTGGGGGTTACATAAGGGGTTCCGGGAAATGATCAACATCACAGATGTTGCTCAATGTCCACATAGGAACATGTCTGAGCCCTGTCAGATACACAGATGCGGTATAGTATACGTATGTGACGGCTATAACCAATGAGTAATCCTCTGCAGCCGCCCCCAAGTAATCCAAAACCTTCTTTCAGCCCCATGGCCCCACGTTAAAGACTCCGGGGGTGTAAGTGTTTTTATTCGTGGACACTGGGCCACAGGCGTTGGAGGACAACTAGGGGGATTTCAGCCAATTAAAAAGAGCTTGGCTGCTCTGTTTTCTCTTTTTGGTCCGTGAACGACAGTCTTGAGCTCATCTCCGTCCTGTGCTACGTACAATCAACAACCGATAGCGATTCATGATGATGCATAGTGTTTAGAGTGCATGATTACAGTCGCAACTCGATATGCCGGAACTCAATACACCGGATCCCTTGCTGTCCCGTACGAGATCCTCTGAGAATATTATTTTTCCTACTGCAAAATCAATCTGCTATCCCGGATTTTTTGCTATCCCGTACGAAATCCTTAGAATCTTGGCAATCCGGCATATCGAGTTGCGACTGTACTCGACCAATTCCCACACCAGTAAGCCGAATAGGCAATCTGCAATCAAGAGGCAGTCTCATAAAGAATCTACTTAAGAGCGCGCCGGTTCATTAAATAGAGCCGTTTATGTGTCTCAAATCAACCCGCTCAAGTTCGATATCGATCTTAGGTTACTCAATGCCTATTGACAAATATTTAGCCCTTCCCCCCGGTGCATGTAATCCTGGTAACCGGTTATTTGCAATTTAATAAAAACCTTCTTCTTATTAATATATAATTTCACGGAAAGGGTTAATTCGAAATAGCAGCTTCATGCATGGGTTTGGTTGGTCCTTAAAGCTTCTGGGAGGCTATTTTGATGGCTGCATGTACAGAAAATCTGAGCCAATTATCTAAGCACTAGTTAATCTAAACGCCTGGATAGTATACTAGGCTCGAGTCTGAATCGTTCAGGTGAATAACCTCCTATATCGATCCATTCAGTTGTGGATAGACTTCCTACGAACTCTGTAGTTCTAAATAGCTATCTTTCTCGGAGAGGCATTCTACCGTTGGCTTCAGGCTCACCCGGGGTTCTCGGGCAATGAGTTTGGTACTGTGATGAAGCTTATAATGGCACCAGTGAGACGGGAGGTTTGCTTCATCGCAACACGTCACACTCTTCTGAAAGTACGTATGCTTGTGGCGAGCTTGATCGCAAAGGCCGTCATCTTTCCTATCTTTTCCGGACCTCATGGTTGAAGCTTCCTTCCTTTCATGCAGGTATCCAATTGGACACTTGTAGGGTAAACCTTTTCAAAACCACATGCACACGTTGTGATCTTGATACAACAGATGCTCCAATCATGCCAGCCCACGGTCTGAATCCATAATCATGTCACGTAAGGCTATGGTTTGCATTCTGCTACATGTCTTATCTGAAAATTGATCAGTATTTGTTCTAGAGGACCCGAGTTATCATGATTCTCACCGTCGATAGGAACGATATGTTCTAGAGAGGCAATAAAGGTCAAAGAATCTCTTAAGCAAGTTCCATCAGTTACGCCAGCTTTCGGGGTTAACTTATCAAAGTGAACCATCTCTGGAACAGTCACGGCTTGCTAGCCTAATTCCATCCACGGTTCATTGTGCCTCTAATATCCCAACCAAAAAAAAAACTTACGCTCCGACCTCACTGGCAGTGCAGGCGACACATGCATACCTCCCCCACCAGAATCAACACACTTCTTGGTTGATGGAGTATGTCCATAACGCAGGAGACAGGGGCTGGTGTTGAATGTCTGTCTTCCGACCGGGGGAAAGTTAACGAACTATTTAAACTCAAGTAGATTCTTCAGCCCCGGTCGGATCCCGATACTTTAACTATTACGTCCAGGTAGTAAACTTTAGTCCACGGGACTTCTCGAGGCCTTTAGATGTACTTGTGGCTTGGGTACATCCTTAGATAAAGGAACATCGCCCCAAGATTCACAAGGCAATTATCCATATGAGGTCATCTTGATGATTGTATTTTGCATCTTGAAAAAACTCATAGTAGGAGAAATGATCACTCCTATGAGGCTGTGTTTTTGTTAAATCTGTGCCACAAGCAGGCTTCACACCAGCTCGGTGGTATAGGTACCATAAACCTTGGGCGGTTCGGGGCCAGTAAAAGCACTTAACTTGCACCCCAATCTAGCTGAGACGCTGCAGCTGAAAGGGTGTAATTCTTTAGCGGAACACTCCACGTGAACTTTCCCCTGCCCTGTTACTGCACTTTCTAGGTACCCTCTTGTAAAGTGCATCTCCCTGAGATGAGCCCAGTTGAGTCCCACGCGGGTGCATAACTTAAAATGGCTCAAATGCACTTCAGGTGGAGGTATGTATTCTGAGAGTGCACATTAGATATTTTGGTGGATTTAGTTGCATAGCAATGCCCTAATTTAAACGACTCGAAGAAACAAAGACATGTGATCACCCCTTACTTAGATCGTGAAATAGCATGATTGACCACGTATGTACATACCTGTTAAGCTTTTAACAATAGATCATGGATTAGACCAATCTCTAAAGATGATGTCCTTATGTGCTGTAGTCCTTCAAACGGAGGTAGAGTGGCCGGCGCTAAGAAGTAGATGAAATTGAGACATGATAGGGTTGTTATTGTCTCTCATGTGTGGTCAGCTAGTAGGTAATTTTAGCGAGGAGGTTTAATTGCAGGAGTATCTCATAGGACGTCATTGAATCGTGTACCACTGAAATCAATGGATGGCATGTACCGAAGAACTTCTTGATCGTAGTTCTTTGGTAGCGATTTATCAGAGAGTACGACCTTTTGACTCACCCCCCCCGCCCAATGGTGTAATTAAGCTTTAGGGCCGTCACTATACAAGCTAATGCCCACGGAACATTCCAGGGAGGGAGATAGCCCAAGACCGCGGGTGTGCGAGTGACATGCTATGATCCCAAACGGGATATCAAATCAGTCTCTCCAGCCGCTCGCTACCTCTTCATGCATGAAGAATCGCTTTAAGATTCCGTTTCTGTTCGACTAGTCTACCTAACAAGTTTATGCTGGTTGTATCCTCTAAGCTGTAGTTGGTTGGTTGGTTTAACCATTAGCATAATTTGTATCCACGCATATTATGAAGTGATATAACTCCATGGGTTCTGATTAGTCGTGCAGCTGAGTGCGCCCGTCCTATGAATCTCGGGGGTAGTAGATATAAATTCAAATAGGGTGGTCAGCCGGTTAAATGAAACCGAATAGCATCTGTTGCCATGGCGCCAGCTATCAGTGTAGTTGGGGGGGGGCGAGGTCAACAGCGCTCCGTGAGGTGTGCTGGGTGTATTGATAGGACATGTACATGGAACTTTTAGGTGACATGAAGGGATAGGTCTTCGAAGAGTTGATGACTTTTGGGAAGATGCATGTAGTCTCTATAAACTCCGATGTTGTGAGTCTACGTGTAGTCAATTATATGTGTTCTACTGCTATTCGGTGTGGGATCTAAAGCTTAAATGCCCGTGAGCGCCCCTAGCGGGACACAACGCTTTATTGGCACTGCTTAGGTACATTGCCCACGGACCGCGGGGCAAGGGAAGAACAACAGCCATTTATCATATACGCAAAAAAAATATGTCAATATAGAAATTGAGAGAATGGATCATGGATATATAGTCATCCTTCTTAAAACGCTATCCAGGTAAGTAATTAATTATACGACGTCCGGCCTCTTTGAGTACCTCTTCTGTAAAGAAGGGTGCACGTACTTTATCCTGTCCTCGGCGCTGCAGTTATGAAAAATCAAGACAAGATCATTAATTAAAGGCTTTGGCACTAGGAATGAAAGCTAGCTAACCCACTCCTCAAATTATCACTTTATCCGAATTCGGCCACTCTAGAGAAACGATACAACCTATATGCAGTCTATATTATGCGTGACACTCTCTCTTACACTACTCAAACGCCCATTGATAATTATTCTACAAGTCGTGGTAAAGAAGTAAAGTACATGTATTTACAAACAACAGCCCTCAAAGACAGAGGCCAGCCATAGACCAACTTCAGGCCAACGATCCTTCTAGGCATATTAACACCTTAGCTTTAATTCATATTCACACGTATACCACATGTCCTTCTTTGATCTAAAATCTCAGATCAAAACCGATTCCCTACGTGTATACGTACTAAACCTCGCCACATTAGCATCGCGACTTCTTATCCGATAACAAAGCAAGATGAATACTCACAATTCTTCTACACGGCTCACACATCTCATCCGAAATATACATGAGATTTCCGCACGAGCACTTAATCTGGTTAGTTTTGGTTTTGGGACGGACATGAGGGCGCGAAGCGGGTGTGGAGGTGGAAGACTGTTTGGGTTTGTTGCCGAAACACATATTGTGGATATTAGATATTGTTGGTTTGGTGTGAGAGATGTTGTTATTTTTGTTCTTGTATGGTAATTAGACTGAACGTTTTGAGAGACTCTGAAGTTGAGAAATAGCAGGTTTTATTTGCATCGGGCGGGTAGGCGCTGATAGAATAACGCCTTTGGCTGTATAATAAGTTGTAAGTCACCTGAGGGTGGATACTATAGTATCAGGTCGGACGTCGTGGACTTGAGTGTTGAATATGTACATACATGTATGAACGTCGTTATTAGGGATTTAACGCTAGACATGGGATTCTATGTCCAACTATCGTTTTATTAGGAAACTTACCATTAAAGATACTAGGAGCCCATTTGTATATCTCCAACCTGGATCTAGACTTAATACCAAGAATCCATCAACATCTTCACCAGATAAAAGGGTAAAAATTGTATATATACGCTCCCAATTACATAGTAACAGCTACGAATACGTTTATTTGGGGTTATATCCCAGAGAAGGCTTCTTTTCATCATGAGATATCACTCGATTGAGCGTCCGTGTATCCAAACCCATATGTCTACAATGTGATCTGAGAGTAATCCTAAGCTCTAGATGGGATTAAAGAAGGAAGCTTGGGCCTGTGTGTTCGTGAAGGGCTACTGCATCCATGTAGAGCGCCGGTTTCCTGCAATTTTCTTTGTCGGATCAGTTACTCCCACACAGTGTGCCGAGAATTTTACGCATCGGTATTCTATGGCTTAGATTATAGTACCAATATGTATATAACTTTGAGCCCCTTATTTACTCCAGACGACCTACTTAACTGAGCGAAACTCATGGCCGAGTGATATCCTATGATTACTAACTCCTAGGCCAAATAGCCGAAATCACTGAGGGGGGGAGATGAACTACTTTAAGGGAGACTTTCATTAGACATACTATGCCAATCGAAGCTCCCCTGTAGTCTGTAGTGCTGTGAAGTCACAGAAGGGTCGCCGCTGACACTTCTATGACTGCTATAACCGAACTTGAGTTCGAACGCCAGGGACGGTTAACGAATTATAAAGCAACGATGCCGTGTGAAAAAGACAAATTCATGATTAAAAGATATACTCAAACCATCTCTTTAAGAGGTCTGGAATTAAAGAAAGTTGTTGTTGTTGATGCTGCAGTATTGCTGCGGGATTGATGTTTGGTTCGAAGAGTCCTGATGTGACTAGATCGGAACTCTGTTAAAAAAATAAAAGTGTTTGCGGGTAGACGATACTCGCTCCGTGACGTCCGTTGATTACAGAAGGCTTAGGCAATGCATACTATGGCGACAGAAATACGCTGCGCTACACCTCACCTTCCACCCCATTCACCATTCTTAGATTCTGGACATTGTAAGTTTTATCACACACAGAACTGCAACTACAATACCACGCGCGTTATTAAACAACGGCCTCAAACCATCCTATATCAACGCCCTAGATCCTCCCAAATACACTCTATTCAACCAAAAATCTCAACCTCCACACAATGTTCAAAGACGACTACAATTTCACCATCCGCCAGGAAAAGTACATGGCCATCATGAAGAAGTACCCAAAGTGTGTTCCGATCGTCTGCGAGTCCGGCTCACGTGGGCTTCACCACATGTGCCGCCGCGAATTCTCTGTCGAGCGCACCCAGACACTCGCCGGGGTCATGTGGAGGATCAGGAGGGACGCGAAGGTCTCCGAGACTGAGGCTCTATTCGTCATGGTTGATGGCGTCGTTCAGCCGAGCTCGGTCGAGATGGGCGTCCTCTACGATTGGGCGAAGGATGAGGATGGTTGGTTGTATATTACGTATGTCAAGGAGAATACGTTTGGCGAAGAGGTGGAGGAGGTGAAGAAGGCGTAGGCTCCTCCCGGCGTGATTAGCTCTAACGGCGGTGGCTTGGTACTTAGGTGTATGGAGTTACTAGAGGGTTTTATGGGGCTTGGGCTTTCGTTTCCTCTTTTTTCTGTTATTTTGTGTGTGTGGATCGCTAGAGGATGGAGATGTGTTCTGTCTTCTGCTCTAGCTCCGCTAGATAGGAATGGGTCTAGCTAAGCTCCATATTCAAATAGGAATATGTTGCTATTTTAAAACTACGTCTCATATGTGTTCTATCCACACCGTCCGTGGGTTTGTTGAAATAGCTAAAGTAAATTTAACACCGTGCCGAGCATCGAGTGATATCTCAGAGGGTTACATCATCCCAGAAGCCAAATCCCTGTCCGTTACCCTCTCTTTTTCTGCCACAACGCGCCTTGAACCTGTACCCTCCAGCGCCACACCCGTGATATCACGTATCACTTCTCCAACCCCCCCCCCCCCCCCCAAAACAAACCCGCAAACCATGGCGACCACCACCGCCGCCGCCGGCGCGCCCTCAGCCCCCAGTATTGCAGACCGCATCCTCAATCCCCAGCAGCAACTCGCCGGCCGCTTCGCGTTCAACGACTTCCTCCGCAAAGAGTACCGCTTCGGCCTCGACCCGAATCGCCGGACATGCCCGCTGTTTGTCCAGGGACATTGTCCCATGGGTAACTCGTGCCCCGATAAGCATGCCGTGAGCTCGAGCTTCAACAAGTGAGTTCTCCCCCGGGACGGCGATTTGTTACATAGCAGAGTAGAGATGCTAATAGGTCTCTGGGAGACAGTCTGGTGTGCAAGCATTGGCTCCGCTCGCTGTGCAAGAAGGGCGAAGCCTGTGAGTTTCTACACGAGTACAATCTGTAGGTTTTCTCTCCACAGCCATATATAAAACCTCCCATGCTAACAGCTGAACTCTTATAGTCGTAAAATGCCGGAATGCAACTTCTTTGTTCGCAACGGGTACTGCAGCAACGGCGAGGAATGTCTGTACCTACATGTCGACCCAGACTCCAAGATCCCGCTGTGCCCGCACTACGAGAACGGTTTCTGCCCGCTCGGACCAACTTGTTCAAAAAAGCATGTGAGGAAGCCGATCTGCAAATTCTATCTTGCAGGCTTCTGTCCAGATGGGAGGCAGGCGTGTAAGGAGGGGGCGCACCCGAGGTGGACGACAGGGTTGGCACCACCAACAGTGAGGAAGCCAAGAGAGGAGAGAGAGGAGGGCGGTGACATGGGGATGGAGGGCGGTAGGGACCGCGGGAGAGGGGATGGCGGTGATAGAGGAGATAGAGGCTTTGGCGGAAGGGGCGGTTTTGAGGGGAGAAGAAGGTATTATGGTGGGAGAGGTGGTGGAAGGAGAGATAGGGACCGGTAGAGGTGGGGTGGGGATTAGCTGTACTATGGTCTTAGTCAGTTGGTTATGGGCATGGTAATTTTTGGAATCCATTGCTTTGACCAGGTTTTCTCTTTCTTTTTTCTCTTTTTCTTATTTCTACACGGGTTTTGTATCAGATGTAGGGGCGTTATTGCTTTTAAGCTTGTTTCTTGTTTTCTCCCTCACTTTTTTCTCATTTACTCGGGACGAGTAATTATGTAATGATAGATATTATCAAGACGGAAATATTCAATACAGCTTTCGGTAGTGGTTCGTGGTGCGTTTATGTAAATGTTGTGGTATCAGTTGTTTGCAGCACTGCAGATTTCAGATGACGAGTGACCACCTATGACAGAAAACTGGCTACTTCTTTTATAAGTCTACATCTACGCTCCTAATCCTTTCTAATCCTCACTTACATCTCTAACCACGCTCGTTCCTATCACGCTCGTTATATAATACGCTCGTTATTCATATCTAACAAATCCCCCATCCTGTATCATTCACACCTCCTCACCCCACGTACGTTGAGAATTTCTACACATATATCATAAACTACCAGAAGTTCACCTCCTCACATTTCAAATTTATAAACATGGTCAACGATCCCACCACTGGCCCCCGCTCTCACCATGACCACGACTGTCGTGGTGCTCATGCAGTAGACATAAACTGTAGGACCGCAGCCCAACTCAGGAAGTCCTACATCGGTGTACGAGAAATGACGAACTCTCACTCTTCCAGCTCGTTACCTAGGTTATCAACACTTAATCGGGACCCGGGGTCCCAGGCACCGGTACAGACTTCGAGTTCGGCGCCGTCTTTATTTGGGACTTCGAATTTCCGGCGCACCCATAGGTCAACAGTTGCGGGTTCGAGAGAAGGAATTCCGATGCAAAATCTAACCCCGGCTGGAGCTTCGGCGAGGCGTGCAGTTTCAGTGGGGCGTGGAGTTGTGAGCCATGGTAACAGCTCCAGGCAAAGACGGAGAAGTTGTGGTTGGTTGTGCCTTGGTTACTTCGGCGGCAATCGCGAATCCGGAGAACTTCCTGGGCCACATCCGGACCAGCATTTGCACAATCCTCGGCAAGATAGTAATGATGAAGATGAAGAGCCGATTTTTGTGCCAGATGAAGGGCCTCTTCCTAATCCTGCGCTGGATCCTGCGCAGAACCCTTCGGCGCATATTGCGAGGCAGCTTCTTGTAAAGAGCGGTGAGATTGAGGAGATCTCAGGGCCCACTACAGATGCGGCGGTGCAAAACAGTACTGATGGTAGGCTACCGGAAATTCTTGAAGAAGTACCAGCAGATGATGGGGAGTTGGCCACTGGTAATGATCAGAGTGTTTCGGCTTCGGGAAATTCAGCGAATGAAAGAAGTGGAGAAACATTGCAGTTCGCTCGAAGACCACTTCCTATCGTACATCCCGTTGCTACCTCAGGGATTACTACTGGCTTACAGGCGCTTCCGCCTTCACAGATGGGAATTGATTTGCAGCCTGGGGGTATTTCCCAGAGAGTTCTGGATTCACGACCGTACACCGATTGGCTATCGTCTAGATCTACTTATTCGCATCCACCCGTTTCTCCTCATGAACTAGACACCAGTTATCAAAGACGAGCGAGTGTCTAAGTAATCACAATGGTGAATTTGAAGGTAGTGTACGCTAGCCAAGAGATGAGAAGGTAAACAACAGGTTGAGGCGCCTGAGGAAACTTTTACATGGAGGATTATATTATCAACTTTGCTTAGTACTTGTTAGCTATGGCCTGGAATTGTACTTTTTGTACTTTATCCTGGAATTCATAAATAGAATCTATTGAAGTAGTTCATCTGATGACTAGTCCAATTCGTGTCGAAACTTACTTGCTTGCGTGCGCACACAAGCTACATACTTCTGAGTTATACCCTTAACCACCGGCAAGATTATTAGTATTGATCGTGGCCGGATCGATCATAATCACTCACTCGCTCGCTAGCTATCATTACCCTTACCCTAGGTAAAACTCAAGACTAGTACTAAAATATAGTGTCAGTTCGTTACGCCAAAGTTCCATTCAAAGACTGAGAGTAGGAGCCACATATATAAATCTTTGCAATTGAAAATTTATCATATAAATAATCGACTTGAGCATTTACTATCTCGCGCCCAGCCACATCCTAATTGGCGGACCCCCTCCCCTGCTGTGACCGCGTGGGGTCCAAACCCCCAATGCCAAGCCCCGCCTACTTTTTGCAGCCCATCCAAATTTTTGTTTTGGCAGCCGCCGTCACTCCATCTCTTCTTCCGCAACACCATTCGCATCATCATCATATCACCGTTCCGTTCATCGCGACTCTACAATTTCACGATGGCCGGCCCGGCCGGCCATCTAACGGAGGTTCTGTCTCCTGATTGATCATTCACACAATGTCCATACTCCAATGAAAATAAAGTAATTCCAATTCCACTCCATCTGCTCCCCGTCCATCCCTCCCCAATAATCCCAATCCCAATCCCAATCCCCAACACACAAACATGCACATCTTTGAGTTATCCCTCCCCCGCCTGACGGCGGGCCTCAGTGGAAGGGTATTCTAGTCTATGTGCAAAGAGCAACGACCCCCTCTTCCTGCCCACCGCTTGTCCCCCCACATTTGTGGCTCCGTCCCTTGCGGCGTTCTGCTTCGGGGGATGGGTTTGTGGGATTGGTGGGTAGTGGGGGGGTTGCCAGTCGTCCTTTTTACCTTGGGGTGTTTCTCCCCTTTCTGGGGAGAGATGTGCTCATGCAGGTTGCCCGCTTTAGGCGGGGTTGGTGGGCCTGTGGTGGGGGGTGCTGGAACATTTCGTATCTTTTTTTTTGTCTTTGTATGTAGGAATAGGAGGAGTAGGAGTAGTAGTGAGAGAGAATTAATTGAATTGGTTTATGGATACGTACTCGGGCTGAAGGCCCGGAATAAACTACATAATCATTACATCTACATCTTCATCTTCATCTGATCATTAAACGTCCCCGAGCAAAACAAAGGAGCGTCATGGCTCATCAATCGTGTTCACAACAAGTATACCTACTCCACCAGCCTAAAGCCTCTCCCCCCTCCCCATCCCACTGCTCCTCTCCGGACTCCCCTTCCTCCCCTTACCGCCCCAATCCTTGACCCACTCCGCGATCAGGTCACGACTCAGATGCCCCATCTCCGGGTACCACGGGTTCGTCTTCGGCGAGAACATGGACACATGCGCATCCACCTCATCGCTCGCCTTCGGGTTGACGCAGCGATAGAACATGCCGGCATGCTCCGTGTTGGACGCGGGCAGGATGATGAATGTGCGCTCGCCCTTGTCCTGCCCGCGCGCCCCCAGCGCCGTGTACAGCGTTGCAAAGCCCACGCCGGGCACGCTGCTGGCGCGCTTGGTGCGGTTGCGCAGCTCCTCGCCCTTCATGAGGGCACCGACGAACTCGAGGTGGGAGGAGACCCAGCCGATGCCGTGGCCGAGCTCTTCACGCTTGAAGTATGCAATTGCGCCGCCGGCGGCGAGGAGGGATGCGGCGCCGGCGTACGCGGCGACTTTACCCCAGCCGCCCCAGAGGCCTGCTGCAGGGGCTGCGGCGGCAGGTGGGGGAGCTGGGGGTTCCCTGTGGGAGTGAGAATGGGAGCGCGAGCGCGAGGAGGAGGAAGAGCGGGAGGAGCGGCGCGAGGAGGAGGAGCCAGAGGAGCGCTTTGTGGCGTCGGCCTCTTTGTTTTTTTGCACTACGTTTGCGCCTTCGGAGGCGGCGCGGGATGCGAGGAGACCGGATGCGAGGGTGGAGATCTGCGAGATTGTGGTTGATGCGGATCGAAGCTTGGTGTCGGTTCCGTATGCAAACATGGCAGGGGAGAGACCGAGATATGGGGTGTCGAATGCGAGGATGCCTTGGATGTGGGGGAACATGAAACCGGCTCCTTTGCGCTGTTTGCGGCCGTTGGGTAGCGTGATGGTTTCATCGTCGAGGATGGAAAGAAGGGTATCAGCTGCTACAATCCCGCCCATGGAGTGGGCTACGAGGATTGTGCGGACGCTGGGCTCGACAATTGGAGAGGGAGTACCAGCGGCGACCTCGAGGTCGATTACGCGGTTCTGTAACCTATGAGCCTGTCAGAGATATTGTATGCCTGGGGGGATAACATGAGGGAGCCGTACCATTCTCGGAAATTTGCGACGCAGCTAGGTAGGTCTCCACGGGTTTCGTATTGCGGGTAAACGACCGTCTTCACGTTGAGGTTGGGAAATGCGTTACTCACGAGAGCTCTGAGGTCCTATGCATATGAATCGCGCATCAGAATCTTCATATATTCCATCGCAAACTGGTGGGGGAAGAGAACTTACTCCTGGGAAGCCATCGAACGTATCATCGGTTCCCTACGATATCCACCCAACCGATTAGCCCAGTGCCTTAGAAATCGGAAACTGGAGGGGAGAAAGCTTGATCGTAAAATACGCACCTTGAAGCCATGGATGAAACAGAGCAGCAGAGTCTTTCTTCTCATGGCTGGTTGATAGATAACGTGATAATTTTTTTTTTTTTTGCTTGGTTGAGGATTCTGCAACGTCAAAGGACAAAGCAGGTCAAGGTCAGTCAGTCCGCCAGCTTGCCACGCCCGGGAGCTGTGGGAAAACAGAGGTAAACTCAGGGCCAGGGTTGCCAGCCATACTTAGATTCTCTTTGGGGTTAGCGGACAGAACACGTCGGCCCCTGCAGCGCAAGCGTCTGCTAGTGCCCTAATGCCCGAGACGTCTTGGTCTCCGCGATAACCGAAAATCATCTTCGATCCGGCAAAAGATGCCGATACGAGTTAGTTAGCCAGGCGAGCACCTCTCGAGTGATGTATCATGTCTCACGGCCTGGTTTGGAGGTTCTCATCTTCTAGAACATTTTAGGAAGATGATTGTCTATTACTATTAATTAATTGTTTTCACAAAACAACTTCTGGTGCTCGCAACCAATGATAATCTTAAAGCCAATCAATCAGACCAACCGGTATACAATTACATTTCCTCCCCAGCCTTGACGGAAAATCTTTCCACTGACTTTGTAGTGCCCATCAATTAGCTCCTCGCAACGTCTTATAAGCTCGAAAATTTGTTTTCCTACATCACCACAAACAGCCTGCCAGCCAAGGTAGTGATCACAGACACCAATAGAAGCACTTCTTATTCCTCCTATCCTAGTGCACCGATTAACCTGGAGGGGATCTACTCTGCAAATTCTGTTTAGACCATCGTTGTTGAAGTATTCTGCTATTCTAAAGACATCAACTGATAACGGAGAAAGTCTGTTGGTTGTGCAGACGAATTCCAGAAGGGTGACGGGTATAGTCTCCTTTTGCTTGGTAGAGAAGTCACTGTCGAGAATTTCGTCAATAGAAGAGTCTTCTATATGACCATTAGTATCTTCAATGTCACTATCCATGTCGCTCTCCATGTCGCTGTCCATGTCGCACTCCATGTCGCTGCCCATGTCGCTGTCCATGCCCTCTTCGCTTTCAGAATTGTAGTTATTTGTTTCATGAAGTTGGCCTTCCCCTGTTTCGTAGATGCTATCCTCAGAGTCGAAGACAGGCCCATCCTTTTCATGAATTTGGCCTTCTTCTGTCTCAAATACGTTGCTTTCCCATGAGTCTGCATTATCCCTTCTCCTCCTTTGAAAGCATTCACTTTGTAGATCCTGGTAATAGTCTTCATAGGTCTTCTGCAACTGGAGCTCATTTTCTTCACAATCACTGCAATCTGCTTGAGCACCCTTCTCATGCCCTTCAGCTGTAGCTGTTGGTGCGGATTTCATCGAAGGATTTTTCTTCCTATAGTCGTTATATATCTTCTCTGCGCACTGGTCCTCCTTGAGATCCGTCAATAGTCCATCACCCCAGTCCTCACCTACTACGGCATGACATTCACAGTCTCTCGCGCTAATGAGCCCTTTCTCTGTATAACCGTTGCAACAACCCTTCTCATGATCTACCATCTTAGAATGGCCAGCCTTTCTCTCATCGTCATTTTCTTCGCGCCGTTTTGACTTGTATTGTACTCTCTTCCGAGATTCGTGGCTACGAAAAGCGTTTCTCTCTTGGAGGTGCTTTCTCTTAAGCTCATGGTCGTCCTCGAAGGGAAATCCATTGTCTCTTTTTGAGAAGTAGCCGTAGTGTGCCTGCATGTCACCAGACGCATCGTATCCCATTCGAAAATCCCGTTGGAAATCATCGCTTACGTCCTCGTCATCATCAACTCTCTTTTTGATATGCATCGTGCTTCTCTTTGCACGATACTTAGCATTATATGAGCCATCTTTCTTCAGAGGAAAGCTATATGCAGCGGGATCTTCGGTTACAGTCTCCATCTCTGGATTCCGAGGATAAAGACGGGGATGAGCCAATGCTGTTGCCGTCATCATGAAAAGGTAGATGAGAACCAGAATTAAGATTCTCATTTTGATAGATTGATATAGGTCTTGTGGACTTAGTATTAGCTTTATACAGCGTTAAAAAAAGATAGGACAGACCTTGTGGGGTAGAAAAAGTTGCCGAAATGGTTGTTCGTGAGAGTATTTGATGAGTATGTATGTAAGTGATGGATGAGACACGGGGTAAGAGAAAGGAGGAATTAATGGATTAGGTTCTTATGTAAAACTAAGATGTATTAGAGAGGACACATAGACCGATTCAAAAAGCGCATGGTATGTAGGTTTTTGAGGACAACTGTGTATGACGTGTTGTAAGTGATACGAGTGACGTTACATGAAGTATTCACAATCTGACATCGCCGCTATGGTGTCAACAATCTAATCTAATCTTGAATTTGGTGTAGGATTAGGTTTTTGGATATCGGCCACGCACGCCAGGAGCGAATTAAGGGACGGTTTGGCAAGGTTGGGCTCTCAGAGGTAGAGCAGGTCATAAGTCGGAACCCCTAACCCTATCAATGTCAACCACTGTATGACTTGTTGATATAATGTAAGTTAGAAGTAAATAGATATTGATATCATTACCATTAACATTGATCATGGACTGATACATGTATATAGGTCAAAAAAAAAACTACACAAAAGAAATACTGTCCTTAAAAAAGAAATCTAAAGAGTGTACACATATGGGAGATCCTTCAGAGCGGGGATGGAAACTATGCCATCCATTTACTCCATCACAGCCTTTTCCGCCGATACTTCGCCAGCGGTCTTCGGCACTCTCGGTTTAATTTGAACTGTCCAAGCAGGTCAGTGCAGACCGCAAACTTTCCTCCAAGTATACTTACACTTCTGCATCATTCTCACTACAAAACCGTTTTGGTCCCTCTTATTCTCCTCACTGTCAATTTTCTTTTGTAGCTCTTTGTCTGGTGCGGGCCTCCTCGTTGCGTCCGTAGTCGTATTTCCATCCACTATAGCCTGTTCTTTTCTCTCGTCGTGGTGGGCCATAGTTTCAGGTAGGGCTTTATTTGCTGCATCTCGCGCGGCACGCTTTGTTTTCTTCTTGCCTTTGCGGAAGTTTCCGTATGCCTCTAGACCAACAAGTATCGCATACGATTTCGAGATCGAGACATGGGACATGTCTACACCCGCCTCCTTAAGTGAGTTTACGAACTTGCGGAAATTCTATTCAGAATTAGTAGGAATCCATAAGTGTATAGGAAGCATTAACCAACAGTAGCTGGCGGTCTATAATGTCCGGATAACGGGCTCAGGCTACAGCATCATCAGCAAAACATATATAATCGACTTGAATCAGTGAACCTATACCTCTTCAACCTCCCATCTTTAATCTTGATTAAACCCGCCGCACTTACTCGTGCCCCGTGTAGAAAGCTGCTATGCTGGAAAGCACCGCTTTGTTTGATCCCTACATAGAGCCTAAACGAGTTATCGGCCACAAAGATCCAAGTGTTCTTTTTCGTCGTTTTGCGGAGCAATCTATTCAGAACTGTGGAGGCTGATACATGGAAGATCTTTTTCGGTCCATGATGTTCCTGCATCTCTGGATTAATATATCGGTCCGCCCTCTCACTCTGACCCGAGTCACTCGACGATGATGAGGAGGATGATGATGACGATGACGATGAACTGCTAGAGCCCGGGCGGCGTGCAGAAATATGGTGATGATAATGGCACCCCCCGGGAGTAGTCGGTGCATTTTCTTCCAACGGGACAATGCCATGTTTCGAATCCTGGTATTTCTCAGAGGTGTCGATACGTTCCCCATTTTTGGCCCAGCAGAGACGACCTTCTTGGTCAAACTTAACCAGATATGCCGCTCGCTCTTCTCGCGAGAGATAACGGACTCGCTCTCTGTCTAGTTGCTCCCGAGGGCAGACAGAGAGGTCAATATTTAGTCCAGAACCATAATCAAGCCAGTAAAAGAAGTTTTCGTGCGTGGGCTGGGTCTGCCAGTATGCGTGGTAGGCACGGAGGTTGGAGCCATAACGATGCTAAAGTGGATCAATGATATATATGCTTAGACCTCTGCATTTTTAGGGGAAATACCTTTACTAAGGTCGAGTTAGTTAAGTAAAAAGGCATAAGTGAGGATAGAGGGCTTACAGTCAACCATTTCAAGGAAATACCTTCGAATCAGTGTCAACAGTTTTCTAACTCAGCAAGGAAACGATAATTCATACTGCATATCCATAGCTTTTGAGTACTCAATCCGCTCCCTTCGCTTCTGCAGCCTTTTTTGCCTCCTTTCCTCTCTTCTCTCCTCTCGACCTTGGCTGTTCTCCTCATCTTCATTATCACTATCGCTATCCGAAGATAGCTCATCGTCATGTTGCGCCTGTTGCCTCCTATCAATATCATTTCCCCCAACGTATATATTTAGTAACGGACCTGCTTTGCGAATAATACTGCTTTGTCCCATTTCTCCTTTGATTGCGAAACCCTCCGTTTCTCACTTCCCCCTGGCCTCCCGCCGCTCTCCTCGGCCGGGAGGAGTTGTGCGCTCGGCCGAGCATCGCGGGAAACTGGACGGGCGACTTGACGGTAATGCGCTTCTTTTAGCGCCTAAGAATTTTTAGCTTCAAACCATGCGAACAGAGACTAGAGGAGCTACCTCGTTCCATCGTTGAGTTGGTGTAAGTTGATGGCCCTTCAAATGCCGTCTTTCGCGATGGCCTCTGTAATGGCGCTGATGATCAGAAGGACCAGCATTAGAATCCATTTCAAAGCTCCAAATTTGACCCAACGGCTTTTTCTCGGAAACTCGCCGGAGCGGACTTTAAAGGCGATTTTAGAAATATTTGTTTCAATATTCCAAGAGTAAAAACGAACCTGTATCTCCACCGCAGCTCTCGACCGTTCCTCTGCTGATGACTCTGCCCGCGCTATTGGAGCAACTGTCGCCATAACTGATTCTTGTACTCGCGCAATAGGGTGTTAATAAATACGGGGATAGCTGCAATAAAAAAATTGAATAGATACGTGGTCCTCTAGAAACTATTGTTGGAACAAAGAGCGGAGTCTTTCGAGGGCTGAGTTCTTCCTTGTTGATTAGTTTGTTGAATCTGGGATAGCCGGATATCGAGCAACCAAGATGCTTGCGCGTCATCAGACAACTTGTCGGAGAGAACCTTGGCAGATATAATCCTCTTGGCAGGGTCTGTCAGTTATTTAGATAAGAGTTGGGCATATGTATGCCCGGAAAGGTGGGGTGGGTGGTCCGGAATCACAGGTTAAATACGGTATTCTATGGGCTATCATAACGTTATGTGTTCGGTTGTGGTAAATGTCCGGGAAAGGCTGCAAACCCTGGTCAGACAGATACGATCAAATGGCACAGCCAGGACTGACTGTATCTTCTTAATCATAGAATGTCACTCATACTCAGACGCACCGTTGGCGACATATGCGGGATGGATGGGGTGACCATAAACTTGGCTCTTGGTGGAATCACATTTAGCTACCCTAATAACGTTCTAGCTTTACATATATCTACGCCCTAACCATAGATAATAATCAATAGACGCAAATTCTACATACCGTAGCCCAAATCCTACAAACTGGAGTCAGCGAGATCTGAAAAAGACCCGTACCCGAGCCCTCGAGTGATTCATTGTGTATTGCATCTGGACAACTGTGGCGCAGAGAGTTCAACGCCACAGTAGCATCAATAATTCTGCCAAGAGGCTCCAAGGCATGCCGCGTTGTCGGAGCTACGCGCCACATTCGGAACTGTTCTCCTCGCCATCCTGTATCGATAAACCCTCGATCCCGATTCTTTCTCAACCCCAACCCATCTCCCACCCATACCCCCATCGCCTCACACTCATCTCCTCTACATCTTACACTTTATACAGCAGCGAAAGAATCTCAGCCGAGATATGAATCGGGGTGGTAAACTCGCTCCCGAAGTCCAGAGAGTTCTGTTCGTGAAGAACTTGAGGTTCGTAAAGCTCTCGCTGTCCTCCCCGACCAATCTTCCTTCTCGCTGACTCAAAGACAACAGCTACAACGTTTCTTCTGAGGAACTATTTGACCTCTTCGGAAAGTTCGGTCCAATCCGGTATGTGTTCTGTCTTGTTTTCAGATTCATTCATACGCTGACAGAGCGCGTCAAAGTCAAATTCGCCAAGGAATAGCAAACAACACCAAGGGAACCGCGTTTGTAGTTTACGAAGATGTTATGGACGCGAAGACAGCGTGCGACAAGTTGAACGGTTTTAATTTCCAGAATCGTTACCTTGTTGGTAAGTCATTGCCATAATCCCCCCTTCTCGCGAGCGATACATAAGGAATTCCTCTGACACTGGGTGGGAATGAACAGTATTATACCATCAGCCCGAGAAGATGGCGCGTGCAGAGAACGACCTAGCGAAACGCCAGGAAAGTTTAGAAAAGCTCAAGAAACAACACGGGATCGATTAAGGTGCCTTTGGTCTGCGATGAGTCGATGCGCTCCGGGAAACAGGGTTATCGGTACAACGCAGCAACGTAAAGAAAATAACTCATTTCGATAATACTATACCTTATGTTTTCACTTGGCATACCTGGGAAAAGGGAAAGGAAACGGAAAGGGGAAAGGGCTGTACGTCTATGGGGTGTGTATCTGCAGGGCTACGATTACGGGAAGGGATTGAAGGCGTTGATTCTGATTCTTTCCGTTCTCAAATTTGTTTTTTTATCTGCTTTTTTCCCTCTCAATTATCTCTACTTTTGCTTTGAATTGTTCTTGGTTTTATTCTATTACTTAACCTGCAAATACTACTATGTTCTGGGGATGTACGATTCAGTAGGTACAACTACTTAACCTAAAAACATGCACGTCTCCTTTCATTTGCTACTTTTTAGTGACCAGTGGTACCGATACATGCACTTAGTAGTGGTGTAAACCAATGACCAGAGAACAGTGACTAATATCAACCCCATTTGATCTAGTGACAGGATATACTTAATAATGGTGATCACATCTGCGAGAAACTCATCTCCAGCAATTTTATTTGGTGACTTTTTGCTTACTAGGAATAAGAAAATATTCACTGATGACATCTACCCACATCTCAATTACAAAAAGAAAAATAAAGGTACATATATATTAAGATATGACTACATCATCTAACATGCTTCGGATTCCAGAAGGGGAGAAAAGAAAGAAGAAAAAAACGAATCCCCTGTTCAGCTCATATGTGTTCTCTTAATGTCTCTCCACCAATCTCCACCAATGACCGGGGGTGCTAGAGCCAAGAACTTATTGGATTAATGTCTCCATTGAGCAATATGTATGGAAGAAAGGAAGGATGAAGGAAGAAAGTATGAGCAAGGATCGAAGCAGGGGGTGAATTTCAATGGCCACGAAATATCTAGGTATTTATCCAAAGTGATCTCCTCCCCGAGATTCCATTGGTTACAAAGTGTACTTTCTCCTCTCTTTTAATCTCATATGGTGGACCCCGGTCTCTCTCGCTTGTGCTAAGCACTCATATGCAAGGTATCAAAGACATAGGGTACTTCAGAGGTTCCGGGGATCATTATTGCATGGTGGCAAGCACGATGGCACTTTAGCTGCATTATGTAGGTACACTGCTAGATTATAGAGTAGGTACTTCCAGTCACAGTTCGAAGCTTAAGGTGGGAAGAGACTTCTTGCTGTTACATTACGCGGCCGTGGAAGAAAAAATAAATATGAGATTAGATTTATATGATTCTAGAATATGGCTTCAACCAAAGAAATGTCGTCGAGACCGATTACAAAGAGTGGAGAAAATCAATCAAAAGAAGAACTTTTTTATATCCCAGACTCACGCCGGAGCCATCAGCAATTACCGGACAGCATTGCCCATTCCCACGTCCCATAAGAAAACCCTACCCAACCCGGACCCTGAAAGAAAAACCCGGTGCATGAAAACAAAAACGGGAAAAAACAAAAAAACAATATCCTTTCTATCCAGTTGGATGTGATGTGATGTGTGATATGTGGTGGTGTGGTGTTTGACGTTTCGTTCCTCGACCAATCATTACCCCCCAGTAGTACATGCCGCGGCGATCCATGCCACTGGCGAACCACCTATAAACCGCGCCCTGTGAGGCTGTCAGAATTGAACTGTGATCCTGCAAATCAAATCTCGATGGGTAAAAATGTTCCGTACCTTGCATATCTACAACCTCACATGGCTGTGATGCTGCGAGAGAGATTTCGTCCCAACTTCACCACCAAACGGAAACGACGGGTATCGTTGTTCTGTAGGTGATGGTGGAGGAGGAGGAGGAAATGGAGAGTCTTTGATGAAACGGCTAGGAATCTTGATTGACAACTGGTTTCCTCTTGGTGACATGATTGCGGTGGATGATATTTAGCTTTCGGGGTAGAGGGAAAGGCGGACTATATATATATTTGAGGATGGATATAATAAATAACTGGTTTAATTGATCGCCGAGGTAGTTGAACTAGTAGAAGATGCTAGGTAGCTAGGCAAGATACAGTCTGAGAGATCTGATGAGGACTCAAGAGAAAAGCAGGATGAGATCTTCAAGTAAGTATTATATGCACTTCGGAAAATCAAATCTTGGGTACCTTGGACCGCCTCCGGCGCCACAGACTTGACAGCGGGTAAAAAACCATTGATTGACCGCCTATCTCTCTCATCTTCGCATCGTCATCACCTGAGAAGGCAGTAATCTACAGGTTTCTTTTCCTCAGCCCCAGCTCTACGCAGGGCACAGAAGCACAGAGGGGACTCCTGACGAACAAAAACTGAACGCGTTGGCCTGATGAGCATGAGTGTGCACCCAAGAGAAAAAAAAATCCGGCCTGGATCCACAATGGTGTGCATACCAAGAGAGATAATAAGTTTTGGAAGATTCTATTTTTGAAGGTACATAACCAGAGCTGGTCTAGTTATCGAGAATATTTGGCCTATTAACTGGCATCAGATCAGATTGCAATCGTCTCGCAGTAGTAGAGCACTCGCAGCAAGCTCATCGTTAATTTTCCGCCTCCGGCCCCAGCTTAGAGGTATGTAGTTGCCCGGGTGTAGTTTCCGATGTAGCATCTGGGGTCTGTATTTTTCCTAGTGCATTCCCCTTGCTTCATTACTTCTAATAGGATATATGCATATCCCAGGGTCTCTTTTCCAAGTCTGAGATATGCATATACCCTATAAGAACTAATATGGCAACGATGGCTGAGAATTTCAGTTGTGTGATGGTGTTGAAAATCAATGTAGCGGTAATGCTCAAGCACAAACAGTTCATCACTGATTTGCGGGAGCACAAGATTCGAGACAACGGGCATCGAGATGAGACGAAAAGGGGCAAGTAAGTGGCGTGGCAGGTTGAGATGGATGGGGAGAAGACCTCTCCACAGTCCCAAAAGCCCATAAGCCACCTGTAGTTGCCAGTAGTAAATTAGGAGTGACCCCTTATTGGTCAAAGTATATAATTTTTTTTTTCCAAGCTGCGCATAAAGAATGCTGCTGGGTGAGCGGTGATGTGCTGGATCAGGTATAGGTGATCAAGCAAGTGGCCTTGCTGGCGGAGACATGAGTGGTGCCGCGTGGAATCTGGGGAAAATCTAAAAGATATTCAGGCACAGATGAGAGTTACCTTCCGTTATCCACTCGGTGGCCTGTATTCTGGAATTTCTTCAGCAAAAATATGGGAAGAATACTATAGATTTCTCTCGATATAGCTCCCCGATGTCGGGTCTACCAAGGTGTATGAACGATGTGAAGTTTGATGCTGCCATCGAGCAAATGGTCGTATTGTGCACAAAGGAACACAAACGTCCACCAACCCACCTATTCATCCATCATCATCATCTATCTCGACATCTTGTTGTTGGCCTTCCGCTGAACGGGAGGCTTCGCAGGGCAGGTAGGGAAAGGATGAAGAATTCGGTAACCCACTGGAAGAGATTTAGACGAGTCCCGAGTCCGAAGAGTCGAAGCATGAGCCGGGATTGGGGTTCGAGCCAGACGCCGTGTACAGGCTAAGCGGGCGTCAGCATCGGCAGTTTATGTACGTCAAAAGCCATCACGGCATCTGCGATACGTACATACATCTCGGCCTGAAATCCGCTTCAGGTTTTACACCAACCAAACAATGGGAGTCACCCATCGATTTCTCTCCTCCTCTCACAAGAGGCTGATAATTCTCGGGGAAGCAACAGGATATGCGATACTAGGTTGCTCGCGCTGTGCTGACTGACTACGTGCCTTTAAAATATGCGTTGTCGAGCGTTTCACGATACACCAAAGCAGATAGCTGTGTCTCGCGTCCAACTCTATTGAACATGCTGGTGACCGACCACAGCCCACGACCAGTCGTGAGTCCAGAATCCATGCGTTTCTCTTTCCCACCCCTGCGTGATTCACGGGTCCCAGGATTTCAGGATGATGCTGTGGAGCAGGTCCCGTTCAACCGTTCAAGCAAGGTAGGGTATGCGCAGAACAGGAAAGGCTACATGTATGCTCGCGTTTCTTTATCAGGGTCCTATCAAATCTGAAGATAGATAGGCACAGCAGTATGTATTGTATTGATTGTACTCTGGAGGTCCCATTACTATCCTTAACTCAATCTTACGGGGTTGGTATGTCGTGCGTAAATTTCTTATTTTGCTTTTCTCGATTGTTCTCTTGTTCTTCCTTTCTGACTTCCTTTTTTTTTCTTTCTTTTTCTTTTCATTCTGGTTTGTGCCCTTCCTATTTCGCTTCATATTTTGTCTGTTTCATTCCCAGGTAATGGAAACAGCCCGTCTTATCAATTTACAGCCTATCATCTATCTTTGGACTTGTGGACCCTCTTCCACTGAACCCCACGAATACCCCAAGTCCACAAGTGGTAAACACCCTCAAGACATTGTAATTCTCCCGCTCTCGTCCCGTACTGCTCCCGCTTTTTTTACAATTCACCCTGGAAGCAGGAGGAGTTGCAGAGACTGCCGACCATGTTCCAAAGAAACAACAAATAGAAATCCCTCCCTGAGTGATTACACCATGCGATTATGAGAGAAAAAAGTCGCAGGAAAAAAAACGCCGCCTACATGTACTGAGTGCTTCCAAGTAAATGTTTTGCAGAAGTTCGCCCAGATTGGAATTGTATGAGGTGACGGTGGTGTGCCCCACCAACAAGCAGTAAACAACCCCTCCAAGCTGCGGCAACGACCCCTCCTCAAATCCTGTCAGTCAGTTCCACGAACGGCTATCCCCCATTCTCTCCACTTCTTTCCCCTCCGCCTCTCCCCTCCATCCATTCTTCTGTCCTTCATCATCGTCAAAGGTCGAATTCTTACGAGTTCTGACTTTGCCGCCGCTCACATCACAATATTTCCCCCCAGTCTGCTTAACTCCGTCGCCTAGAGCATCATGTATCTCAACACCTCGAGAAAACCCCCCAGCCGTAAAGGTTCGTATCTGTTATCTTACTTTATAAACATCCCCCTTGTAAACGGAGCCAATAATTAGATCGTGAATTGAATGCTCGCTCCCCTTAAAGAAAAAAGAAATAAAAAAGAGATCCTCAGAGATCTTTAGAGCAATCACTGATGACCATTCCATCGAGCAGGCTCTATGCACGATGTGCCCAAGGATCTGATGGACCACATCAAGGAGCTGGAGAAAATCTTTACCATTGATACTCCTAAGCTTCATGAGATTGTCGATGTCTTTGTGGAAGAGCTCAAAAAAGGTGATGATTCCCCGCATCTTGAGGCGCTGTGAATCATCTGTTAATAGTTGTCTTCCAGGTTTGGCAAAGGAGGGCTCAACAATTGTAAGGCATCTGCATAGCCCACGTTTCATTCATCACCCTGCAGCGTTACAAACACCCAATGGAAACTAATTCGTTCCTGTGCCTTCATACAGCCCATGAACCCTACATGGGTTATTGGATACCCCACTGGAGACGAAACAGGAACCTACCTTGCTCTTGATATGGGTGGAACAAATCTTCGAGTATGTGAGGTTGAGCTACCCGAAGAGAAGGGGCAGTATGACATCTACCAATCCAAGTACCGCCTGCCCGAAGAGATCAAGAACGGTACTGGTGAACAGCTGTTCGACTATATCGCAGAGTGTGTCAAGCAATTTTTGATTGCCAATCACGAGGGCCAGGATATCAGCGAGCTCAAGGAGCTGCATCTCGGTTTCACTTTCTCGTATCCATGTACACAAAACGCTATTGATCATGGTATCTTGCAACGTTGGACAAAGGGTTTTGATATCGAAGGCGTTGAAGGCCATGACGTCGTGCCGATGTTTGAAGCAGCTTTGGAGAGAAAGGCAGGTGATCATGGTACAGAATGAGTTAATCTAGATACTAACCTAAGCTCTTTCAGGGTGTTCCCATCAAAATTACCGCTTTGGTGAACGATACTACCGGAACTTTGATCGCATCTGCCTACACCGACAACACTACAAAGATTGGGTGCATCTTTGGAACAGGATGCAATGCTGCTTACATGGAGGAGGTCGGTTGTATTCCCAAACTTGCACACATGAACCTTGACCCTACCCTTCCTATTGCCATCAACTGTGAATGGGGTGCGTTCGACAACGAGCACCGCGTGCTTCCTCGCACTACCTATGACATCCATATCGACAAGCACTCTCCTCGCCCTGGGCAGCAAACCTTCGAGAAGATGGTCGCAGGTCTTTACTTGGGCGAGATCTTCCGTTTGGTTCTCGTTGACTTGTATGCCAACCCGGATGTTAGTCTTTTCAAAGATCAAGATATCAGCGCATTGCAGGTGGAATATTCCCTCGATGCGTCTTTCCTGGCTGAGATTGAAAGGTAAGTCTAAATTCCTGCCAATCATACACGAGTAATCCTCTAATGAGAGGCGATAGTGATCCATGGGAAAATCTGATGGAGACCCATGCGCTCTTCGAGAAGAAGCTCAAGATCGCCCCAACGGAACCCGAGCGCAAGCTTATCCGCCGTCTTGCTGAGTTGATCGGCACCCGCGCCGCGCGTCTATCTGCCTGTGGTGTTGGAGCTATTTGCAAGATGAAGGATATCAAGTCTTGCCACGTCGGTGCTGATGGCTCTGTGTTCAACAAGTACCCTAACTTCCAGCAACGAGGAGCACATGCCCTTCGTGAAATCTTCGGCTGGGACAAATCTGTGAGGAAAGATCCTATCCAGATTGTTCCTTCTGAAGATGGAAGTGGTGTTGGCGCTGCTCTGATTGCCGCCTTGACCATGAAGCGTATCAGGAGAGGTATCCATGCAGGTGTGAACGTCAAGAGAAAGAACTCTCTTATCCCCCCAATCCCTTAAGCTATCCGAGTTGAGGACCTTCTTCAATGCGAAGAGCAACTAGCTGTATTCGGGACATTTTTTTTTTCTTTCTTTCTTGCTATTGTTCTATATGGTTGTTTGGAATCTGCTCGGTACATGTTTGAAGGCCAGGATTGATCGCACATTCTTTCTATTTCCTTTCTAGAATGTCTTGCTTGGGGGTTGTGAGAGTGAGCCAATAGAAGGGCTGAATGAGAGATAAGATACCCGACCAACTGCAAGTTCTTACCAGTATTTTCAAGTTTTTCTAAACCTGGTTTTGTGTACTGCCCATGCATGCATTTGACCATCCGTCTGAGCGCTTTATTCTAGTATGGCGACTACTTGAGTGGTGTTTCTTATTTCTGCCTGTGTAAACGCCTCAATAGTCGACGAGCTCTCTTCGCTTCAAGGAAACAATTAATGGTTGTGCAATCATTACCAATTTCAGAAAATAGCCCATGCACGAATCCGGGATGACGTAGCTGTCGCCTGAGGTGCACATCCCGGTTTGGACCAGGGTCAGCTAAGCCGTGATTGCGGCATCTCCCGGGAAACATCCGAGTGAGAGATTATGATTTGCAGACCCGAAGTGAGACCTGAACATACAGAGCGTTAAGTAATCCCGGTACGCGCCCATATCCTAGACATAAATACATATGTACATAATAACCGATAAATTTTCTAGCTAATATATCAGATGGGATGAATCTCGTCAAATATTCCAACGGCAATGACGTCATAAAATCTTTTCTTTGCGAACGTCATAAAAAAAAAAGAAAATAGAAATAATACCGCAATACATATGACTCAGATATATTGAAGTATACAGGAAACTAAATACCGTGGGGCTGACTTTACGAAGTATATGCTCACGTGTAATGTTAAAACTGAGTGTTTGGCCACGGCATCCATTCAGCTGGGGGCTTATGCAGTGGAACAAACGTACTCCAGCACGCGCGGTACAAACCATGTATATGCAAATCTTACATGCAATCGGAGAAATAGAAGTCAGTGAAGAACCTTCCACTACAGTCGTGGTCGTGTTTCGATTTTCACTAATGTATCCACGGGAAGTATAGTACATGGGGCGGGAGAAAAATGTGGACGATAATATCATTGGCTCAGGACATATTGACGAGTGATATGCCGTGATTGGGGATGCTCTTCCTCCCCGCGGAAAAGTGGCAATGAGAATGAGCATCGGACGGGAGATTGTTCCCCCCCCCTCCCCCGAAAAATGCCCCCCCCGGATGCTTCCGGCGCATGATCCTTGTTTCTAGAAGGGCACGTGAGAAGGGGTTTTCTCAAACGTGATTGCTTGATAATTGTCTGCTAGAGTGGTAGCGATTTTTGTGGCAAGAAAGATTGATTCGAGGGTTTATGCCCCAATAAAATCCATCATTACGGTTTACGTACTTCTATGGTCGGAATCATTCCATATTCGTTGTGCTTACTCACTAGATTCGGTATAAGGCGGAGTAGCTGTATTGAATTCTCCCTTTTGAGGGATTATCATTGTCACTGGAATGTCTGGCCCTGACAAATTGCCAAGTTAATACATCTTCTTTGGACCAAAAACACTTAAATAACAAGCCTCGTTAGTGGAGTGGTGTACCGTCGTTAAACTGGATGGAAGAGTAACGCTTAATTGCAGATGTACGGTGGCTGGGTTTTGACCCCCCACCGAGTCATAATTCAAATTTACTTACCCACATGGTGGGATTTCTATGGGAAAATTGATTGAATGAACCCCAGGAGTTTAAACCCCGCTTACCTCTACACCCTTTACTGCAGGTGGCATAGTTACATGTAGCGCCCGGCCCTCCAGTGAGTATCAATCATATACTCATTAAGATGGAAGATGACGCCTCCTACGCTCGGAAACTAGCCGATGAGTAGTAGGGCGAAAGCTTGCCCTCCAATCCCTCAATAGCGCATCGATGAGTTAGCTTCCTTGCCCTTGCCAGCCTTGCCAACCATTGCGTCGAGAATATCAACACCGCCAGCAGTTTCTTCGAGTCCCAAGTGGCTGTACGTAGCCAATTCCCAACAGAAGCCAGCTCACGGTCGAAATAATTATATTGAGTATGCGGGAGTTGTTACGGCAGGGAATTGTATCGTTGCAGTGTTTCTAAGCTTTAATGGTTGACGGTACTTGACCGGTGGTTAATTGCAATCAAGCCACAGAGGCCTGTATGGAGAGGTTTGACTATCTGTTCATAAGAGTTCTGCTCGTTTGTGGTGACCCAATCAAAAGATCTCCTGAGGTGTACTTTTGAAACATTACCGCCCCATTATGCACTACGGCTCTTTTTTTTTCTCCAACCCCTGAAAAACACATTCCTGGTTAAATATCGATGCACATGTAGTTTAAAACTAACATTGCATTGCATAAAGTACGGCTCATGAACCCCTACCAAGCCATTGGGTTAGGGTTCTTACGCTAGTTGAGCCAGCCCGTGTTTTTGTTCGAAGTTTTCTTATCTTTCTGTCTCAGATGAAGTGTTTTAATCGGTTGCAAATTGTACCGTGGAGGGACTCGGGCTAAATGGTGGCTAGGATTTTCTCACCGCGGAGGCTTGGAGTGGATTGGTGAAGGAGCAGGTTATTCATGAATGATCACTCGGTGAGTGGGGTTAGTGGGGGGTTAGTGGGGGCGTCTCTCCTGTTTCCCCTTCCCTATCGATTGTTGTTGTTAACTCGCTGATTGTACCCCTTCCTACCAAACCCAAAAGGTACGAAGGGATTTATTCGGCGGTGACTCCAAGATTAGGGAGAATTCCTGAGAAATTATTCATTTTCTCTTCTTTCTTCTTTTCATTCTGCAGGCCAGCTACATGCCCTTATCCCTAAAGAAATAATGTAGAGGTTCTTGCCTATGAACCCTTCCTACACTCCCTTTCTAACCAGACACACCGTAATAAATAACATAAAACTAAATAATTAAAGATAAAATAACACATATTACACTCATCATATGTAACGAAAGGAAATCCAAAATTACGGTATCAGCTAGTTAAGCCGGTGTCGGTCCGATCTTCCCCGTCCACTCCGTTTGCAGATCCCCCAGGGACACAGTGCTAAAATTAATCGCAATAAATTCTGCTGTTGTTGCTGCTGCTAGAGGAACTGTAAGATCTAATGAGGATTCTAAGGCTGTTGTAGTTGCTATTACGGCGGTAGTAATCTCGGCGGCTGTTAATACGCTCGTATCCAAGACCAAACTCTCCGCAATAGACGACACCGGGTCCGCAATAAGGATTGACGTCGGAGCAATAGCACTGATAAAACCGGTTCTGACTACAGTTGCCATCGTAGACTCTACCTGTGTGGGTATTGCTGGGAGACCTGGAGGATTGATGGCTTCGGCGACCTTGAAAGCAGCCGCCGGGCATAAACACTGGCAAGCGCACGCCGCACCAGGAACGGCAGTACCTGTTACTACAGCGGCTGTAGTGGTGACTAATTCTGTTGCTGCTGCTGTTGTAGTAGTAGCGGCGGTTCCGTTCAGTGCGATGGCGGCGTCTTGGAATGCCTTGAATGTTTTCTCGGCAGTTGGGTTAATGGCAAATACCATTCCCTTCCCACAGTGGGTAGTTTGTGCACAATACCACCAAGTCGGCTCAGTAGCTGTAACTGTGTAATCAAATGTTGGCGCAGGAGTAATGGTGTCATTAATATTACTCATAAAACCTGAGTCGATTCCCTCCGCGGATATCTTATTGCATGGAGCGCCAAAGGTGGACTGAGTAACTGTATGATTCTGCTTCATGAATACGAAGTGTACTACATCGCCGACCGCAGCAATAATCTCCGAAGGGGTATAAACAAGGCCTGTCTCCCCGCCAACAATTATATTATGGGTCGCGGCGGCGGCGACGGCCGAGGTTGAGCTTGCAGCAGCAGGAGGGGAACTTAGTGTTCCGTTTAGGGTGATAGCGGCATCTTGAAATGCCTTGAACGTCTTTTCACAGGTGGGATTTATGGCAAATACCATCCCCCTTCCACAGTGGGTAGTTTGTGCACAATACCACCATGTGGGGTCTTTCGAAGTAACAGTGTAGTTCCAAGTGGGCGCAGGAACGACTGTGTTGTTGATGTTACTCAGGAAGCCAGAATCGGCTGCGTCAATTGCCAATTTGTTACATGGAGTACCAAAGGTTGATTGAGTCACTGTGTGATTCTGTTTCATGAAGACGAAACTGACGACGTCACCGACCTCAGCAATGATTTCTGAGGGTGTGTAGATAAGACCCGCGTCGCCTCCGACTATAACGGTGTGCGTAGCTCCGCCAGTTGGTGTCGGGCATACAGTTGTGGTGAGACTAATAACCTTATAAATTGTTGAAAACTCTGCGGCCGACTGGGTTTCCGTGGTGATGAGTGTTTCCTGGTGGAGACGGATTTGTTAGCGAGTGATAATTCATGAAGTGAAAGTAAGAGCTTACGGTCGCGACGCTGGCCACAGTTTCGGTCAGGACAGTACTCAAGACCTGAGTTTCCGTTGCAAGTTTTGTCTCAGTTGCGATACTGTGAATGACTTTTGTCGCTGTTTCGGTCAAGATCTTATCCACTGTAGCGATAGCAGTGGCTGTCGCGATGCTATGGACGGTCTCAGTAGTAACACTGTTAACTACCTTAGTTTCAGTTGCCAGCCTTGTTTCTGTGGCTATGCTGTGAATAATCTGAGTTTCGGTAGCTAACTTAGTCTCAGTAGCGATACTTTGAATAACCTCAGTCGATACTCTGTCGACCGTGGCAGTGCTGTGAACGGTCTCTGTTGCAATGCTGTTAACAACTTTCGTCTCAGTCGCCAACTTTGTCTCCGTGGCAATGCTATGAATGATCTGAACCTGAGTTTCTGTCGCCAATTCTGTCGCAGTAGAAATCTGGGTCTCTATCGCAACACTATGAATAACCTGCGTTGCCGTCTCTGTAGACACACTCTCAACCACTTTCGTCTTCGTAGCAAGCTTAGTCTCCGTAGCTAGCTTCGTCTCTGTAGCAACACTATGAATAACCTGTGTCGCCGTCTCCGTCTTAAGACTTTCAATCACCTTCGTCTCCGTAGCAAGCTTAGTCTCCGTAGCCAGCTTCGTCTCAATCCTATTAACCACCTCCGTCGCGGTCTCCGTCGCGGTCTCCGTCGCCGTCTTCTCTTGCGTCAAAATCTCCGTCTGCACGATGTGAGAAACCTGCACTTCTGTCTTCGTCTTCACCGCTGTCTCCGTCACCTTTACTTCAATAGTCTTCAAATCCGTCTGGGTGACAAGTTTCTCAACCGGAACAGCCACCTCAATAGTATGCTACCCAACCAACCCCACGTTTCAAGTTAATAATCCCCTTATCTTTGCTTTTTATGCGACAGGGGTCAAATGAAACTAACCAAAAGTGTTTCGGTAGCAGATTCTGTTACGGTCACATGAACTGGTGGAAGGGTTTCAATAACCTATTTTATCGTGATTAGTGGATGTGTGGGTATGTTATAATTGCTTGTCTGGGTTATTTACGGTATTGTGGATTGTTACATGCTGTGTCTCCGTTATAGGCTGTGTTCTGTTTCGTGTTTCGATGGTTAGACTTTCGTTTTTCTCCAATAGTAGAATGATTGCATGCATTAATAGAAGATAATAAAAATATACTTACTCGGTAACGTGCATAACTTCTGTTGAGACATCTGTAACATGCAATGTCCTAAAAGATTATAGTTAGTTGGGTTAACTTCCAAAGCATTGAGAGTACTCACTCAGTAACATGCACCTGTATTTGTTCAGTAACGTGTATAACCTTAGTCGAAACATCAGTGGCATGTAATGTCCTATAACAGTCAACAACCAACTCAACTCAACCTCGGGGTTTACTCACTCAGTAACATGCACTTGAACTTTCTCTGTCTGTACCACCGTTACCACAATCGCCGCCGCACCATTACTATCAGTCTGTGGCTGTCCTCGTTCTAACAATATTCTATTGTTCGCTTTTGATTGGTCTGTTTCTGCCGCCCGTACTGCCACTGCTACTAGCTGCAGTACTGCAGCGAGGAAATTGAAAATTCTCATAGGACAGATTGACGTGTCAGGAATGGATAGATGCACAATAGATGAATTAATAAACAGATCCTCTCCTGGAGGTGTAAATGTCTAGATGCTTAGTTAGTGTGCGCAGTTAAGCTCAAAGGCATACGTAATACGTATGGAAATAGATTTAACAACGAACATTAAAATTGGTATGTAGCCCGGGCTTTAGTCAGAAGTGGAACGTAAAGCGCACGCGCCAGAGGTTGATAGTGATAAAGGAATGAAAGTTGACGACTTCGTCGACAGAAAAGAAACGTTCAAAGATAGAAGTGTAAAACGTGGATGATGATGAGAATTAGAACTAGAGGGAATAGACAGAAAGAAGTAAGTAAGATCAAAAAGGGGGAGGAAAAAACATTTCATAACAAAAGCCATTATTGTACAAAGACTCAAACGCCAAATCTCATAGAACAGGACTTTTCATCAGGAATATGAGTCGGTATGAGTCGTTATCTGTATCATCAAAGTCTGAACCTTTTCACACTGCAGTTCACACAAACTCGCTTGCCCGAGTTTCCCCCTGAGGTAAAGTTTTCACATCGTGATGTCAAAGTTCTCAATTGGCATGTGTGTAACCAGGCTCCATGAAACACACAGTGTTTTGGCATAGAGGATAAATTCCACATAACTGTGCGCATACCCCGTCACAGAGAACAACCCGTTGTAAAAGAGTTTCCGACAAGGAAGGTTCTCCTTCAGAGTATGTAGGCCATGCACATATCGTACGATTCAGACTCCATGGAGGAATAAGGTTAAGCACTCATCCATGCAAGCTGGTTGCCCTGTGCAAACCCAGAGGGAAGGCTGGTTGCACTGCAATCTATGATGCATGAGAGTTGTGAAATCGAAGGATGCCTATTACGGATTGGCGCTCGTCCGTATCTCTAGTTCCAGGTTGGAAAACTCGATGCATCTGTTTTTAAAGACTAAACTCTTGGTAGAATAATATGCGGGCGCTATTAACGGAAATGGGTTTATCGAGATGCAAGCAGGGGTTCCTATCCCCTAGTCTTTGCCATGTAGAGTAGGAGGGATTTCTCCCTACGGTTGTCTCCGTCGTCTCACAGCACAATGATTTCAGAATTACGATAAAGAAACGGGAGACCTAAAGACATGATCGAATGAGAGGTAAAAAAAGCGGAAAGCTCTAATTACATGAGTCTCTACTTGTAATAATATCAGACGGCACAGAGAGCGGCTGCCAAGCCTGTCAACCATACGAGAAGTTGACTTGACTCAATCCAGGGTAAGGGTTTTTAGATGAGGCTGAGATTAGTAAACTCCCCAAACGGGACACACCAGCAGCTCTTTGTTCCACCACCTTTGAGCTTCCCCGCAGTCTCTGACGTCGGCTTTGAAGCCGTAGCACTTCTCCAAGGAGCTTGACTTTTGAAGTTGTTTACGAAGGCAGTTGCAGCTCTAAACTTCCTCTCGTCCTCGGTAGTAAATCGGATGTTAACTCGTATGATCAACGTTATGCTGTCTCTCCTGTTCGCCGACCCTTTGGACCGTGGGCTGGTACTACAATAAGAGCCACCCATGACCCGGCACGCAGAAAATCCGAGATCGCGAGCAGTGAGAATGCTTGTCTGAGGTGCAGAGATTACAGGTGAGAGTACAGGTGATACACCGTCAAAAGCCTCCGTAGGGCTTATGTTGTCTCGCCACTCGAGCGAGAGCATCTATCGATGCTGTGTCTAGTCAATTATTAGAGGTTTTATGCGGGTTGTGATTGGTCGAGTTAGGGATTATATGCTACCGCCATATGCGGTTGATCACCCCACGCCGCAGATGCCCCTCCAGAAACAGACTGCAGTGCGTCATTGTTACTAAGAAATAGCGGCAGAGATGGACCCAGGAGTATACGTACTCTAACAGGTGCAATCTGTAGCATCAGGAGCTTTCACTTAGGAACGACAGGCCACATGAAATAGATCCCCTTATAGTTTATAAAGAAGTTACTTCTTCCTACTCGTTACTCTCTCAGTTCTTAAGCCCCTCAGCTTGTAGACCTCCACCGAATCTACTACTACTATCCCCTTTCAATTTCAATTCTTTCCCAAACTTAACTCCCAAATCAATCAATACTATCAACAATGGCCGGACAAATCCCAGCGATGCAATGGGCTCAAGTGTTCGAGAAGAACAATGGCCCCATCGAATACAAGCAGATTCCTGTCCCCAAGCCAGGTCCTGATGAAGTTTTAGTAAACATCAAATACACCGGTGTTTGCCATACCGATCTTCACGTAAGGCACATCAAACATCATTGCCCACCTGCAGAAGAATACTGATAGATATCTACGAATAGGCATGGAAGGGCGATTGGCCATTGGCAGCGAAGTTGCCTCTTGTTGGTGGTCACGAAGGTTTGTCTTTACCTAGTCTATAGCTCTTAGTAGTCGGCACTAGTGCCAACTAATGTAAAACAGGTGCTGGAGTTGTCGTCGCAGTCGGAGAGCTCGTCAATGATATTAAGGTTGGTGATCACGCTGGTATCAAGTGGCTCAATGGTAGCTGTGGGGCTTGTGACTTCTGTAAGTGCCAGAAATTTCGAAAAGGTTATTATCCACCAAGATTTGATTCCTAACACGCAATTAAAAATAGGCATGGCCTCCGACGAGCCCCTCTGTGGACAGGCATTACTATCCGGGTACACCGTCGATGGTACATTTCAACAATACTGCATTGGCAAGGCTGCTCATGTAGCCCGTATCCCCAAGGAAGTTAAACTTGATGCCATTGCCCCTGTCCTTTGTGCCGGTATCACTGTAAGTCATCAGACATCTCGTGGTGAGATTGTCATAGGCTAACTCTACCAGGTCTATAAAGCACTCAAAGAATCCGGTGCCCGCTCAGGTAACACTGTGGCTATTACTGGTGCCGGTGGTGGACTTGGATCCCTTGCCTGCCAGTATGCCAAAGCTATGGGCTTCCGTGTCCTCGCCATCGATGGCGGCGACGAAAAGAAGGATATGTGCCTTAACAAGCTCGGCGCAGAGGACTTTGTCGACTTCACAAAACAGGATGTTGTCGCCACAGTCAAGGACCTTACCGGCGGGCTTGGAGCTCATGCTGTTATTCTGCTTGCTGTGAGTGAGAAGCCATTCCAGCAGGCAACTGAGTATTGTCGTAGCCGTGGTACGGTGGTTTGTGTTGGCCTTCCGGCAAAGGCGAGAATCAGTGCAGAGGTCTTCCCGACTGTGGTTAGAATGATCACAATCAAGGGGTCTTACGTTGGCAACCGTCTCGACACACAGGAAGCGATTGACTTCTTTAAGAGAGGACTCATCAATGCCCCATTCAAGACTGCGAAGTTGAGTGAGTTGCCTGAGATCTTCAAGCTTATGGAGGAAGGAAAGATTGTCGGAAGATATGTCCTAGATTGCAACGTGAGCTTCCCTCAATTTAGTACATGGAGGTATTGATCTACAACTGACATTAAACAGGCATAAACGAATAGAATTGATAGGAAATATACAAATGTATGGGCTTTGAGTTTGGTGTTTATTTGGCGGGTCGACGGTTTGGGGCGTGATTGATGATTTATTTTCCTGTTTCTTATCTTTTGTGCGTTTGTCGTGCGAGCTTCCAGATGAAGGATAGCCTATTATCTTAAGCTTACTATACGCGATGAGGGGCAATCTCCGCTCCCATACATGTACTTGAGAATTTAGTACCCAAAGGGGGGATTAAAATACCTAGATACTGTTAATAGTGCTGCGCAGTTACGTGAAAAATGACAGAATCCCATAGCAATAGTGCGGCAACACCGAAATTGAACAATAATCTTCTAAGCGTATTTGATTTCATATCCGTCTTTCTAGGATATTACAATAATAGAGCCAATCGCAATTACGTGTGGTCGAACGTTGAATACATATAGCCATATGGAGTGATCGTGAAGAATGCAGGCATGTATACGTATCTGTGATAGCTATATAGACTAGGAGCTCTTACGACTTTGGGCGAGCTTTCTTTCGGAAACCCTAGACCTATGGGGATCGTTTGAGGATTCTGCCTGGTCTCTTAGCTGTATACGTACTCGAGCTTCACTCTGAGTTATAATGGATACTGGACATACAATAAGCCAGAAACACCCTTCCTGATAATAGATAAGCTGATTATTCGATCACGAGGATTCTCACTTAGGTTATACTGACATATCTCCCAGCAATCTTGATAATTATTCCTCCCTCCTATCCTGTCCTTGATTAGACGCTTGCGTTGGGAAAATATTGAGTTTGAGTATATATAAGGGTTGAAGTCAATATTAGTTATGACCACCTTAAGCCAACCAATTAGCGCTCTGCATTTCTTAGGTGGCTAAAAGATCGATTTGTACCTGCATCGAATCCTAGATCAAAATTCTCCGACCCGGTACGATTCGTTTCACCTGGCTGGCGGGTGGGTAGAATTTTCTGGATTTCTGGGCGTCCGAGAGTTTTTTTTCCTGGCTGGTGGCCAACAAGGGACACATACGGTACGGCCCGAAATCGGAAGTTCCCCCGGCTATGACAGGCAATGGTGGCGTGAGCGCAACGCTGTCAGAAAAGAGCTATTATCTAATATGGAGCAATGACTTCGAGTGTTTAAATACGATGATATATATTGTGGAAAGCCCATCTCCTGATAGCTATAGGCATATGGGCGGCCATAGTGTGACTTCGGAACGAAATCCTATATTCGGCCTCAGCTTTTGAAGAAAATTTCATAACTTATGACATTAACTCTAGAGATTATGTAGGAGATCAATAGTCCGCCGGCCTAGTACAAAGATAAATGCTAGAGTTACGTATAATAATTAGATCATCGCAACATCGAGAAACAGTTCAATGTATCTTAAACGGCTCGAGTTCGGCTTCACTACTCATATAGGAGGTGCTACTTCAACTGAATATAATTTCACAAAGTCACCGGTTATCATTGCAATGAGTACTTACATGTATCCATCTGACTGGCCGATGTTGAATTAGGAGAGG